TCCACTAAAACTAAGTGTTTGATGATATCAATAATTGCAAAATATGCTTTATCATATAAGGACCTTTGCGATAAGTCAGATAAGTGACATATAAAACACATATTTTTTGTAGCATTGCCGGAACCTTTGACTGAAAAATGGAACGTGGCAAATTGATGCTATCAGTGTCCCTGATACACATAAAAAAAAACTCTACATCACAAAATCAGACAGGTCTTACCTTTTGGTCTGACATGATACCATTTACCTAATAAAATTATTGCACTATCATTTTTAAAACTGGTTTTGGTTTTTAAAGTCCACCCTGAAAAAAAATATCAATCTGCAATCATGTTGGGGTCATACAAGATTTAATGCGTGTGGCAAAGCTGTATAAGTTAGTTTTTTTTTATAAATAATGACAAATTTGTTTGACAGACAAAAGCATTTGTCTTATGTATAACAATTTTATGCAAGAGAACAAAAGTCTTTGCCTGGCTACAATATAGTTAGTTCTTATTTTCAGATCCAGTGATAAAGATTTCAGGTTTATAGCCACCAATAATTTGATGGGAGAATGCAGAAATATTCCAAAGGCAATGGATGTCTCAAAAGGATGCCAAGTGAGTAGGCCTAATATTTGTAAAAATCACTTAAATAACTATTTTTAAATCTTTCTTGCAATACTCCTACACTATGTAGTCTTGGATCCATTGTAGATTGCTTATTTAATCTTGGATATACAAGCTAAAAATCAAACAGATATACCCCTACCATATTTCATATTATTCCAAGCTGACTGAAGTCTAGTTTTCACTTTGTCACTTTCAGTTTCCAATTTATTTGCAAATAAATCACTTCCCTCCGAACCAAACTGATTTGTATTAGTTCTCATTCGATAAGAATTATTTTGTCCACTAGGATAGCCATGAGCTGGGCTATAATTGTGACCATAATTGGATGCAATTTGTTCACCAATACCATTTGGAGTGTCTAAACCACTATTTAAACTCTGTGACATAAGACTGGTGTAACTACGTCGTTTACTACCCGAGCTGCCAGGGCTTGGTAATGTAGGGTGTTTCACAGGGGAATGTTTTTGAGTAGCTATTTGGTTTTTAAGGTTGGCAAAAAATCTGGGTCTCTCAATTGGCTGTTTTGAAGTATGAGGTGCAGCATCTGATGAAGTTGAAGAACGGTGTCGTGGTGATGTGTTTTCAGAACGTTTATCACCAGGAGGAGTTCTAGCAACAATTTGGCCATCTAAATCTACTTCTTCTGCTTCACTTTCAAAGTTTGTTTCACAATTGCTGTTTACTTTAGAGACTACCTCTATTTTCGAAATAGTAGGAATGTTTTCAGACAATCTAGCTCTTTCTTTTCTGGCATTAGTACTTCCAAAATATGAACCTGAAGGGTTATTTCTGAAAAATTCTCTCGATTCTGAACTGACAGACGATGACCTGGATGAATTATTCAATGCATCTGTCCAGGAGTCTAAAGATGCGATGTCATCCATATTTTTCGTATCAGAAATCGAAGACAGGCGTTTCTTTCTCTTCTCCATTTATTACGTTTGTTTACTTCAACCCATTATTACTCATTTTACTTTTATAAATGTTTTAGTGTAAACAAAACCTCAGAGACATCCGCCATCTTGTCACATGACATTGGCTACATGGCGTGTTCGTATCGCGTTGTACTCACAATTATATAAACGTGAGTGTTGTACACAAAATGAAATTCACAGTTCCGGAGCATACGAAAATACGTGTTTATATATAATATATATACGTTTCTTCCTATTGTTTCCTGTTATGTTGCAAGACCGAAATTCCTGATTTTGTAACCTACAAGCATCTGCTAATGTTGACTGCACAATATGGTTTTGTCGAGTTCTAAACCCTGCCGAGACATAGCCTTAATAGCCTTTTACGAAAAATCTCCAGATGCCCTCGTGGATGGTTACAATAATACAACCCCTTCAATCAAGACAAAGAAGTAGTAGTGGACTCCGTTAAAAAGAAGTAGCCTTAAGGTGTTTCAAAAAGAGCTAGTCTGCTCGCTCCCGACACCTGCCATCGTATTGGCGCGCCACCCAATGACCGTCCGTCGGTCCCTTTACAATTACACAATTCTTGACGAAACTTTGTGAAATTATTTATTATCACCCATTCATGAACCCTATTGAAAAGCAAAAATGAGAACTATTGTTATCTTGTATTTTGTTCCTGGTATCGAATAACAAGGCATATTCGAATGAAATAGTATTTATTCTATATTTCAGATTAAGCCTTCCTTAGCCATTTCTTTCTCTCCAGCCCATCTGTTCTACTCTCTGTCATCCAGCCCAGCAATGGTCGCTTGTATCGATGAATGCTCTGGACGACAGGGACTAGAACATGTGGTAATCTTTTCACACTTCACTTAATATTTATGCGCACTGTAATTAAGCAGGAGAAAGTAGGTAATAACTGATTAAAGGGAGCCAACTATATTATCCTACTCAAAGCTTTATATTAGTATATGAACTATATGACACTATTTTATATGAGACTTCAATCTTAAAACGCGTTACAGTGTTCAAAGCTTACCGTCGAAATTTGAGCCTTCAAATCCATGTGTGCCCAGAATTTTCCGCGATTCAAATCCGCGTCAATTTACCATATATAGGAAAAGTGAATAAGATATCTAGTTTAAAGTATTTTTTAAGGAAATATGCGATTTTTGTTATTTATTATACTTCTGAAGACTATCTACATATTCAAGATTAAATTTAACCCCAAAATGGCGTAATGGTCCCTTTAAAATCCAAGGTATATCCTTGTTGATGAGGCTTTTATTTTTAAGGGGGGAGGGGGTTGGGGGGGGGGGGGGGGGGCAACTCGTGCCTGCAGCCTTGTCATTTCAAACAGCGACCATTGAGCTATACTTTCTATTAGTGTAGACTTTCAATCGTTTGCAGCCGTCCATCTGGGGTTCATATGAGGAATTTCAAGATATCACTTTGACAAGTTAATGAAATGATTCTTGTCAATTGAGTGATGTAAATATATATATATTTAAAATTGAATGGCGAACAATATTTGAATTTGCTAGGACTTTGCAAAGGGTCCATACAAATGTTAAATTGATATTCATAATATGGGAGAGATTCAAGAATTCTGATTGTCATGCAAAGAACAATCAGACTTTAGGGAAGCAAAGAAATATGCCTTAAAAGCTTCATTTTTATCCCATGGATACAAGCAATACCTTTTTTTTGCCCTGAATGATTCGAATTGCCCCTTTGTGAGAAGGTACAAATCAGTTAAAAAGAGATAAAACTACTGTTCTACAAAAATAATTTTAATATAACAATTTTTAAGAAAAAATCACATAAATCAGTTTATTCTCCAAAATACACAGATTTAATTCAAAGAAATTTAATGTTTATTGTATGGTTGACATGTACTAGTATATTTTAGAACTTCTGTTTGACGATTCATTATGCCTACTACTAATAAACATAGACAATCATATTATATCATACTTTTGATATTGATACAGACAAAGGTGGATTATGGGTATTGATATATACTTTTGAATTTTGGAACTTATATTCATAAACTGTTTGTGCAGTTAATGTAGACAATTAGACCATTTTACCACTTATTGAGTTACTATCTGAATGATTTAATGCTATGAGAGCAAATTGTCAGACAGATATCATTCCCTAAGAAGCTAATATATTGTCATTAGATTACATACAAAACAAAACAAAAAAATATATATACAATATTTATATAATTATATACAATTATAGAAAATTTGTACAAACAATATATACATATTAAGGATGTTGATTTTGGCTATGCCTAGATTGTGCTACAAAATGGTTTTAACCTGGGTATTTTACAATACACATGATCAGTTGTTACACATAAAGTGAAATGTATGAGAATGTCTTAGTATTAGGGTCATTCAAGTTAGCAATCTCCATCTAACATAGGTGTTGGGGTGATTAAAAGTAACCAGTTTTTTGTACAGCAGAAGGCAATGGCACTTCCCTGCCCTAAGGTCTCTGAGTCAGGCCATTTACTGATAAAAGGTGAGGAGTGTTTAAGCAGCTTTTATTTAAGGTGACAGAAATAACATAGCCTAATTAACCAACTAAAATTGCTCTGTATAAGTGAACACAAATGTTATATATAACTATTCTTCGGCTAAGACAAGATCACATCTTCATTATCTATTGTTCAACCATTTCCTTTACAAAAATAACAAGAGAGAATAACAAATTTAACATTTTTACAAATAAATACATACATGTTGAAGAATTTATGCTCATCCATACATCCACTTGTTTATTAGAACATAAAAATGAACAGTTAATTTCATTTTGAGGTAACAGTAAAGCATACCTTATGATAAAGTTACCACTTACATCACCAAAAAAAAAAAAACAACTGTTCAAATGTAAGTTTTACACAACTTTCTGGATGTTCATAATTGGCTTACCTGATTATATTTTGTAATTCTGAGTATTAATATTTGGCTTTATTTTGATTGAAATATAGTATAGTATTCTATTATTTCTGATGCCAAAATAAAATCAGTATCAGCGAACCTACTAAGGTTGGACAAGTAGAACTTATTCTCATGTCTACATCTCATGTTATTTTGAAATCAATTTATAATAAAACAAATGCCATCTTTAAATTTTTATGGTCAGTTAAACAGTTTATACTGCAGAGGTCTGAGGTCATAGTCCCTCCAATACTGTTGATCACAAATACCAAAAACGATACTGTAGTCAAGCAATGATATTTGAGCACATCAGAGAAAGATATCAAACAAACACAATAACAGTACATTCTATTTTCAAGTTCAACAAGTATTGAAGACCTCAATACATATATTTAAACCTTTCTTCTATGGTTTCAGTTACTATATGTTTACCCAAAATTGAATGAGTGGGATGCTCATGTTATGTTTAAAATTTTCCTCCAAGATTCTCAAATATCTTCCAAGAATATGGCAAGACAGTATAACAAATACTTATACATGTATATCTCTTAACAAACTTTAACAATGACTTAGCTGTCCTTTGTGTTATGATATGAGTTATAAATCTTGTATTCTGTTATGAAAGGGATGTGATGCTGGATAGCGAGTGAACACAAGTGTTAATGGAAATGCAATTACAGTGCAACTTTTACCTGTACATGATGAGTTGATTTAAACCAAATATTAAACATAAAACAATGTAGGAACAAATCAAACTCAAAGTGCAATTGAAACATTAGGAAAAAAACATAAACATTATTTTAAAGAACAGGCAAACATACCTATTCAAGCACCTTACAACTATGTTCAAAATATAAAAAAATACATTAGCAAACTAAACAAAGATTTCAATCAAATAATACAAAAACTTGTCATAACTGGAAAAATAGAAGTATGTAAACCATTTTTATTGGAATGATATACTTACCTATGGTTAGAAATAATGCCATTGGAGTTTAGAACAACCCTTATAAAACAACAAATATACTAACAATTATTATTATGATTAATAAATAATAAGCAGGCAAAAATGGGTAAATGTCATTGGTTGAAGAAGCTAAACATGAGAGCAAAGCACTCAGAAGACTTAAAAATATATCACGATGAGTGCTTTAGGTCAATCTATAGCCTTGATCCATTTGTGCCACAGCACATACAAGATANTTGGAAATGCAGCGTGACAGGATTAATACATCACTGTGAGGATTGGATGCAGAGTATAAACTAGGTAGGTTTATGTTGAATTGATCTGGGAATAACTAGCTGTTAAATCACTCATCACCTGATCTTTTTTCTTCATGTGTTTCTTTACACACACAAAAACACCTCCAAATAATATTAAAATAACAGGTAAGCCTAGACCAGCTGATATAACTCCTATAACTAATATTGATATAGCATCTTTTGGTGGGTGACCATAGCCTATACTACCACTCCTACAAAAATAAAATTTAATCGTATAACTAATGAAAGACTAATATAAAACAATTGGAAAATCTACATACTAAAGTGTATTGCAAGGATGTTCTTAAATTCTAAAAAACTGAAAATCTACTTACCACACAGTATAATTAGTTTTAGTATAAAAACCATCTTTAGATAAACCAAATGATATATTAGTGGCACTTTTAGAATATTTTGTTGTAAAAAGGACATTTCCAAAATAGGTATAGGCTATGCTTTCTTCTAACAGACCTCCTTGTTCCTTTGCATTAGTCTCAGAGTAATATGCTACAAAAGTTCCTGAAAGTCTATCTCTATCAGTTTTAGTGTAACAAATTGGTTTCCATTCCAAATAACCACCATTGTTCTTATTACTGGGTTTAGTTGACCAGTCAAACATCTAAATAAAATGAAAATGATTAATCAGCACATTCTATGAATGAAAAACATGTAGTCCATTTAATTGATGAATTAGTAAAAATTCTATTTTGGATCTTAGCTCAGATGTCTCATATACATACAACAGTCCTCGTGTATTTGTATTCTTAGCTTGCATGGATTAGGCATCCAAAAAATTAACAAACAGTGAATCAAGTCTAAATACACCCCTTTGGCATACAGGTGGTAAAGAGAGAAACTTCTATTAACTTTTGCAAACTATGCACAGATGTGCACAAATATTTTGCCTTACTTTTAGATAAATATTTGGCCGTTGTTTGCATTCTAATGGATCTTTCATGAATTTAGGAATGTATAAAATTCTTACTTTAAAAACACCAGGAGTATATTCGTCATCTAAAGATTCTGTTTCTGATATTTTAGGACGATCTTTACTTGATCCAATCACCACCACTTCTATAGCAAACCTGGACTGTGTATAACTTGCTTTAAAATCATTCAATAAGAAATCAAACAGGGTATTATTTTCATTGTGTTCCATTTTAGGTAAAACATCATCTCTCCCATCACTATCATAGGCATTAAACTGTAATAAAAACATTGACAATTGGAAATTTAAGAGTTTGGTTTAAGATAGAGGAGAGATTGTTAAAAGCTAAAAAACATATTCACAAGAACTCAAGACATTACATGGATATAAGCATCTGCAAAATTTGAACTATATGTATCACTTTTATTAAAAACTGTCTTTACTTGTATTTGAGGAATTCAGTCATATTCATTTATTGCTTATAACACGGAAGTCCAGTGTCTTAATAGGATCTAATAAATCACTAAAAATTAAACTGATATTATGACCTTCCTGGTCCAAAGTTGGGATGAACTCACAAGAAAAACCACACCAAAACTGAAACTAACCGTTAAAACTAAAGTTCCCAATGTGTCATTTTTATCCATAGTTTCATTTTGGCTTTTGATAACTGTCAAATTGAAAACTGCAGAGTTGTCTTTTCCTTTTATATGATTGACTTCTTGCCATCCAAAATTTTGAAATTCGTGCACTGTCCAGTTGGTAGAATGTATATCATAGGAATTCAGACTAGCATCATCATTCATATCATTGTATTCAAATAACTAGAAAAAAAAGGCACATTCATAGAAATAAACTGATAACAGCATCCAAATCAATATTACATCCCGAATAACCAACTACAACATGCAACCAATTCAATTGTTTACTTTTGGAGCAGTTGATATGAATGGTTCAGTTGGGAAATAATACCAACCTTTAAAAAGCTAAAAACATTTTTCATTCGATGAAAATTATAATAAATTTAAGAAATTATTGAAAAGTGTTCAACCCAGGCTATAATTCTTAATATCATATTATTTATTTCTAGCTAAAACTTAAAGTTTAAGGTTTCAATTTGGTTTTTTCTACTCATTATGAGAGAAAGGCCAAATTTTTTATAATTTTTTCAGATTTGTTCAGCTTACTTAGCAATAATTATCCTAGTTATGAGTTAGCCTACATAACATCAATTAAATATTAGACAAAAGCTTTCCGCTACTAAAATAAAGTTATGATGGTCATAGTGATCCCAGATATTATCTCCAACCTTTAACCTATACTTACCCTAGTTAAAACAACAGCATAAGAATTTTCTAATAATGAACCAGACGGCTCTAAGGTTATAGCATGGTCAGTTCGTTCGGAAGAATTAGTTGACAGAAGTTTCTCCCAATTAATTTCAATTATACTGCCTGGCTTCCCTCTGATAACTAGGGCTGTGAGAGAACCAACACTACTAAGTAAATAATGAAGCACATCCTCACTGCCCTCAGCTTTAATGTAAGCTACATTAGCAAAGTTTTCATCTATCCCCTCTTTACATGCAGTTACATTGCATCCTGGATTTAATGCAGTTGTGATCTGTGAAAAAAAAATCATAAATCATTTATACATGGCATAATGCCTACGTCTAAATTTAACTTGTTCCTTACTTTCTTTTAATAGCTTTTGACAGGGACCAGCCAAATTGGAGCTAGAAAAAGTAAACCCACATTTACAACATTATGAACAGATTTAATACAATAAAAGGCTTTAAAGTTTAAGAGATATACTTTATTTTGAACATCAAAGAGAATTTGAACATATCTTTATACAGTGGTGTAACCTATATTCATGCTTACAAGGATTCAACGCCGAATTTTGTCAAAATTTTGAGGAGTAAGTTCTCCGTCACAATTAATTTTGGTTGGGAAAAATGGCAAAAGAAAACTTTTTTGGAATAAGGAAATGAAGGGGAAAAGCCCCAAAAAACTTAAAAAGACATGCTAAGGCCATTTTTAATATTGATAAAGATTCTAATGTTTACCGTTCTTCCTGTCTTTGATTTTTCACCATTACAAACCATACATATGAAGACTATTATCAATATTGAAAAACCAGATAAAATCGACTGCTGAAAGACGCCATTTTCACATCACATGATAGAGTGGAGTAAACTGTAAAGTCACGTGCACTGTGACTAATGTTTCCAAGATGTTTCGTTACATTTTATTCTATTTTTTGTCAAAATTGTTCTAAAAATGATTATGAGTCGGGGCAATACAAATTGTAATTATATTTAATTAAATATCCAAAATCTCGTTTTGTACGAAACAACTGAAGGAGCAATCTCGTACGAAATAGCCCATTTTACATTTCCGGTGAAATGTGAAGAAACAGAGAAGCGATGTCTGCAAAGGCTTTCAAACAAGAAATGGCCCCCAAGGGGGGTTTTGGGCCCATACACTGGGCTAAACGAACACCTAAGCCGTTACTGAGTGGTAAATGCTGCTTTTATTTTATCCGGCCTTATCTATATCACGATTTGTTTTTTTGAAAATGATAACGACCTTGACGACCTCTGTTTTTTTTTTTTTTTTTTTTTTTTTGTAGGCCTATAGGCCTGATATGGCCTAATACTATTTCTGCCCCTAGCTTATCAATGGATGCGATTAGCCAAGTAGTTTAAATATTCTTGCATCGAAGGGAGAATCAAATCGCCAAGTAATGCAAACTCTCAAATTAACGCTGTCTCATGGAAATTCGCGAATCGTCAACCAGACCTTAAGCCCTGTCTATATGCTTGACGACAAGCGGAGGTTAGACAAACAATGTCACAACAACGCATCTGTAACGTTAGTGCAAGTGCTGTCCAATAATGCTGTCAATATTTATATTGAACGAGTTGACATATCATTATTTTTTTAGGCTTTTAGGCTAGGCCTAAACACGTTAAACCGGTGATTAGGCCTAGTGCTCACCATCAATTAATCACTTGTATTCATTTTGACTTTTCTCTTTTTTTCATGTTTAATCAAGTGAATAAATGCGGATATGCCAAAATGAAAAGGCCTATATGTGCCTAATTAAAAGTGTGCCCAAATCTATGTGTCTTAACTACTATATGAGTAAAGATGACATAATCAACGTCTGTCTAAATGACCTAGTGCTTAGGAAAAGTATGCCTGATGGACTGTGTCTATTAAACTACCAGGTATTAGAATAGGCCTGGGACCCAATCTTATTTTGTTCCTAAATGAACAGTGAATCAGTGTAGGCTATGGCAATTGGTTTATACGGCCATGGGGCGCTTACCTTTTATTTTTATATGTCTTAGTTCAAGTGGATGCAGGTCCCATATTGATTGTCTTCTGCTTGCTCTTCAAAATTAATTATTTTAAGGGTTTCAGTAGACCTACCCGATGAACAAGCCTGGCACAACTCTGCCCTACAATGGTACAAATTGCAGCAACTCCAATATTTTCTCAAGATCACTTTTTTGAACATTTGGAATCAGAATTTCATGCCTTATTTAGTAGGATATGTCCTAACAATCATTGAACAATACTTATTGAGATAAGTAAGTGACAAAAGGCAAAAACTCCATAACTTGAATATATTTTCAATTGCAAAAGGCAGTAACTGCTTTTACATACATGTATAGGAAATATGTGACAAAGCAAAAAGGCAGTAAGTGTAAAGAAAAGTTTAAAGTGCAGTTTTCTCAAAATGTAAAAAATGTCTTTACGGCCTTTTGCCATTGTAGGGCTGATTAACAGGGCACTAGCTAGGCTATTCCTAGAGATCTTTAATCCATCAGAGAAAATTTTAGGGTTTAGGAAATAGAAAATTCACCATAGTCGGACAACTTCTCTAATGTTCATCCACGTGTTTGGGGTGACATCACCTAGATGTATGACGTTGATTGGCTAGTGTAAATATAATGGGGCATGGCTGACGATTCGCCAATTGGTTATGCAGTCAACTAACAGCAGGTGACGCACGAATTAATGCCAACCTGTAAATTAACGCTGTCTTTTACACCAGATGTGTCGAGTTCAAAATCTTTTTAGCGTTTTGTACTTTTCTAGTACTTCTGAAGACTATTTACATATATTCAAAACCTCAATCAACCCCTGAAAATAACGACAGTACGACCATAGCAATAAAAATAAATATGGAATCACCATTATAGTTCTGTTTTTTTTTGTAGATTAGAAATGTGCTTAATTGTAGATACTTTAACGGTGGAAAAAGATCTCTTCAAACAGGCAGGATTGAATAAAATATTGACAATTGGAGATGCCAGACTGGTCAATAAATCTGTGTTAGACTAAACAGACATTTTGATAATCTACACAATCTGACTTAACAATTTCCACTATTAGATAACTTGTTAAATTGTTGGATTACATGGTTGATTGTGTGTTCATTGTACAAGTTATGCTTTGTGTATTTTGCAGGGTTTGTACAGTTTGGTTTAATGGGCGGGTTTATGGGATTTTGGCTTTATATGTTCTATAAATTCGGCTTCAAAAGGGTTATGTAAGTACTTAATATTCATGCTTATGTATTCAATCAACTATATTCACACACAGTGAAACCTTTCTGACCTTGTAACCAGCCAGCACCTTGTGAATGAAGACTTCAGGGGATGATTGCTTCTGGAATTCATGATATTTTTTCCTTTTTTGGACCAATTATGGTCGATAGAAGCAGAATAAAAAAAACCTTACAAGGCAGACAATTCTGTTAATCGAAATTTTGACCAAAACCAATAGCAAAAGATATATAGTAGTGGACTCCTCCAATGAGAAGTACCATCAGGTGTTTCGTAAAGAGTAAACAGGTCTTATTAAAATTGAGCTCCATCAATGTTGAATATTATAAATAATATTTGCCTGAGTTATAATAATAATAATCTATTGTTTTATGAACTATTTGTTTTAGATATGAACAAATTGAGCTACAAGATGCTATGGCAGCCATTGAACCATTACTTGAGGCAGAGAAACATAGAATGTAAGTTTTAATGATTTATTTTTTTTTAATGAAGTCTTAGGTAATAGATCATGGTGTCCAAACCACAACCCCATTTCTCATACTTCAATGCCCTGGTAATACAAATGAGGGAAAATGAGCTAAATATTTAGTAAAAATTGGCCCTAAAATCTATCTATGAAGATCTCGGTCTATCAAATCACTTGTTATAGACGCTTTGTTTGCAAACTTTAAATGAACGCAGCTTGTCATTGAATGTTTTGAATGATATGTACAATACAAAATTGGGTAAGATTTTTGGTAAAGAATTGAAGCTGACAGAAAATCAGATCATTATTGGGAATATGTCTTACCTCAAAAAAATCGCTTTGCTCCTTATTTCTTCAAATGGGTGGCAGCAACTCGATTTGGTGTTTTGTTTACATTTACGTTCTACTTAAAGCGTGATCTGATTGGTCAGATAAAAATAGCATCAATCTGATTTCCACTCCTACAAAGTGTAGCAGACTTAGTTTAATACAGGTTAATAAGACTGTCAAAACTCGTATTCAGGATAGAATGGTATCAGAAATGCTGATATCAATTTAACTTTGTTATATATGCTTCATAAAAATATGACCTTATAATTTTATATGTAAATTTGATTTTGGGGATGTTGCAAGATGTTCCATTGAATGGGTTTTGAGTGGAAATAAATGAAACATAGCGATACCCCTTGATTATTAGTTATGTGTTTTTAGGATAAAGATTAGTGTACGGTATGTGTATAGTCAATCAAAAATCTGTCTATCAAATTATCAGAACAATAGAATGTTTAGCTTTAGTTTAGTTCCATTTTTTCTTGTATTTTAGGTTTTTGATACGTATGCGTCAAAACAGAGATTATGAAAATGAGTTGATGAAGGACTATCCTGGATGGAAAACAGGAACTTTATTTGGAGAACCAGTGTTCCACAATAAGAGAGAAAGATTTATGACACCATCTTTAGAAGAGTATTATGCACACACAGAAACTCGTCATTATAACAAGAAAAAGTTTCCCAAAATTCACTTTGAATTTTAAAACTATGAATATTTATAAGTTTGACTATAAGTTTGACTGTTGTGAATCGAATGTACCTGAATTGCTTAGAATAAATAATTGAAACTGGATATTTATGGGTTATAAACACTGGTGTATTTTAATGTTATAAATGTTTATAACCATATTTATGTTTGAAAATGATTAAGGGATCTTGTATTCTAATAATTGATATTGTGGTTACTATAGATTTATCTTACACTCATATTGATCAGATGCCGATAAAAGTGAAAAAATTCTAGATCATTTTCAGGGTTAAGCTAACTTAGAACATACCTGTTGAGGTTTGCACCGAACCCGTTAATAGATCAACCCTACGACTCAATTGTTATGGCATACAGGGGGCAATAGATCCTTTTTTGCTTCTCGTTTTATCTCAAAAGTGCTTCGCCCTTCACCTGTGGAGATGACACAAAGCCAATAAAAATTGGAGATTTTTTCATCTCCAATGTTAATATATATTTTGAACTAAACGAAGAATTTAACAATTAATTGCTTCCTTTAATTATTTCGGATAAATTTATCTAAAGTTTCAATGCCGTTTAAAACTGCAAATATTTTTATATTGCCTGGAAATCTTGATTTAATGGCATCTTGAACCTCTCGACCAGTGAGAGTTTTCTGACGACGTCTTCGAGCACGTTGAGCAGCATCATATGCCAAAGCATGGAACAAATAGTTCATGAAACCATTCATCTGATCCAAACTGTCTTTAGAAATCTGCATGTTTTTATGTACATGTTTCAAAATCCGACGAATGTAGGTTTTATAGTTGCTTTGGAAAAGTTGACATTGAGTTTCTACTAACGTCGATTTCATGCCCTTTCGGTACCTTCCATAATATTTAACTTTCACATCCCGGGTGATGCGGATATGCTTTCCTCTGGAGGGTATTTTCCTCGATTTCGTCTTTCCAGATTTTGAACTCTTCAGAACAGTTTCCATTTTAGTTTGCGTTTGTTTCAATTCAGATGAGGAAGCTTCTGTTACCTGCTTTTGTATCTTTGGCACCGGATCATTAGACATATTTCCTAGACAATTAAGAATGATAGGCTTACTACATGGAATGCAAATGTTTAGGGGGATTCTCAGCCAAGTAAATTTTAAAACGAGAAGCCCGGAGATGTCATATCTGACGATTCTGAGGCGCCAACGTCAAATTTATAAGATAGGTTTCATCTTCGAATATTTTCTTTTGTGGTTACGATCCAATCCAGAATATGCATTTTCGGTGATTCCAAGCGCATTTGATATGATATGCAGCTTCAAATTATTAGATGTAATTTGGTGAGCACCAAAGGTGTGATATTGATAAGAGAGTATAAGGAGTCCTATATTTAAAGTGATACCACGTCATAGAATTAACATAAAATTTAAGAATTTTAAACTTGGCGAATAAGAGCCAGTAGATATAACTGGTGTCATAAATAACGTAACGGGATCCTTATATAATCCGATAGATAAAAAAAACTTAGTAATTATCCATAAATATGCAATTAACTATTGAAAAACGCTTAATGTCGAGATTAAGCGTTTTTCAATATTACTTTGTTTTTTATGAATTTTCCTATTTTCTAGATTTTACAGGGATTCTGTTGTAACTTTATCACTTTAAGAGTAATAAGCCCGTTGGTGCCATTTCTAGCGATTTGAGACGAGGAAAGAAGGGTGTCCACAAAGTATTTTTGCTTTTCCAGCGATCTGAGATAAATCTATCGTGCTGTAGATTTTTTTTTTCGGGCGTCTTAGTACTTGGGCTCAATTCCCATTTGCCGGGCGGTGTTGCACATTATGCGGTGTGTTTTGTTGTAAATTTGCCAGGGGAGCGACAATTGTCTCTTACCCGTAATACCATTGTCGATGTATTTTTATTTATTTTTTTTGCGGATGTCCTGACGCCATCCATTCATAAGCTGATTGTCTTAACCCGATGTTAAATCGTACAGCCTTTGGCGTAGTTCCATTTTTTTAAAACTCACCCTTGCGTCTTGAGTCTACTCTAAAATAGTTTTATTTTGGTATTTCAAATTGACATCAACAACGTTCCTATGGGATTATATTTCGAAGATAAATGGTTGACGTCATAATGGGAGGTATGCCTTCTTCGCGAACAATGATCCGGTAGTCTACTTTTTTTACATTGTCCATTACCTGCATTTGGAGAAAATTTCAAAAACCGTTTACGGTAACTTACTTTTTCTAAATATTGTCGAGATTTCGGACAAGGTATACTGACAAATTAAACAGTTTGGTTACCTTGCTCACATAAATATAAATATTGCCCTGACGACATATCTGGTTCTTGGACAAATCGAGGAAAAAATATTCATCAACGGTGTTAACTTGGAAATTTTAATAACCTGCATGACCGATAACGTTTCAAATATGTAGGCTACCGAATTTAGTCTTCGTTAAATTACATGAGTGTGCGTGATGTTTTAGAGATTTTTGAAGTAAAAATTTGGTATACGTTTTTGTCATCACAACGCTAAATCTGCTGACGCATGAACGATGCGCAAACAATTTTACTGAACCTAGTAGTGCCATCGAATGCCAAACACCGACAATTATTTAGTCGTAGTTTGAAACAATGCGTAAACAGGCTACGAAATGGTACACCTTACTGCATACTGTTTTGTCTTTCGAGAGCTTCAATAGTCGATATAAGAAGGGTGGCAATTACAGTATAGGACCGTTTGTAATAGCTGGACATAGTGAAGATGTGTTTGTTTTGAGCAAGTCGACTATTACATTTTCCAAATCAGTTAGGTACACAGACTAAGCTTCCTGGCATTTTCCAATTTTGGAATTTACAAATTAACGCTTTATAGTACAATAATAAACATGTTTTTTAAAAATTTAATAATTGTGGAAACGATCATATAAAAAAAAACAAACAACTAAGACAATACAAAGACATTGAGAAAAACCTCACTAAAAATAACCTTTCATTCTTTACAATTTTTTTTTTTACTTTTTACAATTTGATTAAAATGATAAATGATTAAAATGAATTCAATTTGATGTATGCACATAACATTCATTCATACTTGGTCGATACAGACGAGACTAAAATGAAATTAACTTAAAAACATAAAATAGCACATACAAGTCTTTGCAAACAATTAAAAATCAGCATCCAATGTAAATTGATGATTACTTTGACCACCTGACATCACTCCCATTCTTTGATATTCACCTACTCTCTTCTCAAAAAAGTTAGATTTCCCTTCAAGGGATATTAATTCCATAAAATCAAAAGGGTTTTCAGAGTTGTAATACTAAAAAAATAAAGAATATTTCAATGACAAATTTAATATAAATATTATTATATATATTATATAAATATAAAAATTATATACTTTTAGCCATTAACAAATTCCTAAATTATCTGTCCAGGACTTAAAAGTTTTATGAAGGTGTAATCATTTAAATTAATCAAGGTGTAGGAGATTAAGAAAGCAAGAGGGAAGTGTAAAGGGTCTCTAAAATTAATTTCGAAATTTGAAAAGGCAACAACTACATCATGTCAGAGATAAACTGATCCTTACCTTATCACAGCCTAAGTCGACTAATAATCTGTCAGCTACAAATTCAATATATTGCTTCATGAGATCACAGTTCATACCAATTAATTTACATGGTAAAGCATCAGTTAAAAATTCTTGTTCAATTTGTACTGCATCAGTAATTATACCATAAATTCTTTCCTGTGATAGCTTATTTACTAAATGTCTGTACATTAAACAGGCAAAATCACAATGTAGACCCTAGAAAATACAAAATTACAAATGTGAAAAATAAAGTTTGTTTTCTGAACTATTTTTGCTTAAAGAATAATGTTTCGAAAAACTTCCTACTATTGAAAAATAACCAGATTGTACCTAACATTGATATAATAGAATCAGGACAACCTATACCATCCTGTACCAAAGACAAGAAACATGCAACAAATTACTTATAATTGAAACCTATGATCATTATTAACAATTAGAGGCAAATCAAGAGACTAGAATATTATTTTTAAAGTTAGAACAAACCTCGTCTCGACTGATCAGTTCATTACTGAAGGTTAAACCAGGCATTATACCACGCTTCTTCAACCAAAATATAGAGGCAAATGAACCAGAGAAGAAAATTCCTTCAACGGCAGCAAAAGCAACAACTCTTTCTGAATAGTCTGCCTCTTCATCACCAATCCATTTTAGAGCCCAGTCTGCCTTCTTTTTTACACAGGGTAATGTTTCAATAGCATTGAATAAGTAGTCTCTGAAAAATAATTACCTAGTTATAAATTTGTAGGATGAATTAGCTTACATTCCATACTGCAGTTGTACAAAATAGCTTTATTTAATTCAAATGAAGCCAATGAAGGTCTTACCCGTTTATGGCACTATCTGTTTGAAAATGAAATTAAATCTGTGGCTAAATTGTCAATGTGCATCACAGATATCAAATTTCTGCAGTTGATAGGTTTCCCCTTAATTGGGCATAAATTCCAGTTGAAGGGTACATAGAATCTTCACATGCAGTTTGAAAAGGAATCTGAGATTTGCATTGAACCTTTGAATCTATAATGAAATAAGTTTATTACCTTTGTTTAGGATCTTTGATATAGGTATCTATTAATAAGCTGTACATCTCACTGTGGATATTCTCCATGGCAACTTGAAAACCATAGAAACATCTTGCTTCTGTTATCTGTACCTCTTTACTGAATCGTTCAACCTACAATCGGTAAAAAAAAAACAATTTAATTCATGATATAAAGGCAACAGGCTATAAGGCTAATGCAAAATGGTTCTGGACAGATAACCAAATAGGATCTAATCCTTTTGCCTCATTACGTTATTTAAACATTTGCCAACATCTATCATCTTAGATCTAATTAGTAAATGAAAAGAATTCTTACCAAATTTTCATTCACAATACCATCACTGGCAGCAAAGAAAGCCAGGACATGTGAAATGAAGTGTTGTTCTTCAGGTTTTAAAGCTTCCCAATGAATTAAATCTTTAGACAAGTCAACTTCTTCAGCAGTCCAAAATGATGCTTCAGCTTTTTTGTACATTTGCCAGATATCATCATATTGAATAGGGAATATTACAAATCTATGGGGATTTTCTCTCAATAATGGTTCTTGGTTTGGATCCGTTCTTTTGTATTTCCTACCAACTTTTTTCATGACTGGCTTGTGTACTTTCTGAAATAAACAAAGTTTCACACAATCAGATACAGCTATTTAACATGTACACCTTTAAATTCCACTGAAAATTACTGTAATTTATAGTTTTATAGAATGTTAAATGGCTGCATTATATAGACATAATCAATACAACGCAAACACCAATGACACGAAAAACATTTGTAACACTAAATAGTATAGGTATCAATCATCTCAATAGCCAATTTATGAATTATGCAAGCTTATCAAATAATTTTCTACCTTATTAGTGTCTGCCACTTCCATGATATTTTGAGTCTGACTTTCACCAAGAACTTTTTTCTTTGAGGCATTGTGTATATTTCTGCTCACCTGAAATTGCAAAAAAGGAAATTATAAGCTCAAGCTTAAGCCTTAGCGAGTCAATCATTCAACTTTGCAATTTGTAAAACAACTATTCTAGTTTCACACTACATTGTACAAGGAGTACCATATTGACAACTAAATTACTAAAAAGACAGTTAAAACTTTAAATCAAGCCCTAGTCATCAATCATTCTTTGTCAAAATTTTGCGAATTTTTAGATTAAAGCAAAATCTTCCTTTTCAAATCCTCAATAAAATGACAATTGAGCTACTGACCAACATCAAGTAAGTTTAGGTAATCTAGTGTCAAAGAAAAATGACTTTTAGAAACTGGCGCCAATGTCAATTCTCATGATTTTGTGGACGCAAGTATCATAAAAAATTCCGCCAACATGGAAATAGGATGAACTCACCTCATTTTCATCATTAACTTTTATCTGTGATATAATTGAAGTCATTTTGATAAATATAAATGTCGTCTGAATAAATAAAAACTATGATCGCTTCAAAATTATATAAAATATTTAAAGGTAACAAGTCTGCGTCTCTGTGTACAGGTCAGTAGAAGAATGAAGTTCTGCAACATCTGCAAAAAGTACGGGAAATATTATTCATAAAATCGCGCACTTTTCATTTGACCAATCAAAACTCATTTCACAGACGCCTTTGTACTCATTGGACAATATGAAATCGTCGAAAGGGTAAAGGGTATTTATAGCACAAATGGTGTTAGTTCTTTTGGTGCATTAATTTTCACAAAATTATAAATTTTGTAAATCAATATAATAGATATCAAAACTAGATTAGTACATTTTTAATATTCAGCGCTAAAAAGACGTTTCAAAAAGATTTTACAACTAAAAGAAGTATCCTTTGTCCCCTGCAAAATTGGAAGTGTCTAACTAGGCCACCTAGCAACATGAACTTCCTTTCTTGTATTATTGAGCATTTTGACCTACTTATGTAACCAAGTTTCATAACTTTTTTTTCATTGTTTCATATTTTTCATGCTTGACTTCTCACGAATTTGTCACATTTTGATAGATTTAGCAGACATTTTTGTATTTACTGTAATCAATGAGAGTATTAGTTTTGGACTATATTTTATAATGGAGTAATATCCTGTTGTAGTTATTAGAAAATAACAACATGGCGGACAGCATCAAAGTAATCAATGATGATGCTGTTAAAAGATTACACAGCAGACACCCGTCTGGTCATTTACACAAAGGTACGTGATAATTAGCAGCCTCGGTCGTGAAATTCATTTAGTATGCCCATCTTTTTTCCTTTGCTTGGCGCTTGCAATTGGATAGCACACTTCCCTCCCTACCAAATCCCAGAAATTGTAAACTGACACACATTTCTCATGTGATTTTTAATTCTTTTACCTGGTTGGCATTTTCAGCAACCCTAAGCCTATTGTCTATTGTTTGAACAAAGTAAAGTTTTTTGAATTTTTCCCATTATTTTATGCAAATTGCAATAGCAGCCTCAAAATAGTACTGACAAATGTCACTGCGTTGATAAGAATATAAACATGAGCACACGTTATGTCTTTAGAATTTGTTTTGACAGAAAAAATTTCCATCCAAGATTTGTGACTTTTTTAGGTTGAAATGCGTTTTTTTTCAACGTAAACTTACAAAAGATTATAATATATTTATCAACGCAAAGCCATTCAAAAACTATCAGAACTTTCTGAGGCTGATATTCCAATTCTCCTAAAAAATGTCAAAGAAATTCCAAAAACTTTTTTATTTTTATTTGCTCACAGATAATAAGACCATCTTAGTCTCTCGTCTCAGTAGTTTTTTGAGTTAATATCTCATTTCATACAAAAATATAGTCTTGGGTTGTCTTTTTAGTTTAATGAAGTGTCAATCTTTTTTGGAAAATATTATAGGCCTATTTAAATTTACATATGGAACCTACATTTAAATTTTCAATGTTTGTAATAATTGTAGGTCATGGAGTGGTGGCTGCTAATTCCTCTATACCAACCAAATATCAAACAATAGTCACTGATAATTCTGATAAAAAAGGTTTCACCTGTAAAGCAAAAAGATTTCAATCTACTACATTGGTAATTTTTTTTCTGTAACTAAGATCATACAAAACTATTAAATTTAATATGAATTTGACATCTTTTTTAATTCAAAATTTAGTAAACTGATAGTAGAAATTGAGCTCTGGCAGAACAAGGGTATAATTAGAAGGCTAAAAATAGGTCAGATGTCTGTGGATGGCATAGCATGAAACTCTGAGTAATAAAAACATGATTTTTAGGTTCTGTTTTAATATTTCTATATCAATCTACATTTGAAGTATTGAACACTATTTTAACAGTGAGATTTTTTTCTTATTGTTAGTTAATTTAATTGTTTTTAGTCTGAAAATCCTGGACCCTGTAATTATATTGGTCATGATAATTTCGATAAAGAGAGTAATTCTTTTTCTAAGAAAGGAACTGGCAGTTTTGCTTCCAAGGTAAGTTGAATTGTTTTCTAGTAGTAGATAACTGATATGTGTCATGAGTAATGTGTTTTATATTCTCCAAGTTACATCTCAGTGATATCTAGATAGTGAGAATTAATAACTTTTCTTGCTGTTAACCAAATGATTTGGCACACTAGTGTTAACTTCAAAATGCTTTTAAAGAATTGACTTATTGAGTATTTTTGTTGCAGTCTAAAAGACAGATTAGATATGAAATGTCTAATGGGCCTGGGCCAGGTATCTATGGTTTACCTGACATGCTCTCTAGTAGACAGGACTTCAACAGATCTGGTTCTACTAGCACATTCCAGAAACCTATAGCACAGACACAATTAAATAAAAAGGGAAATCCAGCTCCAAATTTGTATCAGGTTGGTAACCTTTTATTAAGGAGTTGACACACTTTCTATCTGGTATAGATACATTAAATCATGTTTTTACTTTTATACATAACTTCGGATTCTTTTTTTTACCTGACTGCATATGGAGGTGACCAGGAGTTTAGTGAAAGTTCATGTTGTGCAAATTTATTTATAAATCTTTTATGTTCGTCACATTTAAGGTAAAATTCTTAAAAGGAAAATCAAATAATATATGTGGTGATGCTGCTTTTAAATCTAAAACACGAAGAGATATTATTGATGTTAAAGAATCCAAAAGAATGCCAGCTCCTTGTAAGTAATGTTTTCATTTGAAAATCCACAGAGATTTTTGATTGTTTTGAAATCCTTTTACTTAAGGAATGTTGTGATTGTTACACTGCTTTTCTGGGCCATTGTGCATGTTACATTATAAAGCATGGTTTATTTTCCATTCATTTAAGGAACGACCTGAACATTTTTTCAGTTAATCGATGTATAAACAGAAAAAACCTGTGTAAACTGTATAAATCCGCGATAAACTGAAAAAATGTTCAGGTCATTCATTATAATTAAATCAACTCGAATAAGTTTTTAAATATTTGTCTAAAATAGTAACAATTTAAGGCACTAAATTGACGCCTAAATACATAACAATGTTAATGAACTGATGCTAACAATAGAGTCCTAGAGAACAGCCAATCAAAAATAAGTAGGTCATTTATTTATAGTCTACTGTCTACTACATGAAAGTTGACGGAGCAGCCAAATTTGAAGTTCAATTATTGAAGGAAGAGTTCTATATAAGTCCAGAATTCCTGAATTCATGGAATTTGGAGTGTGCACATTTGAGGGAATTAAGAAAATATCTTTATCATTCAGTGATATGTCGATTTCGGCTCTGTTGGCGTTTTAAGGAACGACATCGACGCCGTGTATTGGCCATGTCAATCAAACTCTATGATAAAAGTAGTCCGTTTAGGGGTGGAGCTTAGATTTTCATTCTGTTTGAACAGATATAAACCGAATGCACGTGACCGCTGTTATCCAATCAAATTGCGTGATACTGTGTAAACGGAACTGTGATTTAATTATTTCATTATGATAACAAGATCTACATTCATGTGTTATATTTACATTTATCTTTCATTTCTGACAAGAAAAATTTGTTGTGGCATGTTGTACAATTTATATTGGGCAATAATGATATTAGTGATGGTTGGATGTATTGAACCTTTGGTTCTGTTTCCTTTTGGAAATATAGACACTTACTGACAGACAGTGACAAATACTGAATTAGCCTAAAAGAGAGTCAATATTTTTATTATGACACTTGGATTTTGCGACACCAATTAGATTGATAATTATCATTCACACTGCTTTGATGGGAATATTGACCCCTTGTTATTAGTAGTAAGTAGACACTAGCTTCTGTTAAATACTTTGATGAAGCAGATTTGATAAGATGATTTAATTTACAGACTCAATTAGTCGATTTACTTTACAGACTTAATAAGCTGATTTAATTAGCAGATTAAAGCTATTGTGATTTAGGGATTAAAGAGATTCAGTTAATCCCTTGAGTTAATTATAGTAGTTAAAGTGATACTGCGTCTTAGAATACACTCGTCCTGTGGCTAATATTTGTGTTTAATAGTGACTATCGGTTAAATAAGTATGCATCCCACACTTTATCAAGTTTGAAAAATGGACAATAAAACTATAATCAAAATTTTAAAAAAAAGGTGAGCAAGCAACAGTTTGTTCAGTTTGAGAAAAAAGAGTCTGGGTAATCAACGCTTAAACAGGAAAAAATCATCTTCCGGTGTATACAAATAAACTTTGCAAATGATTAATATTCGTTGAAAATTGTGTCAGTGGTGGAGTATTCATTCTAAATTATATATATTGCTTTTTCGCGCAGTCGCTTAATCTCCTACGAAGCATCATTATTCCGTCTTCAAAATATGACAATATCAAGGTCACTTCAAGTGTAGAGGTCAAGGAAGCGGGAAACCTCACTTGAGAGTTACTTCCCCTTGAAAATTATACCGGTTTTCATAGACTCACGATTTGAAAATCGCTTAATGGATGTATTAAGCGTTTTATAATTACATGATTTTGTGGATATATCGGATTATAGAGGGATTTTGATGTATAGTTAGGACACCAGGTAAGTCCACTGATGGATATATACTGTTATTGGCCAAATTTGAGCAAAATTAAAATTTTATGTTCATCCTAAGACGTAGTATCCCTTTAACCAATGCCAGTCTAGTTTCAAATGATAATTAAATTTGAAATCCTGTGATAAACTGATAGTCAATTCAGTAATATTCATTTGAAACATATTGTCTCTATACAGTTAATAGTATATCAAAACTTTTGCAATCTTTCTCACTGCAATAAAAATTCTAAAGAAAGATTCTAGAAAAGACAATCTAATAATAATCTCTATGTTATTTTGTGAATAACATTTGAAATAAAGTATATAATATATGATATTGTTATATGTATATGTAGTATTTAATATTGTATATTTATAAATTTTTATGCGTTATATATATTGATTTAAAAAATATTTAGTCTTATTTTACAAATAATACATGTGCTATATATAAACGTTGGTTTCAGAAACAAGCTAAGGCTTATATTAATCCCTTACCAATACAAATATTTACAAATTATGAAAATATGATTATAAACATATATATATAAAAGAAATGACAGCAGAGTTATTTAATATGTACATTGAAAGCAAATCATAGAGTAACAAAAATATTTACAAAAAAAGATAGTGAATAAGAGCCGAATAAATTCATTGGTGATGAAAACAAGACATTGATATTGACAAAATGAAATATATATGAAAATAACTTGGTTTGAATTGCTATAGGTTTTAAAAGAAACATAATGACATTGTTTAAGAACAAAGCTTCCTTTTTTGTCCTTTGGAACATGATACTATTAATACTGACATTTATCAGCTTTGCAGAATTTGAAACTTGTAATATATTGGTTGCATTTTATATTTCAGGGCAATATAATGTTAAAGATGATATATTATATAGTAATCCAAAAATACCTGAATCAAGTTTTAAATCCAGAACTACGAGAAATATCATGAGTTCTCCTTCAAAGGTGAGTAAGTAATGGAGTTATCTCTCTTTATCAGAGAATGTCCTTTTTTAAGCTGTGATATGAATTTTAGTTCACAATAGAATATTTTGACGAAACTGTTAGTATTAGGCTAACTGTTTACATTGCATATAAACACCATAGAGAATACACATGTACACATACACCATACAGTTACTTCTTATTTTGTATATTTTCTAGAATCCTGGACCTGGTGCATATTTTCCGGCTGGAGGACAGGAATATCCTGAAAGAACCATCTTTCCGTGAGTATTATGTGTTTATGTTATTTACTTAAAACATCAATATGATCATATTAAGTCATGAGCATATCACATTTTGAGTAATCTATTTCTCAGAAAATGAATCATAATCTGATGGAGAAAAATTTAATTTGGTTTATCATAATGTGTTCAACATGAAATGCTAATATAAAATGTGAATTCACATATTTTCCGCAAGAAACTTGTAGTCGTATTCTTGATATATAAATTTTTCCATATTATTTATTGCTAGTGTAGTAACCCTCAATAAAAAAACACAAGTAATCCTTAATCCTTAGGTGTAGAGATCAAATTAATGTTAAAACATTGTGTACAATACAACTAAGGAGTAGTATCCCATAAAATTTTGTTCCATTATAGATTTTGATCTTGTTATTTAATCAAAATTTGTATTTTTATCAGGTTTATTTACATTTTGTTTTAAGAAACTGATATATTAACATATATGTTTAGGCTTATATCTCCCTCTTTTTCAACAGTCTCAAAGTTATGTCTGCTTCACTGAAAAAAACATTCAAAAGTATACTTCCTTGAGTCTTCATTTGTCTATCAAGGAGCATAACAGTATGATTTAACATTTCATTTCAGACGAAAGCATTATCTGTGTATATCAGCTCCTGCAATGCCTTTACCTAAAACTCCTCCATTGCCAGGACCTGGTAGTTATGAATTAGTAGATTTTGAAGGGTATCCTAAGCATTATATGTCTGGGTCAGCATTTGTTTCTACCACCAGTAGATGGACTAATATAACAGATGCTGAACAATCTCCTGGACCAGGTTAGTACTAGCAGCTTTTCAATGTTTGAACTACGATAACCTGGGGGTTAAGGGTTTCAGCCCAGCATAGGCAATGAGATGATAGCTTTGAATTTGCAATCTGCATTTTCCCTGTTGGTGGGAAAGCTAGACATTGGGTATGGCAATAAACAGGCTGCAGGTTGTGCACATTAAAGATGCCTAAATTGTTGGAAATTCAAAAGGAGAAGTCATATGCCCATTGCATAACTACTTATGGTTTCTTACAAGAAAATAACACACACAAACAAAGTTCACAGCCATTTTGAATCACCACCTCGACTTAATTCATTTCTTAAATCACAAACTGATTTTCTACTACTTCACTCTCATTTTAAAGAGCTAGTCGAGAACATTGAAATGAGCATTATTATATTGAATTATTATACTCTGTAAGGAATTGGCCTTAATTATATTTTGTAAGCAAATTGTTTGAAAATAGATAGAAATGTCTGAGATCTTGTTGTGTTAATATAATTTTATTGACATAATTGGAAGTGTATCCTCTATGGACATTAGCATAAATACAGTTTGAGATTGCCTCATTTATCAGAAATACTGTCATTGCAACATTCTATTTAAAAGATAACTAAATTGATCAGGTATTCCTCTGAAGTACATACAGACTTTCAGAAGGAATTTTTGGTCTAGAATTTTAAAGAGACGTCATTTTCTCAGTTCTATAATAATTAATAACTAAATAACATACACAAATAACTATTACTGAAACTGAATATATGCTAGATATTGTCTGTTACAGGACTTTGGCACTGCATTACATTAAGTGATAGAATCAATTTGCAACATTCCAAGTTTAAATCCGACATCTGTGGTTCCTGCAATTCCACTCAAACTAAGTGTTCGATAACATCACTAATTGCAAAGGGCCTAATGTGATTTAAAACATAATTTGTAATGTCACTAAACACTTTATTTCAAAAGAAAAGTTTGTCAAATTAAAAATTGTCTAAGTATTTGGAAGTAAGTTATTTACTATAATTATATTAATATCATATTTATTACAGCCCAGTATAAACCAGCATTCCCTGGCAAACAGACTTTTATTTATAATGCTTCTGGTAAATGGATTTGTTAAACTATCATGAGAAGATGAAAATTGTTGGTGAAGAAAATAATGAATGGAAATTTAGTAATTACTGAGACTCTATATTTTGTTGTTAGGTTTTCAGCATTGAATAAATAATATATATTTGTATCATTGTATGAAAGTTGAGTTAAAACTGAATGTTATGGTGACTATTTTTATAAGAATTATAACCAAATGAAGATCTTAAAATAAGTATTTCACTCTTTTGACATTACTCACTAAAGTACAAAGAGAGAAAGTTTTAACACCATTCCTGTTATTTTAAAACAAGTGCATATTCTTCCTTTAATGGAAATCAGATGATAAACTTAAGATTTGATTTGGTGGATAATAAGCTAATTTTACATTTGAAGTATCTTAACATCTAATCTCTTTGTGGGCGACATAAATTAAACATGGCTGATTCTATTTCAAAGCATTAAGCCTTTAATCAGTGTCATACTGGTATAATTGATTTAGCTAATGACTATTGATTATAATCGAGTAGAGATATGATTGTAAACTAACAGTCGTTCAATATCAACTCAATCCATGTCATCAGTAAATTTATGTATCGCTCAAGGCAAGACGTGGATAAGTTCACGAGATGATAAATATTTTGTGTCCTGTTAAGTTTGGCTCTGATCAATTTGCTAATTGCAGAATATGAAGTCAACTGGATTTTCATTGACTGTTAATATTTTCACCATGTGGGAGAATCTGATCTATTGCTGAACTTAGTTTACGAACTGAAAAACTGAAAAATTGCTCCTTCCGTCTGTTGTTTATTTGACAAAATTAAGATCTTCCCAACATCCTTGTTGAGATTCAAAGAAATGTCTTTAAGTATATAATGATAATAACAGGTCAAGTTCGATTTTGATCATTCTATATTGATAGTAATATAATATTACTAAGTAACAGTTAAGTTTACAAATGTACAATAAGAATTGTATTTTTTGAAACCAAAATGTATATATGTGCCTATTGAAAGGGTTTAAGCCAAAAATTATTTTGAATATACCACTTATTAAATAGAGAAGTATTTATTCATAATTTCGTGAAGGGATATAGTTTGCTTTACTCATAAGTTCCGTCTTCATTAGCCCATATGGTGCAGAAAAGTGGATGTAAAACTCCATTCAATCCAACTCAGTTTACTTCTAAGTTGAGCTTAATTTCAGCTATGTGTATCACTTATCATTAAGATAGCCAACACTTTGAGTTATCAGGCATATCCCTGTGAAAATAATAGTAACTGCCTTGAAGTTAAAGTGACAACGGTATAAACTTGGACTAAATGTTTGGCCAGACTTTGGATTTAACTTCTGAAAATTAATACAGGCAGTTGGAGTTAACCATCAGAAGGTGTTAAAGCTAATAGACAACTACATGTATATCCCTTTAAATGTTATTGTACAATCTTATGTTATTATAAGTTGATCATGTGATATTAATACTGTGATATTTTTTTATTGTAATTTTGAATAATATTTAATGTAACCGTCAATATTTTATATTTGCTTGGGTTTCCAAAATATATAACAAATACAGTTCTGATATAAAGCTCAGCTACTCTAGCTACTCCATCGGTCTCGAAATTAAGTTGATTTGCAAGATTCTGCTGTGTTATATTAGGATTAAATAATAACCGATTCTCTTGATCTGGGTGATGTTAGTTAAACGAAATTCATTAAAAATGATACGGAAAGTTGAAACAAGGCTCTGTGCTTGTACATACTAGACAATCTTTTTCGACTTTCGATTGACTCTCGTAATTTGCGAAAGTAAATTTTTCTTTTAATTTTAAATTTTCCATAAATGCTTCCAAGTCTTCATAGATGCCGCCTTTTGCTCACGAATCCACCAAAATTGTGGTCTAGACTTAGTGGCATGTCGTTTCTAGAAATCGTCAAAAGATATGTCGCATCTTAGGTGTGAAAGCCCAACTGTCTTCAGTGCGTGCATGCATTCACTATTATTGCTATTAATTAGGCCCTAAAATGAAACAAATCTAGCTTTTATTCAGTTTGAAATACTTTAATTAATACTTTACAATATATCTCAAATTGCATTTATGTGAAATTCCAGCGATTCGTGATTTTATTTGGCATGAGTAGTCTGGATGGGACACAAATATATTGGAGATAACGGTCTACATGTGATCATTCTTAGTGATTGGTATATATATGACTACAATGCTGAAAATAGTATTTTGGTGATTCGCTCGTAGATGGAAATAGCTTGTCTTCTGGAACAATTATTGGCTGTGTAAGAGAATGGGGAGTGTTATTCATTTGACTGGTATAGAACCTGCCTTTGACATGTGAGCCTGAGGACTTTTCCTGTCTGGTTGAACACCCTTTAGTTTTGAGCATGCAGGGATGTTCATCTCTATAGGACTAAGCGGGGGTTTCTCGTTACCACGTAGAGGGACTTTGATAGCTTCATCTCTCGGATCTTCTTCACAGTAATGACTAAGGAAACTTGGGAAGAGTAAGGATAGAGCCAATGTCATTCCACCAACACAAAATAATATCAGTCCAATGAGTTTACACATATCCAATGTCGTATTGTACGCCTCCGCATTTCTATCAACATAAGCTATAGCATTATCTTCATCAACCTTTTCCAAATGATCCTTTGGAGGAACTAAGTAGCCGACTAGTATTCCAATTACTCCAAACAGTAAGAGGTTGACCCCAAGCCACAAGAAAATCTTCCACCATATTGGTGGACATCTTCTACGGGGATTATGATTTAAAAGATATCGAAAATCATCATCATCTTCTTCATAAACTTGAGGATCCTTGAAAGCATGTGTCTCGTAAAAATTGTGGAGATAAGACTTGACGCCAAAATTCAGCGGGCATTTCCTTTTGTGTTTATCAGAGCTCTTACTACCAGCTCGCCGTTTATCTTGTTTTGGCGGGAGATCGTGTGATTCTTCTGCTGGATCTGCTGTCTCGTCATCTTCATCTACTTCCGGTATCCGATGGTGTTGATCTTGAAGACTTCCATTAGACATCTTTTATCTTTATCCACTTTATCCACTTCCCACTATCTCATTGTTCCATCTGAAATATACAAGAGAGAATAACGTTATAAGCAACGGACTAGAATGATCTATAGTTTGAAAAGATTACGTGCTTAAGTATAACACCGGATCAAAGCGTTATATAATATCGACCATTTTGTCCAATGCTCATTAAATTGCGTTAAAAAAACATGTAATGATTTAGCATTGAGTTAGAATGTTTGGTCATTATAGTCTTTAGATATACTTACAACGCCCGATAATACAAACTTATAAATAATTAGGCTATTATATAATCAATTTATTTCATTGTATACCATGGATATGGTGAAGATTGCCTGATTTAGAGAATTTTATGGAATATATTCGTCTAAGCATTTGCTTTACCTGATAAAGTTTAATTTAAGTATCGCTTTTGAATCCAACGTTAGGTTATTATGCAATTCGCACTGTCGTCAAGCTCGTTATTAGCATTCTCATGGGCTGTTAATATGCCCGATGAGATCATGGCATCGCAAATACCCGACCGGAAGAGCGTTAAAAACATCCTGGAAAGGATGACAATTAAGGATGTGTCTTTGTCAAATTACAGGAATACCTTATTAAACCTTATTTCAAATGAAAATTCATAAGATTAGAAATTGCGATCTTTAAACCGCAAATATTAAGATGGCTCTATATCCCATTATAATATGACACGGTAAATTGGTGATATTCCTACGTTTGTGTGTATAAGTATTATTTCCACTCTGTAAGGTTTAGGTGAAGAAAAGTCAGACGTTCATTTCATTTCACATTGAAAGGTGCATTATATATTATACTGACTACTGATACGAGGTTAATGTATTATATATATAAAATTGTTATCAGATGGAAACTTAACTTGATTTTAATACTCTCGCTTCCCTCACCGTCTCCCACGTATATTGATTTAGAACAGACAAACAAATACACTTGTTTCTACGTGAAACAAGGGTCTTATTCCTGCTATTGATTTTCCTATTATAGATCTATTTGACTTGATTATAACCAACTGAAGTGTTATCTGATTGTTCCCAATTATTCCAAAACCAATACTGCTATATACACATCTACATTGACACTTGATGATTGTCAGAGCAGGAAACTAATAAGGGCTGATAGAGTCCACATTCAATCAAATGAGTTTATAGCGTTGAGGATAGAAAAATATTTCACCGACATAAAGAAATGGCCGTGGCTATTCGCACCAAGACGGTTCTAAAATGGGCATTAAAACATATGGCCATCCCTACCTAACCCATTCTTGACAATGGCTTCATGCTTAAAAACACCCCCAAAACTAGCAGCCATAGAGATCACGCATCGTGACGGTGAAAATAGCCAGTCCGTAAAAAAAATTCCTTCTCGACAGGGCAAGAAATAATGATTTTTAGCATATTGTTCTGTCGGTGCGATGTAAATGATAGTAACTAACAATCGTTAACACCACGTCAAGTCATGGGCCAACAGTTTACAGTGAAAGGTAAGGACCTATTTGACCTGTTTTATTTGGGGAGCAGGATATATACGTATAAATTATATATTTGTAAACAGGTAGAAAAACGTTAATCATGAAGTAGTAATTACGGACCGGAAAACTAAAGGGTATGTGAGTGTATTAAAAGTGGGGATGAGGCCAGATCCGCGATGTGAGAGCAGTTTTATATTTTAAGGTCTCAATTACTTCAAACTTTGTAAAGGGCCTACGACCGAATGTTCAGTTTTTTAATTCTGTTTCTTTGCTTAAAGACAGCTACAAGATGAAAACATGAGATTTTGCTCTTTAAATACAGTATTCAAGCAAGATTTACAGTCTTTTAAAACCACGCCGACTGAGATTAGAACCAATGGATATCTGCTTGAATTAGTGGCTGCATTTGCCCTTCCCCCTCCCCCCAGTAAAATGGTTTGCACCCCAGCCACCCGGCTTGATTCCAAAACATCCTATTCGTACCCCACATACAGTTGTGTTTTTTTATCTCATGTATACCCTTAGGCTACTATTGTTCAGTGGATTTTCAAGAAAACATTAGGTGAAGAGGGCGAACAAAAGCCACAAATGCTTCCAAAAATGATAAAAAAAAAAGGAACCAAAACCGGACCAGCCTCTTTTCTGTTTTCTCGAGGGGGCGGGGGGATGGGGGTTGGCAAGGATACTACTTAAAACATATTCATTAGTAATATACGAAGTACTATTTGTGTCCTTCGAAAGTAAATTCGGCTTGGGTTTGTCAGCGTTACAACTTGCGTCGAATATTATTACTGACCGTGTGACTTGAATAAGCTGGAAATTTATTTAATGAACAAGTGAAATAATAGAGTTCAACTTTTTTGTTCTTCTCTTTAATTGAAGATTGATGATATTTTCCATGGAAATATAGAAAGCCTATTCAACCGTATGTCAGTTCGCGTTATATACCAACGTTATAGAAATAATAGATTTTGTATGAACTTCAAGATCTGCCTACGCATTTGGTACTTCGTATTATAGCTTACTGAACAATAATAGTCGAGATACCATCAAAAGTAATGGCCTCCAAAGAACCGCCTACTTAGTATTTCATGGATATGGTCAAATTTTAAGATAGTCGAACATAGAACTTGTATCCATTACACTCTGCATGAAGAAACTCATTTTTAATTTGTACATTTTCAGTAAAAGGCGAAGAAAGCATTGTAAAACGCGCGTTCTGACTCATGAAACGATATTGATGAGGTCATTATACTCGTTATTCGGGTTTGGTGAGGACAAATCCAGAAAATGGAACGGGAGAACGCCAATCTCAATGTACACTTTATTAAAACTTTATCACAAGGTCTTAAACACACAGAGTATTTACAAACTATAGAGACTTTTGCTTCTAGAAAAAGAAAGCCATTCAATCTGACATGGATTAATCATTCTCAAAGTGGAAAATAAAATACGACTTTGTATCCTTATAAAATATCATGTATAATTAGCGTAGGTGTAATAATTCCCTTAGCAGTTAACAAGTTTGCTAGTCTTCAAGTTTATGTTAAACCTAATGAGTTTTATTGTCTAATCCTTGCCGTCGAGTATGAAAAACAAAATGAGACCCATGTGCATTGAAGTTACTCAGCAGGATTACACCCCACCACATGACATAAAATATCGGCCATTAAATTGTATATAAAAATGGTCAACAAGGATTTAACGGGTCAAGGCCGTTCAAAATTCATGCAAATATACTGTAAAACAAAACCTAAATGAAAAGAGCATACCTTATCCAATGTAGCAAGTACACTTGATGAAACTGTACCTATTTCCCAATGATGCCAGATGGTTAACCCTCTTTGCTCCAGATTAATTCCCTATATTATGGTCGAGTTTATACAAATACACCACAGAATACACCACAGAATGTATTGTCAGGAACCAACTATTGATTTATAACCGTATCAGGAATCTGTGGCACCGCGTGCAAACCAGCCTCTGTAGTAAACTAATCAATCGCTATTAAAGAATCAAACGAAATTTACTGTTTTAGCAAAAACTCTACATAATTTGGCCAATGTATAACTGTTATATACCTGTTTTCATGTTGTTACCAGGTTACATATCATTAGTGATTATCTACTATATATAAGGGCAATTTAGAATAGATCACACCGTCATCAATGTTGACTGATTGCGGTGTTAGTGTTGATGGCACGCTCATTATCGAGATTATATATTATAAGGAACATACGAAGAGATAAAGTCGTCAAAGGTAACAAATGACGCATGGGTATACATTATAAAGGCGTAGTATATTGCTCGTTCCATCACCATGTTGGAAAAGAGGCATGGCTCGGCTGTGTCATCCATTTCACCACAAAAAATGTTCATTTCCCGCTTATTTGCCTCCAGGTTATTCTGGAGCAGTTCACTTATGTCTGACGATTAATGATAAAGAGTCCATCTGGATATATGGTAGACAAATTATATGGTAGACATATATGACAAAACAACGTGTAAGGAGAAAGAGTGGGCGATATTTCTCAAGTGCAGCACCAACATGGACGATAGAATCTTGACCAGAATTATTCAAGCACATGACAAATTCTTATATAAGTGCTCGTTCTTTCTTGTGATATCAGTGAAAGGAGCTCGACAGAAATTTTTTGACAGATTCCATAGCTAGTAATGTCAGTAACGATAAATGGCACTGAATTCAGTGAATGTTAGAAGTTGAAGAGAGGTAATATTATGAAATGAGCCCAATTTTCACAATAAAATAACTTTTAAAACCGTGATAAATAACAGTTTAAGCGTCGTGATAAACATGATTGTATGTCACAGAAAATTAGCACAGAAAGGTTATTGTTAGATCCACATCCTGTACCTTCACTAAAACAGAGGTGTAGCATGTGTAAGTGTAAATGTGAGGGCGTGTGTGTTTGGGAGGGAGGGGGGCAACTGAAACAGCCTCTTATCTGGGGATGAAGAGAAACGTCACTGATATCAAATAGAGTTGGTTTGCAGAATGCGAAAATGTTATTTTCGGCAAATGACGTTGGAACGGGTACAAGGTCAGTTTCGTAACCGAGGTGCAATTGATTTTGTCGAATTTTATCCGATCAAAATTTAGCTATAAACCCCATTATCTACAGTATATGAACTCATGTGATGTAAACAAAAATGGTAGCATGCAGCAAGGGATGCCCAACATATTATCGAACTGTTAACATTAGTATTATAAATTATTGTTGCTGACATGTAACCGGAATTGGCAGCGTGTCCAATACCTTTAAGATGGTGATCTCGGGGATTAACACTTTGAACCTAACAGATTTTTTTTATTCATAATTCATAATAAATAAACAAAATTTTTAATAACAAAATATCTTATATATAAATATATAATAATATAATAAAAGGATTCAAATCAAGCGTTAACTAATTGTAGAATAATTGAAGTAGTCGTAGTTGACTACTCGTAGCAGTTTCCAGAGTGTCTGGTTCGATATAGTGTTCTCTAACTTCCTCACTTTTAATACCTTTACCGCATTAATGACGCCATGTAAACCATGAGGGAGAATTATCCGAGAAATTCTTCTGGTTATTTTTCCCATTAACTAACACTGTGGACTCAAATTTCCTCGGTCTGTCTGGATCAATTATTGGTTTAGCGGAAGTTGATACATAACGTATAACAAAACCACATCGTCTGCGAGATGAATTATTAGCCTCGCTTCCGTGAACAAGATGGCCGTGATGAAGAGACATTTGACCAGCTTTAAGTGGACAAGGAACGGATTTAGAAGTATCAAATAGATGTGAAGGGATTTCTTGATTTGATGTCAACATATTTCCGTCTGTCTTGGCTGATTGGTGGTTTAATATACCATTGGTATGAGAACCTGAAAATTTTAAACAAAAACAAGTTGAAATAATATAAAGATAATTCAAAAATGAAAATGAAATTTACAGGCATTTGCTTTTAAAAATCGCATTGCTCAAGGTTGGAAATGGTTGAGATGCTCCTTAGTGTCATAATAGTCTACATTACAATATCGTTAATAGGAAGTCTTATAAATCATTAAAATATGGGACCCACCTGGTATAACAACCATACAACCATTTTCAACATCGGCATCATCTATAGCTAACCATACACTTATAACATCACCTTCAATACCCCAATACCTACAGATGGAAATCAACAACTTAATATGATATAATAATGATGTTATAATTTTCATCAAAAAAGATTCCAGTTTTTAAACATTTTTGGTTTAAACGTGTAAGATTCGACAAACCGCTATTATTGTAAGGACGAACAAAATTATTTAAAGATCCAACAAGATTTGCTTCAGAAAAATCAGATAAGACAAATATTTCAGCTCTGCAATAATTGTAATCGGGCATCGAAGACAGCGCCATGCCACTGTAACGCCTGGTTTGGGTTAGCTCAAACCTTTGTCATTAGCAGTCATAATCATATTTAAAAAATGCATATATTATAAAGATATCCCTTGTCATCAACTCCCTGAAGCAATAGCATTGGATATATGAAATATTAGTGCCAGTGCTTCTAAAGAAGAATATCGATATTAACAATACAGATGTTTAGGTTTATCAAGCGAAGAGAGTGACTTTACCTTACGTCTTGATGCCACGCAACATATTTCTCACCATCATCCATCTCCTGACAGGGATATTTACAAATAAAGCGAGAATCTAACAAGACGATATCATCACCAAGAATAGGCTTCAGAGCACCAAGAACATTGGTATGTGTTGCTAGCTTTAGTACCCATGGATGCTGTGTATGTACATTATGCAGAGAGTATTGAGCGTTTTCTTTGCCTGTAATATTAATTATGTTAGCATAGTTATTTTAGTTACCTTCTGCTATCCCTCTAACGACCATGACATATAAGAATCGCTCATAGCATGACCCCTAACAACCACAAGAACACAAAAACGGTAGCAAAAGACAGACTTTACCGTTAAAAAAAATAAACAACCCGAGAACTGAAATCTTAATTTACAGAACAATTCTTACCTATTTCTTGCTCAAACTTCTGAAAATCTCGTCTAACGTCTGCAACCTCCTTTTGGTTTAAAACATCAATACCAGTTGCATATCCTTTGGCATAGAAATCCTTTCTCGAAACAGACATATTGCAAGTTTGCTTCGAATCGCAATGTTTTACAACTGTAAACTTTTAACAAAATGAAGTCAATTTATAATATCCAACTTCCCTTATCTAATCTGAAGGCATTTTGTACAAGTCATTGTAACATGACCGGACCAACCTTTTCCGGTATGTGATCTGCACTTTTGAGAGATTTTAGAAACTGGAAATTTTTCATTTTACTTTCCAATAAGATGGTCATATGACATATTGTTGTATTTGAATGTATTAATGTTTTATTGACAGTATGCATTCAAAGAATATTGAATAGTATTTAAAATTATGGAAAGTTGGTCTCACCAGGATCTGAAATAAGCCTATAAATAAATATGTAAAGTTTGTCTTTGCATTGTCAATAAGGAAATTATATAATATATTATGTAATATATGTAATAGGAAATATGTAATCCAAATCAAATCAAATTGTATATTTTTCTTGAGGAATTTTTTAAACAAGAAATATGGCCCTACAAAAAAGCGGAATTTTACGGAAGCGTATTAGGGCCATTCATTTTTTTTGTTTTGAATTTTCAAGTTAGTATGTTGAATTTTCAAGTTAGTATGTTGAATTTTCAAGTTAGTAACTTGAATTTTCAAGTTAGTATCTTGAATTTTCAAGCTAGTATCTTGAATTTTCAAGCTAGTATCTTGAATTTAGTATGTTGAATTTTCAAGTTAGTATCTTGAATTTTCAAGTTAGTATGTTGAATTTTCAAGTTAGTGACTTGAATTTTCTAGTTAGTATGTTGAATTTCAAGTTAGTATGTTGAATTTTCAAGTTAGTATGTTGAATTTAGTAACTTGAATTTTCAAGTTAGTATGTGTTAGTATCTTGAATTTTCAAGTTAGTATGTTGAATTTTCAAGTTACTAACTTGAAAATTCAAGATAATAACTTGAAAATTCAACATACTAACTTGAAAATTCAACATACTAGCTTGAAAATTCAAGATACTAACTTGAAAATTCAAGTTACTAACTTGAAAATTCAAGATACTAACTTGAAAATTCAAGATACTCACTTGAAAATTCAACACACTAACTTGAAAATTCAAAAAAAAAAATGAATGGCCCTAATACGCTTCCGTAGAATTTCCCGTTAAACTAAATAATTTTTTAATTCAGGAAGTAAAACGAGGAAGGTAACATATTTTGAGTATAGGTTATTTTTACCAAAATTCCCCCTGGTTACTGATAATTCATTATAGTGGATTATGCAGGTCCGGGAATCGAGTTACCATCACCACATATAGATATAATCTAAATAAATTATATAGGATCTCAGTAAAGCGTGAAGTGTAACTTCATAAAGCGTTGGTTTATTAGCTGTCTGGTGTTAGTTATATATGGGGGCCCAAATTTATGGTGTAAGGTTTACACTGTAGAAGTATAACTATGTACTATAAACTGCATTGATTGGGGCATTTTTTGTTCAGTGAATGAAACGAAATTACAAGGGATGTCCATTTCATGTAGCAGCAATGTCTGATTTCTGCACTATGCTCAAATTACTCCCATTTATAAAATACCCACACACTACACCACTGGATGAAGAAATGAGATCACATAATAGAAAAACACAAAACACAGAAATTTAGAAATAATATTTAAAAAAAAAAAACTCTGCACAGGTTAAATATGAGAATATTCATATTAATACTCAAACGCAAACGGACAAATCTAGATGCAGTATACATGTTATTCATTTTCAACACCGGTCATGTATGTAGAATCATCAATTACAATAATTTGGACTCTGGTCTGCTCCAGTCTTACTTTCGCAGTCGTTGTCAGTTTAAAATGGCGGCTGGATCGATCACGTGAACAGAATTTCAGTGTTACTCTATATTTTAAAATTGCACGGCAAATTATGGGCCAAGAACAACACTCTGAACAACACTGATAATGGCGCTCATGTAAGACCCTTACGGTTGTAAAATCGTATATATCTCTGTTTTACCGTACGAGTGTTACTTGAAATAAGAAACACTTTATGACAGGTTTTTACCACTAAGCACTTCAACATGTATAAAACCGTAAAGAGTGACACGTTACACATAATTTCAACAGTGTAAGCGTGATTTATAAATATTTTGTTAACCAAGACACCAAATCGACCCACAGTCGATGTATGTAAATTGTTGCCAATGTTCTTATGGCATGGTCACCCGAGGTACATGCATACGTATCTACGAAGCCCCTAAGACGCAATTGTAAACATATTTATTTATTATTTCGTTAAAACGAAATAATTTCGTTTAAACGAAATAAATGATGTTATTTAGTTTAAACGAATTAATTATTTCGTTTAAACGAAATAATTATTTCGTTTAAACGAAATAATAAATAAATATGTTTACAATTGCGCCTTAGGGGCTCCGTACGTATCTAAGCATTGGCAAGTTTGAATGTATGCCCCGCAACATTTTCTTATTTTTTTTATTCAGGACTAAATATTATGATGTATATTTATGATATCATTTTTTACGCCTCCATGAAGATTTTCCACAATAAGTGTTGACGAACGAGAAGAAACTTAAACATAACTCAACTGAATAGAAGAAGCATCCAAAGCAGCCACATCCACCAATTATTACAAATGGGACACTCATTGGGGCGAAGCTCTAGTATTTGTCTCTTTCCATTATATAAAAGATGAGACATGTTACTGGGAAAATATTATTTTCAGCCTTTAAATTTTGTGCTCTTAGATCAATGGGTATTGACAAATGTAGGATTACACGAAAATCATTTTAAAATGTTTGTAAATTGGTTTGTTAAGTTGATCTTGTTTTCTTAGAATGACATTAAATTATTTGCTCGAGAATGAATAACTTCCCTGTTACAGCCATGAGCTTAACATGTCTTTCAAATTCCAACATGCTTTCATAATCACGTGGAAATAGTCAAGTGGGGTGTTAGGGTGAAATAATTTTCGGGAATAACCCTCTCCATGATCACGTCAGTTGTCGGAAATGACTGGGAAGTACACATGACTCTGACGTTTTTATCTTTTGCAATTTAAATGGTACGTCCCATATAGAAAAGGCAGAAGTTTTCAAATTTCGCAGAAAAAAGCAATCTTTGATTCGATAAACTATCGATATGTACATTTTTCTGTAAACGTTACACCATTCAGGCCTCAGAAATATATCAATATTATTATTTATACCAATTAACCTTTCAACCATAAACATTTATATAATTTTTTTTTTACCAATTACCCTTTCACCTTTCGGAAAGGAAATACTATTTAGTATGATACTATAAGATAGTAGGTGTGTGTATATACCTATTTGAGATCAAAATACCTATATAATCCGTAAAGGTGACTAATTTGACCGGAGTTCCGACTTAAATATTGGCTATATATCGTGACCTTAAAACTCAACGCTTATTGAATCTCATTGTTTACATACTGTGTTATAGTTTTTCACTGTCATATTTCCGGATCCTAGTTAAAAATACAATATAATGATTGAATGGCTATTTTTATTTTTTTTTTCTTAGAAACTGATCACCTCAGATAGACACCTGACCAATCGGAATTCCCCACAACAACTTCATTAATATTCATCATATTTGTTTAGCTTCTTATATTTCAACTCCTTCAAAATCTATTATTGGATTCAGGAATATTCATCGGAGCATGGAAATATCCGGCGTTCATAGTTTTGTTTGCCAACACGCCCCCACAACTCTCTTATTTAAATGAGTCTGCTTCTTGTGAAGCGTTTAATGTAAACTGGAATTACTACAGAAGAAGTTGAAACATTATTTAAGGTAGTTCGAAATATATTTTTTTTATTTTTGTAAGTTTATGTCTGACTGTGTTTCCAGCATTTCCAAAAATATTTATTTTGCTTTATAAACATAAATGTTGAATTTGAGCGTTATACTCAAAAGCAATGATTATAATTTGGAAAATCGGGAATATAAAAGAGCCCTTCAAGATTTTTGCAGACCACTTTTTTTCGACTATAGAGAGATGTCTTTGGAAATTATAAGACGAAAATACAAAACGTTTTGAAATAGACAGAGATAACACAGAGATAACTAGGAAAATATGTCAAAAATAACATGTGTAAAAAAAGGAAACTGACCTTCCTTTGACCACAAGCATTGTTATAATCATAAAATAAATTACTCCCCTTCCTTATTTATAAATTTTATTGTTTACCTATATTTACCTAAAATATCAATTGTGCTAGGGTAATTAAATATACAATGTAATTTTTAACCTTTTAAATAAAAATATTTCAAAAGGGGAAAAATGAAAGAATTTTGTAAATCAAGCATATTTTAAAGAAAAACAAAATGTAAAGAAATATACCCTGTGTTGAAAAAGGTTGTTGGAAATGTGTAAGCAATATTATCTTGGTTTTAGGATTAAATTGGCCACCATGAAGAGTTTATATAGATGCAGAAATCAAATTACTCAACGAGTTCAATATTATTCAACAAAAGCAACATCGACATCCACAACATCAACACCAATATCGAATACATCAACATCTGAAGGAACAATAACAAGAAATTATCATCAGACTGCTATGGATGAAGGTAAGCTAACATCAATTTGATTATTGGTGTGTAAATCACCAGTTACAATTTTCAACTGTGTAGGGATCCGTGAGAATCGGAACACAATCCTCGTTCCGGTAAACTCTAATCAATCTTTCGGATCACGGCCGTGAAGATCTACAAGATGTAGAACCTGCGAGCATATTTTAACAACCAATTCTTTCTCTAATAAGCATAACGGTAAACAATTCCCTATTAACGGTGAGCTTTCTTGTACCAGCACAAATATTATTTACCTAATTTCATGCGACAAATGTCATTTACAATACGTAGGCGAAACTAAAAACTCTTTGAGAGAAAGAATTAACGGCCATCGTTTCGACATCTCTTATCATCTGGATAAACCTATTGGGAACCATTTCAACTCTCCCAACCATTCCCTCGCAGATATGAAGGTGGCGCCCATTGAAAAGGTCATCGCAGAAGAAGACACCAACCCTAAAAGTTCAAGACTATACAGGGAGAGCTTTTGGATGAACCAACTAAAAACTATTTCGCCCTGTGGACTAAATGTACAGTTTGATTCTCAAATAATCCCATTTGTTGCTCCATTCAATAACATTTCTTGCCAAGCATCCCGAATTATCAAAAGATACTACACAAAGTTACAAAATAAATTTCCCACTATTTTTTACAAAAAATTAGTCATAGCTTATTCGAAAAATAAAAATCTACAGGATATAGTTGTTCGTGGTCGACTTGACCCCACCGATGATGTAGAGTGATCTAATAGAATTAAATATTCTCATTTTCATTGTCTTTGTACTATATAATTGTCTAAAACAATTTACTTTCTATACCTGCAGCCATTAATCGCTTTTCTTCATTATTCCAGAAAATTTGAAGCAGTCAATGTAGATTATAAGTATTATGAATTTCTTTATTAGGTCCAAGAAGATTTATAGGATAACCGTTATGATCTTCTTTGATTTAGTTCATTGCATATTAGCATCACAATTCTTGTAAACATAACTTTAACCCTGTGCCAGTGCCTCATATTGAATAGTAACTGGTTACTCTTCCATCACCCTAATCTCTACTCAATTGTATTTTTTTACTATCCACAGATTTAAACCTTTTTGTGTGTATTAGGGAGAACTTATGCTGTTATTTGTACCATTCTCGGGATATCTTCTTGTAATTCCAGAAAAGTAAATTATGAGATCACTATAACAATAATCACTTGGCTTGAATAGATTTGGCGACGATCTGGCTTTTCTAATCGTAATTTCTTTTTCATTTCCAGGGAATTTATTGTCTCAACCACAAAGTGTGACGTCATGGATATCTGATACAGTAGCGAATACAACAATAGAAAACCTCTCCCCTCAGACAACAGCTAGAAGTAAACGTATGATGTTAGATACACTGGGTGTTGGCATCATTGGATCTAAAACAGAAATATCAGATATAGTGACCAGATGTGTGGCTTCAGAAATCTTTGATAACACAGATACCAACAGAACATCTCTTAGTTCCTTATGGGGTAGCAACAAACGTAAGGTCGCTCCAGCTATTGCAGCTTACATCAATGGAGTAAATGTTCATTCCATGGATTTTGATGATACATGGTTCCCAGCAACCCATCCAAGTGGTCCTGTTCTACCAGCAATCCTGGCTCTTGCTGAAACAATGACTGGCTCGTACGAACCAACCACACAAGATTTACTGGTGGCTTACAATGTTGGTATTGAGGTACAAGGTTTATTACTACGTTGCTCCGAAATTGCTAAAGAAATACCCAAAAGGTAAGTTTTCTTTCTTTCAAATATTTCTTCATTATTATTTTCAATACTCTAGTTATTCACAAGATGAGATGAAGTGAATTTGATCAACCCTCACAAACAATCAAGTTTCTCATGATTGTTTACTTATGTTACAGGTTTCATCCACCTGCAGTTGTTGGAGTTATGGGAAGCGCAGCTGCTTCAGCACGACTTCTTGGTCTTGGTCCAAAGGAATGTCGCCACGCCTTAGCAATAGCAGCATCATTCGCAGGAGCACCGATGGCAAATGCCGGAACAACTACCAAACCTCTTCATTCCGGTAAAGCAGCTAGATTTGGACTTGAAGCAGCTATACTAGCAAGCCATGGTCTAGAAGGAAATTCCAACATATTAGATATGACTTCCGGTTATGGTGCCTTCTATGATGACTACGACCCGGAACACTTCCTGTTGAACCATGCTGGTAAAAAAGAGTTCATTCTTCATGATCAAGATATAGCTATTAAAAGATTCCCCGCCCACCTCGGTATGCATTGGGCCATTGATGCTACCTTAGGTGCTCGTGATAAGATCATTCCGGTTTCAGCATCAATTCATCCAGATGTAGTTGAATCAGTTGAGATCTGGGCTCCTCAATCTAAATATATCAATCGACCATTGCCGACATCAGAACACGAGGCCCGCCATTCCTTCCAATTTAATGTCTGTACAGCTCTACTCGATGGTCATGTTCAAGTCAAATCTTATCACGACGCTTCCCGTAACCGTCCACAACTTATCAAGCTTTTGAAGAAAGCTAAAATTGTGACTCCAGATGATAACTTGGCTACATTCGATGATATGTACATTGAAGTTCATCTATATCTAAAAGATGGTACAAGAGCTATGTCTCGTTGTGATACACCCTATGGACATTGGAGAAATCCTCTCTCTCAAAATGATCTTGAAAGGAAATTTTTAAGCAATACCAGTGATCTTCATCCTGATCAACAATCTCAAATTATTCACCATGTTGGGCAGATTGATAAATGTCAACCGGCATCAGCATTTTTAGAAATGTTGTGAAAAGATTGTATGATGTGTATATAGTTATTTTCATGACAGTCATCAATTGATACAAGATGGAATTGTGCAACATTATGTATTTCATTATAGACTGCCTGCATTTCAAGCGAACATTACAACTGGTGAGTTCCAGTAGTTAATCTTGTTGATTTGAAAACTTTGATTGGCACTATTCCCGTGAGACATCTGACAACCAGCCAATAAGCAATCGTTGTAAATATATTTCTGTTTTTATAAAATATTCTTTTTTCTCTTTTTTACAGATGTATTTTGAAACATTGTAATTGTCATTATGTAAAATAGTATTTGTTATTTTGTTGTAAAAAAAAAATTTTTTGTTAACTTAATTTCCTCAAGATGTCTAAATTGATTTTGCCATGAATAAACTGCCCTGCATTCGATGCCTATAACGATTTCGCTCAAAGGGGTGAGGTTTAAAGCAAGGACCATTCTGATCTTAAAAATTGCTAGTATGTTGTGATCAGTTCTATGAGTATTCAATTTAGATTTTTGGGAGGCTTAAACCCGATCATTCTGAAAAAGGAATATGCCACATTCCCTTGATCTACCAACAGACTATCTGTGGAGGTAGACCTACATGTATATGTACTTTGTGATAATACTGTAAGCATGTTGTCACATTCATTCTGTAAAAAATGTCCCTCTATACGGTGGTCGAATGAAAAGTTGAAGAGCCTAACATGTGAAGGACTGATGACCAATTGACCATACCCTAGGCCTACTAAAATAGCAATGATGTTACTTTCATCATCACATGATGCTGACCTCGCAAACAGTGACAGCGCCAGCCACCAGAGACTACTGCGACAACTCTATGGAGACGTCATAGTCGCAAGCCTCTCATGGAGCGTCTGTGAGTGTTCTTTTTTTTAAAAAAACTTGAATTGATTTGGTACATTCTTAGACATAATTTGGGGCAAAATTTTAAATTTTTTAATTTGTGACATAAAGTAGGGGTACAATAAAAGTGGGGTGCAAACCATTTTTCTAGAGGCGAAAATTGCCCCAAAGGTCCCCCTCCCTGTGGCCCCACTGCTCGCAAATGACGACGAAGAATAAACATAGATCTACTACCAAGGTTCCGGCCTTGCAGCACCACATATAGAATCGTGGGAACAGCTAGGGGGCGATGCAGTAAAAGTATACTTTAAGTCACATACAACTTCTTAGAAATGAAACTGACATGCACCTGTTGGGACAATTGAGGATCGGCATTTGCCCAATCTTTTTCCTTTTCCAAATGTCGAGGGGTCTCTTAAATGGATTGTAAATAGGTTTCTAAACTTTTAATGTGTATCTGATAGCATCGATTTGCACCATTCCATTTTTCAATCATTCCATGGTTCTTTCAATTCCACTAAAAGTAGGCGTTTTATGACGTAACCATGCAAAGGTCCTTCAAAAGCAATAGCAAATGCGATTGTGACACCGTAAAACGACTGAGCACAGATTGTAGCACATGGGGCCTTGGTTTAATGTCTAGACAGAACTACTGGACGGTTTTTACCATGTCAGCCCACTGCATTACTGACAGGGGAAAACTGAGTTGAAAAATCCGAAGGTATTTTCTTGTTCAATGCATGAAATATAATAATTAATTTCATAAATAAGCATTTTATTATAATATAGTATATACATGATAAAAAAACGGACAAAAGAACACATAACACTAGTTTTAATTTATTGGGACATTTTGATCAAGAGCTAACGGCAACTGATAAATACTAGCTTGTAGATGATATTAAAGGTTTTATGAACAAAAAATATATCACTGTTCCTTTATGTTTTCTTTATCATCTTTATAGATAGGATTTTGCCGAACTGATAGAGTGGGTGACGGTCGACCACCTATTTCATGAGCTGCGTTGACTAATTTACCACTAGTTAATTTTGGAATGGGTTGGTCCAATTTCCCATTTTCTGCAAATGATGTTCCGACTTGTGGCTGAACTGATTTCGATTCTGAAGAAATTTGTGACAAAGTTTGATTTTGATATACTGGCTCGATTCCTGAATTCTGATACGAACAACCGGTGTCAGTCATGGTAGGTTCGTCTTGCACCTTTTCAAAGTCACGTTGATGTTCAAGAGTCTGATCGCTATTTTGAGTAATGTCTGAATCACCCAGAGATATGTAGTCACTAGCATCGCTTGATTGTCTGTTATCTTTTGTGATGTATATGGTAGTGACACCGCCATTGATGTCAACGTGTTTACTACTCTTGTTCTGTTTAATCTTGTCCATAAATGTATCTTCATCATCTTCGAAAGCTTTGTTAACATGTCCACCATCTTCAATATCCACAGTGACATTCTGTCTATCAACGGGTCCTTTTTTATTACAGTTATCACATTTGTCACTCTTAACACTCTTATCACTACCACACACGCCACTGTCACTACTGTTATCACTCTTGTTTGATAGCGTTGCTGGAATATCACTTATGGATATATGACGGCTTCGAACTTTTTCAAATAGCTCTTCAACTCTACTTTTGGGAACAATACCAATTCTGAAGAAGCCTAACTTGCCTTCGTTGATTTGTCTACAATCTACTACAGTTGAAGCCGCATTTTCAGGTGAGGGTCCAGCGCACAAGATACCATCACACTATAAAAAAAAAGGTCAGAATGCGGTAAACAGATATTTTTATGACCTACAAAGGTATGAAATATCGAAATTGGATGTGTTTTCCAAATACACGTACTGGAGACTCTAAGACAACAAATGGAGGACTAACAACTCAAAATCCCACAGTCTTCAAAAGTATCACTGCCCATGAAAACCCACAGACACCAAAAGAATAACTTCCCACTAAAAATCCCACCGAGATCAAAAGTACCACTTACGTTTTTCAAACCAAGTTTAGCTAGAACCTGTAAATGATGTGTGGTATCCGCCTCGCCGGTAGGATTGGCTGAACTTACAGATATTGGACCAACTTGATCTATCAGATGTGATGTTACTGTGTTATCAGGCATCCTGACAGCAATACTATCAGTTCTTCCAATATATTTCTCAGCAAAATCAACCCCTAAACTCTGCACCCAAGGACCTACAATAAATAATATGATAATTCGGATTAGGTTTAAACAGATATACATAATAATATGGCGTTTGCAAGACAGGGCATGTTTACATGCAGATATATAGAATGACATGTCTGAAATCTGGACCCATTATGATGGTCAAATTTGCAACCTCTATCAAAATGACTCCTGTGCATAGTCGCAAAATTGAAAAAAAGGATATTCAATGGGGATTGACGGAGGCTTGAACATCTAAAATATTAATGAAATTACCTTTTTTGATAACCAAACTAATGGTTGACGGCCAAACTTCTTGCATTAAATCCCATAGTAGCTCACCGAATTCTTCTTTACCAGCTGATAACTGTTCTCTTTTCGAAATCCACATTGACATTGGACGATCTTCAGCAAGTTTTTTTGTTTTATAGGCTCGCTGAAAATTCAATACATGTAGATTTTATTGGAGTAATATCTTAGGGGGAGAATTCAATAGTGAAATGTTGATTGAAGATTTACTATAAAAGTTATGAAGCTGAAAATATCAAGATGAACCATCTGCCTTTTTCATGAGTCACTACAGTATGCACAAGAATGACAAGATGAAAAGATCAGAGTATATGCGCAGTACATAGTGTTTCATCAGCAAAAACAGCATTACAAGTGGAATTCACATTGACCAAATAATTATTGATGATCCATTATCACAACCAGGAAATTCGTCATGATTTATTATTAGTCAAGCATCAAGTATATTTTACCCAAATGAAATCCGGGTTGGATATTTAGTCAAGGTATATTTTTGTTTGACAAATAATAGAATAGGAAGTTTAATGTTAACCCACTAGTATAAGGGGATGTTTGGATAACATTAGTAAAGAGTAATATTGTGACAAACACAACGCTTATTCCAGGAAAACCTCACTTTAAAAATTTAAATATTAAATACTTGGAGAGGGAAGTATGAATAGTACAATACCCATACAATAAGTTATGGCTATCAGTAATACACTTTCTATGTGTTACTCATGTCAAAATACCAACTTTCACAACCTTGTTAATCATTCATATTCACAGAAAACTAGACTTAAATATATACCTCAACTGCTTTAGGGAATTTGAGAGCTGCTGCTAATATATATACGACGTCTGTTGGTACACCACATATACCCCCATTATTTAAGATTTCTAAAAAAAAAGTATTACATGTTCATGGTCATATTTTGGTAGTTTGATTTTGTCAGGGCAGGGCATTCAGACAGTTCTTTCTACCTTAAAATCTACCAGGCAATTAAAATTCAAACAACAGCACCAACCGGAAGTAACAATTTGCGTGGTAATATATGGTAAAAGTATTTTATAACGTATTTTCATACACCAGGCCGACACTTCTGAATATGTGGATTAATTATTGGTGATATCAACATTATTTTAAAATAAAGTGTCTAAATATCACGAAACATGTGAAAATTTCGTTTTTTCTGATTCGGACATAACTTTAAACTACATGTAATAGAGACAAAATGGATAGGAACAAAAGTTACTTACCTGCAATGTGTTTAACCCCACTGGCTCTTCTAGCATCACACCATAATGCTTTGTCTCCTTGTGAATGCAAATAACTAACTTGTACTATAGGTTTTCCAGTAGGTATTAAAGGTCGCCCCATAAGAGACTTTGTAACAGACGCCAGAAAACAATAGATGCAGACCACAGCAAAAGCTATGCTGATAACCACTAGGTACACATCAATACCAGAAACTGACAAAGTTTGTAACAGAAAGCCGACCACTAATAAGATGTAGAGTATGATTAGGATAACCCAGCTAACACTGATTACAGTTGCCAATCCTAGTAGTAACAACCCAACCGCAATGAAAGCAATACAACCAGCAGCAGCAGCGATAGAATGATCAGCATCCAGCACGCCAAGACCTTTCACTGATCCCCAAATTGTCCACAATGACCCTAACGTGAAAAATGCACAGCTCTCGAATGTCAACCCTCGAGAAAAAGAAACTGAACCAACTATGAATTGTGGGATTCCCCCAAATAAGATAACCCATGGTAAGATAACCAAACCCTTTGGAACCCATAAAATAGCCAGAGCTGAAACAGCATTTACAGCGAATCCTACCATATCTAATTCTAAATATTTAGAGTACCCTAACATATGACTAGTTGAAAATAGTGTTGATCCAACTTCGTTCAGTTGTCCATACAAACACCCTGCAAAGAGTCTGCATTTATCTACAATGACCTGCTTCATCCTTTCAGTTTCAAACAATTCTGATCCAAGTGGCAATGTTTTACACCCTGGCTTCATTCTGGTAATGTGAGCCATTAAACCATATAATGACAAAATAAAAGAAACACAAGCAATACCACCAACAAACTTTCCATGAGAACCATTTGCAGCTAGAGCAGCACAAAATACTGCGAGGGAAATATTCTGCAGAACTTGAAACAATTCCTTGGTAATGGCTGCAAGAGCTATCAGAGTAAAGGTAATGATTAAAAGAACCGATACTGCAATCAATGGGTAAACGTTCAATCTTGTAACATGTTCGACAGCTAGGTTATAGCCATTGGATAACCAAAAGATTCCATGGATCAGGAAGTATCCACCATTGAAGGCACTATTTCTTCTTACAGCAACCAATCCAGCAATACATTGAAACAAACCAGCCACCAGAATCCAATGAAATTCTTTATGTGCCCCAGAGTAAATGTCCGTGAGGTGACCAGCGTAAATGGCAAACGACAAGGTATTCATGGCATGTCCTAAAATGATGTAGTCCCTGGAAACGCCTGTGTCTGAAGATTCTGGAACTTCTTGTCGATTTGATCCTTGTCGATAACGTCGGAGAACGTTTTGGATGGAATGATAAAGTGTTAAAGCAGCTAAAAGGATGTAGTAAGCCGCTGCACTTGCTCTCAAAGGTCTCCATAATGAAGCTATCTCAAAAATACAAGAGAGTACATAGCCAAGAGAAATAACTGCAGCAAATTTAGCCTTGTGTAGCAGACCACCTATTACCAATAGTAGGAAAATTAGCAGGAAGGCACCATATCCACCAAATAAAGCTTCTGTATCGGTTAAAAATCTTGGTGTTACTGTTTCGGTAATGTGATAAACTCCAATTGCTCCCCACATACAACTGGAACAAAGCTGAAAAGCTCGAAGGACACATTCGCCATTGTCTTGAGACGTAAATCCTACAAAAAAATAATAATACATAAGTATATTCATTTATATGGTTCTATTAGGAAAGATAGCCCCATATTTGTTTAGAACGCCCACTCAAGTCAAGTTGTTTCGACCCAGTACAGTTTTTACAAATCGTTACATAGGGTACTGGTCCAGATCCAGACTGAAGATTCCTATCTAGATTTGATCCAACTTGATTGACATTTGTCTTGACAATGTGCATGTACATAATTGAATTTAGTATTTTAAATCAACATTTCACTGATAAAAGAGCTCAAGTGACAATACGTCGTCTAAAGAGCAATAAGTTTGCTTTATTGATATATTGTGATGGTGTCAGGCCAATCATCACAATTTCATAATATAAATTTACAGCTTCAACACTATGATTTGTATTCATGAAACAAATATAAGGTGCAAATACCCATAACATGATAAGTAATTATAAGAACTGAAAAAGAGAAGTGAACTTAAAGTTATAGTTGAGTTTTATATATTGGTCAAGGAGATTTTTAAAGTACTCTAAATGTAACTACATAATCTAACCTATGTTTTGTCTGCGAATTTAAGGTGACTAAGGTGAAAATTTGACGTATGTGACATCTTACACTATTGTTAAAGTTCAAACGCCACTGACATTATGTCACTTCCTTATACACGAAAATTGCTTCACCATGCAAATATCATTACAACAATTTTGTTCAATTTTGACCCTAATTGTCATAAAAAATTCCTATATATATATAGGATGCCACTTTTATTTAGCATTTTAAAACTGAATTAATATTACTTTCTTTACAAATTTTCGAAAAATTTTGACCGTCAAAATCACGACGTATATTTAAATTTTATTAAGGAAGTTTATCGGTATCCCTGGTCACACAGGGGTTAACCATATCTAATATGTGAAAACTTGTGGTTTCCCAGAATTAGGAATTAAAAAGTATTAATAAAGATTAGCCTACATTGCGGGGAATTTCAAGCCCGTCCCAAAGTTTGAGATCTATTTTGAACGTATTATTTAAGATCTAAGTATATCAATATATACCATAGAGTAGAGATAATAAAAGTTTTTTTGTGTAACTTTTCTGTTCCTGATTGACTTTGTTATTTGGAAAGTGAAATATCCCCGAGAAAGCTGCATTAACCTGCTATATTAGATTTTAAAAAATCGACTTGGATTCTTGGAAACTGATATCAATAAGTATGTATAGGCTACTAAATACAGAATACTGTGTACAATAAAAGTAATTATAAAGAATAGGGGAGTGGTCAAATCAGTCTAATTAAGACCAAACTTCCGTTCCGTTTTTTATTAGCCTTTATTTATAATATACATATGTAGTTAAGAAACTAGTTAAATAAATGAAATGGCTATATTAAAATGTATTAAAAATGAAAGTTAAGAAAACGGAACGAAAGTTTGGTCTAATCTTAATTAGACTGAACGTCAGCTTTGACTTTGGGTCAAATTAAGATATTTATTATATTTGATTATCTCTCATTCTTGGCAGGAAATCATTTGACATACCATCTTCCATCTTTCCAGACAAGAAATGGAGTCTAACGTCCTATTTATTTGCATCCATCAATTCATATTTACAACTATACATATAGCGATGGAATCATGGAGTGAAATCAGAAATTTTGCTTTAATAAAATCTTTATAAAATATGTGTAAACATAATTTAAGTTTACTTACCTAATAACAAATTAATTAAAGACAAAATCACCAACGTTACACCATAAGTTAGATTCACAGGAAGTCTGGAAACGGGTGCCGTAAAATCATAAATACACACAGTAGTAAGGATAACGAAAGAACAATAGGTTCCTGCAGTTGTAGCCACAGAACTGCTTATAGCAGGCATATTGTGTCCCGAAAACGTATGTTAACGAAAAATACTATGTTATGAACTATGCAGTACTGTAATAGAGTCAGAACGGTATGAATGGACTGTATTTGTTGACTTACAATAAAAGGGAGGGATTACGGATATAGGCGGGACTTTTGCACATTATCTTTTTAAATCCATTCGTCCATAACATTTACGTTGATTTTTTTTCATCCGGTATAATGTCCACCGAAACACAAATAAACTAAGCGAGACAATACTCTTTCCTAGAAATACACAGGTTATCTTGAAGACACGTGCTTCCTGGTTCACCGATTGGAAGATTAAATAAATTAATGACCAACCATGACGTCTACATAAAAATAAATATTTCTATCATGGATGAGTATTTTTTTTATCTCCGAATGGATGGCTCATTGAACTCCTTATTCCGTAGGCGTAGGCTTACGGAAAATCCTGCATCCTGAATTCGCATGACGTGTCGAGTTTATGAGTGGCTATTTTCGGAGAATTGTTAAAAAATGGTGATTCCTAGGTGATGGTACAATTCTATTTTAAGAACTGATCATGATTACTAAATTTATTGGTGTGTGACATTACTACCTATATATATTCTGGTTGGAGTTTTTAATAATACATGTTAACAATGGAACGATACAGGTTATGTTCTTAAATGATCTGAGACAAACAAAGACAAAGAAGTATAGTATTTAAGAGTAATTAAAAACTGAAATTAGTGGAAATTGTGACAAGACACAGTAAAATGAAGCGGTTGGAACCTCAGCCAGAATTATTTGCATCGATTCTTTATGCTGAACCCGGTGCATTGGGGTTACTGGCGAATATTGTGGCAGCCCTGATAGTCGCTATAGAAAATATTTACGATGGACCTTTCACTCATACAGCTTATATTTTAGCAGGTAATTACTTTCTTTACATTTCTTTATCTCTTTTAACAATCCATCGTCCGAAAAGGTGGTTGATGGCGGCCATTTCGAATGCAACAACGTTCGGAGTTTTCCACGGAAGCCACCGAACTTTGTAAACCAATATAATTTCTATTGACGAGACAAAGATTGGAAATGGTCTCCATTAATATTCTTATATCTTTTTAAAAAAAACACATGATCTTAGTTTTGTTGAGAGCATACGATTCTCATATCAGCTTTACCTCGGGTAAGTAGACACCGTTTAGATGTATTTGGGACTCATGTTTGTCGTATTTAATAGTAGGCCTGGGTAAAACCTCTGCTCTGTGAAGTTTTTCGAACTCTACCACTTCTACCTTTAATTGACCATCCTTATAAGTGGAAGATTAAAAGAGCAACTTTTCTTGGGTCATGTAGGCCTAAACCATTTATTTGCGTTTTGCAATTGTCTTTAAAGACAATTCTTCTGACATTTAAGTCGGTTTTCGGGGGTTTCGGCTGTGTAAATCTCAAGACATGTGATCATCACGAGAATAAGTAATTAATCTATGACTATGACTAATGCTTTGGGAATGTGAAAGTGAAAATTGATAAGGGTGTTCAGTTCTCCGGAAGCATGTTTATTCTTAGTTTTGAAAAAAAAAAATTATTTTGCTTTACAAGCTATATACAATATTGTCTAGCTATCTTTACGTCTTTTAAGGATGATTTTTGATGCAATTTAATAAACGACTATAATCTAAGTAACAACGTCGTGATATCAGTAAGATTTCCATGGTAGAATTGCATTAACGACCTTGACACTTAAACTAAAGTCACTCACGGAGATTTTAACTTATTGTAGAGTAACCTAGTGCAGATTTACACTAAATTTTCATGAATATTGATAGGCAAGCTGCAAGAGTTCTATTTATCGGTTGGCCAAGCAATTGTTTAAGCGACTATTCCTCGTAATAAGGCCAAAATTAAATTGAATAGAGTGTTGAGTCCTATTTTTTTGCTCAAATCTTTAAATGATAGTCGACCCCATGCTGTGCAATGGAAAAATTTAGGAAGAAAATCAAATCGCCGAGGGAAACCTAATGTCGATTGGACGCTTGCTGTATGAATAACATGCACAGGTCTGGTTGATCACTTGAGTATAATCTAGATGTAGTCTATGCAGAGGAAGCTATCGTATTTTTAGACAACAAACGTCTCTTTAATAAGGACAAGGACACTTTAACATCTTAATTACAAATCAAAACAATGTGAAAGTTTTTTATCAACATTTTTGTCAACAAGACCAAAAATTTTTGTCGTGAGATAACAAGGTTTCTATTTAACAAAAAATGTCACGTTTAATGCAAGTTTTAAGGATTATAGATCTTTTTGCTTTTGATTTTCATAATAAAAACTTTTTTTCAAAGCAATGTTATCAAAATATAAAACACGTCTATAGTCTTTGGAATAAGATCCAGATCCAGTGTGCAAGTAACAGAGTGGTGGTAGTTGATTAGAAAAAGGGGGGGGGGGGGGTGGAGGGGTGAGCCTCGAAGACTCCACAATAGTTAATACAGCGGGTCAGATGTATAATTTCTGGTATTTGATTCTGTGTGATGCGTTGTAATTCACGATTTTAAGTAAAGAATACACTTTACTCAAACATAGGCTTTACAATTAGTAGTTTTGGAGATTGCTCATATGAAAAACCATTTCAGAAATTAATTGACTATTAAATAATTATCTTTGTATATTTGTTGACTAGAATACCTTTTTAATTTCAATAATTCATATACCACCCCTTTGTTTCCTTTTGTATGAGATATGTGTTATATAAAAGCTTCCCGCATTCTTTCATTCATCAATAATCAACGTATCTATTGTATTTTTCAGGTACACATCTTATCCTAATTGGTGGTCTCCTACAACTCATATCTGGTTTTCTCTGTTTCCGTAGAAATGATCATTTAACTGGGACAGCCTTTGTTGTTTTTTCTTCCTTGTGGATGATAATTGGTACAAACTTCATTCTCAATGCAACTTTTAACCAGGAAATATTGAGAACGGGGGTGTTACCTGGTTTAATTGGCTTCATGGCGGTGGCAGTTATTCTGTGCACATGTGCGGTCACGGTGAACTATATTATGCCGCCTGTCATGTTTGCCTTATTATTGACTTTAATATTTGAAGGAGTCGGCTCATATTTCTCATGGGGCAAAAAAGTAGCCGCTGCGTTTGAAATCTTCATAGTGCTTACAAGTTCCTATGCTGTTATAGTCATGACATTAAAAGGTGTGAGTCAACGGTACCTTTTACCTGGATTTGGTAATGCTCCATTCGATCCTTTGCTCATCAGGACCAAGCCAGCGGCAAAGAAGAAGCACGAAAAGAAGAAGAATACTAAATATGCCGAACCGATGGGTATGGGATATATTGGTAACATTGTTCCAGCAGCTGTTCTAGTATTTCATAAATTTGGATTCTTTATAGATTTTCGCCCAGCTATGCCAATGCTGATTGTTGGTGTTTTGTGTCACATATTAGGTAGTTTTTACGCATTTTTAAGACACGATTTGTTCCACTCTGTTCAATTTGTAGTATATTTTGTGTTTTGGACAACCCGGTTCCTACTTCAATTGTTTATAACGATTGGCTACCCTGTTTATGATCGTTACCTATATTTCGGACAATGGGGATTAGTGGGAATGTTGCTGATTCTTTCTACAATGTCCACATGTCACAGTAAAACCGTTTTCTTCTACAATCTTCTGTTTACAATCACAAGTATATTATCGGTTGAGCAAATACCAACATCCGTCCATAACTACACATTTGGTGTCTCGGCAGCAATTTTAGCATTGGCATCAATGTACGTCGCCATGGCTCATCTTGCCAACTCCATCGCTGAAAAACCTATAATGTTCCTGGGGTTGGAGATTATTACTCAAGAAAATCTTACATCATTTTTTAAAAGAATTTTCGACAGGTTTAGGTGAGTCAGACTTACTTCTTACAATCTTATTATTATATTTGCTATAGACAATTAAGTAACGTTTGGTGTACCATTCAGCAAACTTAATTTTTCTCTGCATTTAAATCTTCAAAAACGAAAAAACGTTCTTAAAGTTATTCTTAAATTTCAGGGGAGAAATATCCAACAACAGTAACTACACCGACGATGATAAAGTCTCTATAAAGATAGTGGATACTATTGGGATGGTTTCTAGTGCTTTAGCTCTATCATGTCTGGCACCAGTAGAGGCAACCAATACAGTCTACCCATTAACTGGAGTCATCGTTGCTGGTGTCTTTTTGCATCTGTTTACCGCTAGATTGGCCTTTGCTGCTGGTAGCTTGGCTAAATGCTACATTATGGTTGTCTTAGCCTTATTTTGGAGCATCTGGGGAGTGGTTCTGTATGATGGTAAGTCTGAGGTTCAATCCACTATCATAATATACACTTCCTTGAGTGCTTGATAAAGACGAAAGAATCATCGTCGAAACGTCGCAAGTTATTTATTAAAGTAATTGTTATCCATATAACATAATATACACAGTTAAATATTTTAAGGCTGCTGTTCTACTCAAGAAGTATAAATATGAGAGACATTTAGTATTACCAATGAATCACTCTGATTAGGTTAGCATATTAGAAATTTTAATGACAGGCTTATGACTTCATTGGTTCCTCTCTTGTCGAGTTGTGCAATCTTTGAGCGTTTCTGGGTATTAACATAATGGCATTTAACTTTGATATACAGTTTTGTACCTTTTTGAACGTCTAGGACCTTTAATTCATTACCTTAATTTGTTCTCGGTCTGTACGTCTACTTTAAAAACGTGCATCATTGATATATCTATATTGTATAACCTATTGTTATTTCAGAAACACTGGTATACACACTACGACCAGCATCTATAGCAGTTCTCTGTCTACACACAGTATCAATGGTTTTATCTATAGCTTTCACAAGAGTCTGGGTACCATTCTCAGTATTTATGGAACTATGTGTCATAACTCTGGTAGTTAAATGTTTTAATGCCAATCCAGCTTGGATGATTTTGGTAACCTCTGTCCTAACCGCTTGTATTGCATTTTATGCCGCTTTCGCCGAGATAACCAATTCTGTACTTCAAGATTACATTGTACCTGTTGGTGAACCGATCCTTAAGGTATGTAAATTGTATGATCCAGAGCATGATATATTCTAATGCCAAAACTTCATTTGAGCCATAGTTTATTGTTCCTAGAATATTTTCTACCGATTTATTTTTTTTTACATTATATATTTCCAAAACAGCAGGACCAGCTGGTGAACAAGATCCTCAAAAAGCATGAAAGATAAATTGTTGTTCCTTGCTTTCTTATTTCATTTGTTTGCAAAAAAAGTCCATCTCCTGTCCGATGTGTATACATATGTCAACAGTATGTTTGGGGTGAGATTTCAAGTTTTTGGACGAACGAGCCAAAAGAATGGGACCATGCTGAACGGAGGCGAAAAGTCCCTTAATATTGGGGTAATTTTAATAGTAAATGTTGTTTTCAATACAGGAAGTTCAAGTTGAAGAAGAAAGCCAAGAACCACCTTGTCCGTTGTTCTCCTCTCAAAGAACATCAAACCTCCTCAAAGTTGCTGATATTTTAGATAAAGGTGGTGTAGTTGGGACACCTACTGATACTGTTTATGCTCTCGGTGCCTCTTGTAAACATCCTGAATCTATTAAACGGATCTACCACATTAAAGGTCGTCCTCCAGAGAAACCTATCTGCTTGTGTTTGTCTGATCTTGATCAATTGGTGGAATCTAACCCTGTCTTCAGTCCTCTATTGTGGGCCTTTATGAGAAGATGCTATCCGGGTGGAATCAGTTGCGTTGTACCTAAAGGTCCTTGGATGCAGAATCTTGGTTTAGGCGATGCTGTTCAATATGTTGGTACTAAAGAGAGTATATGTATACGAGTACCAGACAGCACTGTATTGGCTTACCTTGTCAGTCTGTCCGGACCTATAGCTCTCACTTCTGCTAATCCTAGTGGCGGTGCTGATAGTATTCACCATGATATGGTTATTAACTCGTTGGGTGAGTGAATTAATTAATCACATTTCTTTCAATACCAGAGAACAGTTTTCCATCTATAGTTTATGACATCATGTAAAGATATGTGCAAGTTCTTTGGACGTTGTACTATTATTGCAAATTTTATATTTTATTTCTAAACTATGAGCGACTAACCTTGACTTTATATCATTTAGGACACAAGCTGGATGGTATTATTTGTGATGGTAAATCCAATGAATTGGTAGCTTCTACTGTAGTTAACTGTTTAAAAATTGATGAAGGTACGTATCGCTTACGTAGTACAATCTGCCCTTTACTGTCAATGATGCAGTCCGCAGGGGCTGATATGCAAAGGGCTTCCAATAAGGAGCCCTTACTAAAATACATGGAAACAAAAGTATACAGAAGCTGTTGCATTTGAAAAATTCTCATCACTGCAAAGCGTTATTCTTTTCATTTGGAGCAGAAAATCAAGGTGTCATACTCCGTTTTTACTTGGTTTATAACGCTTTCAATGTATGTCCAGGGCGAATTATACGACAACTTCCTTTCGGTGTTGTAGAACTACGCACTTGGTTCATCATTACCCAACCCATAGAGAATATTTTGTTATTACAAACAAAGATAAATGACAGTCAATATTATTTGTGTTAAAATCAATGCAAAACTTCTGTTTTCTTTCAGGGGTAATAACATATTTCCGTATTGGTTGTACGCCGAAGGAACGAGTTGATCAGTTATTTGAAGAAGCTAAAGCTGAAATCAACAGCACGAACTCGTCAATCAATCTTTCGGTCAATTATAGTACATGATCGTTATAAGTAGGCCCACCTCGCTCGAACATATCTCAATTAGGTCGTAATTTGTAAATAAATCACATTTACCGTTATAGCCTGCTATTTATTTTGTATGCATAAATTTAATTTATTTTGATAAGAATTCATTATTTATTAAAATGTATGATATGACAAAAGTCTCTACTCTCTTGTCTTGGGTTGTCCATAAATTTCAAGAAGCACAACTGTTTTACGACCAATTAATTAATTATTAAAGAAGGCACACTTCTTGGCGGTACATGGGAAAATATGGTGAAATTGTTCAGATACACTTCATGGTGACCTCTCGAAATTCAGATAAATTGGAAAATAATGTCTGGTTTTAAGCACAGAAGAAATGTATGCCACAATTAATTTACTGTTTCATTCATTGTGTTTAGTCTTTCAAACGGCCTATTTTAACACTAGAGGCAACTTTTGAGGTATATTTTCTCTCGCCAAATAATAAAACATTCTATTTTGGTAAAAGGGAAATAATCAGCTACAAAAATTATTTCCCTTGAATATTTATTCTGAAAAAACATTGGATTAGATAGTTTTTCACGATAATGTTCACGAATAATTAGACACTTCCAATAGATTATTATCAGGATCTCTAAAATAAACAGACAATATAGGTCCTATAGCGCCAGTCCTTTCTACTGGGCCCTCTAATATAGGCACATCACACACCTATAATGAAAATATACATCGTAATTAGGATATGAAATTAGGATATGAATAGACACTACCAATCTTACTACACAAAACTGCCATTGCTAGCTAGTTATATTTCGTAAACAGATCCTGCTAGAATGCTGATTTTTTGCGTTTTCTGAATAATTAGCACGACTTGATGTATCTATATCATAGCGTTATATTTATAGCTAAACGATAAGTCAATATGTGCCGACAATGAGTCGAGATATCTTTGTCCCTACCTTATGGAAAAGGCTGGATATTGACTAGATAAACCTCAACGATAAGTTCAAGTCTAGATAGATCTGAACGATATGTTCACGACTAGATGAACCTCAACGATATGTTCACGACTAGATAAACCTTAAGGATAAGTTCACGTCTAGATAGATCTCAACGATATGTTTACCACTTGATGAACCTCAACGATAAGTTCACGTCTAGATAAACCTCAAGGATAAGTTCACGTCTAGATAGATCTCAACGATATGTTCACGACAAGATAAACCCCAACAATAAGTTCACGTCTAGATAGATCACAACGATAAGTTCACGACTGGATAAACCTCAACGATAAGTTCACTTCTAGATAGATCTCAATGATATGTTCACGACTAGATAAACCTCAACGATACGTTCACTTCTAGATAGATCTCAACGATATGTTCACGACTAGATAGATCTCAACCATATGTTCAACACTTGACATACCTCAACGATAATATGTTCACAATTAGATGTTTTTTACGACTAAAAATAGCTTACCTTAATGATATTCACGACATGTTCACAATTTTTTTTAATGGTGCGGTGCGTCCACGACCAGCAAAACCTAAACAATATGTTCACCACTATATCTCAACGATTTTCACGACTGTACGCCAACGATGTATTCACGAATCATCAACGATATGTCCACGACATGATATGATGTAAGCAACAAGTTTACGGCTATATTATAAATTTATCAATGGTAACAGAGTTATAAATCAAAAGGCTTTGGAGACGTACCTTTAAATGCTTGATGAAATCGTCTAATTTGGTTTCAGTAATAAAACAAACGTCAGCCGAGCCTGGTGTTGGTATGAAAGATTTCGGCTCGAATTCTTTTCCTTGTTCGTGAATGTTTATCTTCTGTTGACCAAATGTTAAAGCTTTTCGATCTCCCTGTTGAAGCGAAGTTAATGGAGATATAATTTAAAAAAAACAAGATGGCTTTCTTAAAACCTGCGATAACTTTGGCTTTAAAATGCCAAGAGTAGGTGGCATGGTTTCTTGTGAACAAACAAAAATAAAACTATTATAAACTGACTGAGGTTCTGAGCCATTTCAACTGTCAATAAAATGAAGGATTTAGGGCTCCATAATATAAAAGATTTGTTCTTATAGGGAAGAGTCTCACCTACCCCCACCCCCTCCTTAAAAAGAATTTGGCGATCCACTTAATTAGCTACTTATAACGTAATAGCCTCGTATAGAGTGTTCGTATTTATGTTTTGAATTCTCCCCATGGATATGTACAGGTATCTCTTATTTATTATAGCCTTTTATATAGTCTTTGTGTGTGTTTTTACCTTAAAAGTTATGACGTCCATTCCTAAGACTTTGGTATAAAATTCCACAGTCTTATTCACATCTTTAACAGTTATTACAAAATGATCCAATCTTGAGATCTTAAAACCACTGTGAAAACCTCTAATAGTATTGGATACATTCTGAAACGGAAATATATAGCCTAATATAAATTGCTATCAAAATAACTATCTATCGATGCTGGGGGTCATCTTTAAAACAAATGATCACCATATTAGATTTTCAAGTCCAATTTTCAAATTAACTTTGTCCGTTAAATAAAATATAACTAAAGCATTTCTGAGCTAAAAAAAAAACATGTATAAACAATTTTATCTCTTGCAGGGCATTGCTTTTACATGTATAATACAAATAATGCAAAAAAAAATGTTTCACAAGAAATGACCAAACACCATGCCATGACCATGTAACAATTTTTGTAGACCTGGGATTGCGAAAGGGTTCCAATATGTATAGAGAAGACAATGTATTCACCATTTCACAACGTATATAAGTCTATAATATACTAGTTATAATATACAGCTTCATATGGGTATTAACCTCATATCAGTCACTCAAGACAGAAGTCCTTGACAGTGAATATATATAGTTGGCAACATTCTAGTATGGTTATATTTGATGTAGTGATCAAAATAATCCATCTGTAAATGTCATATTTCATGTACTATACTAACAGTAAAGGTCAACAACCAGTGGCGGGGCCAGCCACCCGAGACTGGGTGTGCAAACAGGGGTAGACTGACTTAAGGGGTGGGTGAAGGGGGAAGTGCAACTATCGAGATTGAGATTCAAAATGCGGTAGCTCTATGGAAGCCAATAGGCAAAAGCCTCAAACTGAGCATCTGAAAGAAAATTTTTGAAAAATAGAATGGTTGGTGAGATAAGATAATAAGATAAAACACGCCAGACACTGTAGGCTACTGTGTATCCTCTCCAATGAAGAAAATCTTACGCCACATGCCAAGAGTTCCGTGAGTCAGATACAGCAAGTAAGTAAGTGATGATGGAACCATAGGCCTATTAGCAGTGGCGGCGCACGCCTTCCGGGGGCAGACTGACTCAATGTGGAGGACAACTGCTAAGGCTGAATTAAGATTTTAGCTACTCTGTGGTGTTGTCATAGTCGCAAGCCTCTCATAGAAGGTCTTAGAGGGTTCTCTAAAGAACATTTGAGAAATAATGAATTGATTTTGTGCATTCTGGCACATATTTTGGAGAAGGTTAATGTTTAGATTTATTGAAAATAGTGTCCACTTAAGTTAATAACGTGCTTTCTACAGTTTTAAAGTGATGCAACTCGTTATGTACCTTTCTAGTAAAGGTACATCTAGTAAAATATAACATCTTATGTTATCTTATCTACAAGTGGTCAATTCAGCCGACGACCAGGGAGCTGGACTTTATATAGCCTATATTTGATAAGGCATTCATGCGCATTAACGTAGAAAATAAATATGTAGACTACAACAAAAGATAAATTACAAATATTTATAAGAAATGGATTCAAGAGATGAACAAAGCAATAGACGTTACTAGAAGGTCGGAGGACTGCTACATCATAAGTATCATAAAATCTCAGCTCTGAATAGTTAAATATTGGTAAGAGTAAGCAGGTGTCGGATATGAAGTTAAAATTAAACGTAATATCAGATAATATCATCAAAAAGTCTCGAAACTGTGAGTACAGTATATGCCTATAGTTTTCCTTTTGTAGCTTAACAACAAAAGATGCCTTTTTCAAGGTCAAGAAGACTGCAATTTTTAATGATCATCGGAGCATTCTTGTCCCACTAGATATGGCTCATGTGTTTTTTCCGTGGTTACTCAAGATAGCGTTATGATAAGGTAAAAAAATGTATGATTTCGAGGTTCAAAAAAAAAAACAAAATACTGAACAAACCTGAATCAAATACGGTCTAAATATACGAGGTAACATTGTAGTGCGTCGTGTTTAAAGTGTTGACTGTTCGTCTGCTAGCTAGCTAGCTAGCGGGCTAGTCAATCCCACCAGTACTGTAAAATAAACAGACGTGTATTTAGTCGTTAAATACTATCTCCTGCGTTTATATTGAACACGTTGTGATGCATGTAAAAGCGCATAATTTTATATTTCGTTTTACTTCCTGGTTTATATGATCAAGAATGCTATCATTTATTTATATATACATAGGGCAATAACACGCAAGAGTTTTAATATATTAACGGCATCATCGGTTGAAAGTGATATTGTCATGTCTAACAATGTTTCGGTTATGAGTCTAGCCTACAATCACAAATTCTCGAAATTTTCTAGATTTCAAAAAAAATTCAAGTATATTTGAGAAAAACGGCGAGTTTTAACTATTAGTGGGAAATCCTGTGAGTCCCGGATGAAAGAATTTCATATCGGAAATGACGTAAAAATTTGATCATGTGATTTGCATCCGGGTAACTTGTTGATAAGGACAAGTGAATTTGTGCGCATTCTTGTTTTGTGTACATTAGAAGGGATTTTTCCCTAAAATATAGAGATTTTGTGAAGTAAGTCTGAATCCGGTCTGGTCTGCTTTTTCTTTTTTATGCAATCCGCTATTTTAAAAGCATTTCATTTGACCATAGCCTTATATTGTTCGCTTTTTAATGGCCCTAAAAACCAAAACAAATGACATTGCCAAGCCAAAAATGTGCTTATTTCATGTCATAAAACCTTAGATTTTCGTGCCTATGGACAAATGGCATGTATTTGATTTACTATGTCTATGAGTATTTGTGAAATGACATGAAAACTTAATTCTTAGATCACTGTTGTTAGAGAGTAGTCCACAAATAAGCAAAGCATTGAAGAACAAGTTAGTCATATTACTTGGACCCTATCATTATTAGTAATTGTACATCAGTGTGGTGAAATTGATATTAATTTAACTTTAATAAGTTATTACTCACAACTTTCGGGAAACCACTCACTTCTTCTTATTTCACTCAGATTGTTAGTTAAAGGAAAGTATCAAATATATATTTGCAAATTAAAACTTGGGTTTCTGGAGACTGGTTCAGAGTAAACTATCTTTCTCAGTTTCTTCCACAGATATTAACTTAAAATAAACATATTAACAGATGTTTATAACCGATGACTTCAAAATATTATCAATATGCTTATCATATTTTATCTGTACAATAGCTGCATGAGAGCATGTAGATCACTTGGTAGAAGTAACAACTGTAAGCTTATATTTTCTATAATACATGGTAGGGCAGGTGAATCAAATTTGGAATATTTGGAATTAAGCTGGTTAAATCAGATTGTTATGAAATGTTTTGATGGCAATATTTCTCCTATTCTAATAAAGAAGATGCAATAATAACCTTTACAATCATCTTTTTAAGACTTTTTAGATATTATTTCGTTGATGTAAAAATTGTTGATACCCTGATCTATAAAGTAATCCATTAAATTCATGTTAAAGAAAATATTAATTAATTAAATAGCTGGGTTTAGTATTTAATTAGAGGATTAATTACAAAATATAGCATTTAAAGAAAATAGTAAAAAGTATTTGTCATGATTTTTGTTATTATAATAGGATTAATTTGTAATAATATTAATGAACAATGCAAGTAGTAACCAGTTTGTGTTGAAATAAGTCTTGTGTTCTCTCAATATCCTATTTTATAATCTTATTTTTAGTGGATGTATGATAAGTATGTATGGTATTTTTCAAGTTTGTATGATGACTAGTATATTTTTACTTATTTGATACTTACTAACAAAATATTTTGTTAAATAGTGCTTAATACATCAATTGTAGAGCGATAAAGAAATATCAAAACAGAACTTGAAACATGTTGTTGCTTATTGTATTATTCTGTGGGATCACACAATGTAAAACTTTGAGTAACAACATGTTTCAGCCTCTGATTTGACATGTATTTGATACTTATAATATAATTACTAATTTTTTTCAACTTTTTCTCAGTTTTGTTCTAGGCACTAATAAGAATGTCTGACTCCAAAGATGAGAAGGGGCTAGATGAGAAGATATATGGTGGTTGTGAAGGGCCTGATGCAATGTATGTCAAATTAATATCATCAGATGGTCATGAATTTATTGTTAAAAGAGACCATGCTTTAACTTCTGGTACTATAAAAGCTATGTTGAGTGGTCCAGGTAGGTTGTCAAATGATAAAAGTGTTTTTGTAACTTGTGATGGTCCTTTCAGACTTACTCTTTTCATACCCATTTCTTATCATCCCTTTTTTTACCTGTCAGCTCTGTAGGAGTTTAGCTCAAAAGAATCGAACATCAAAGCAACATTGCTTTCTTGTTCAGGCATATTTCTATTTCAATAGTTTGGTATGAACCAAAAGTCATATGTTTCCAAGCATAATGTATACAAGGATGCCAATGCTATTACTGTATATTATTCCTCAAAGCTGTAAAGTATTGCTAGCTTACAGAATATCTTAGTCTTTCAATGTCTTGAAAAATATACAATATTATAGTGTCTCTTTAAACTTACTGTTTCTGTAAGGTGCACAGCCTGTAGCAAACCATGTCAGGTTTAGAATGATATGAATTAATAAAGAAGGATGTAAACTAAATAAAATTGCTTACTACATTTGATTTTCATTTTGTTAATTTTTTTCTTTGGTACATTTCAGGACAGTTTTCTGAAAATGAGACAAACGAAATAAATTTTAGGGAAATACCGTAAGTATCTTTTATAATCTGTGTTATTGCTTTTATATTTTTGATTTGTTTACACAGTGTCAAATGGGCCTTCTTAGCACAGTATGTTGACATACCGGAGTTGCCAATTTTTATTCCACTTATGTGAGACTGGCATGTTGTAGAGAATTCAGGGTTTCCTTGATTTGAAGACTAAGTGTAGCCTAATTAAATCTATCTATATCAAATGTATAACCCCTTTCACCTTATTTCTCTCTATATTGTAGATCTCATGTCCTAGAGAAAGTGTGTATGTATTTTACCTATAAGGTACGCTACACGAATAGTTCAACAGAAATACCTGAATTCCCCATTTTACCTGAAATAGCTCTGGAATTACTTATGGCGGCAAATTTCCTTGATTGTTAAATACAGTTTATATCTTATAATTGTTATACATTTTTTTGAATCCTGTTGTACAAGACAAGATGGTGTATTTTTTTATTTAGTTTAAAGCAATCTGGTGGGTGCTTACATTCTGCCAACATAAGACAAACAAACAAGTTTAAGTGAAGCCTGTATGCAACAAAAGTAGGGTATTTAGGCTATGTCTGGTCATTTTCATGAGAACTTTTAGTCTGAGCTTAAGATTTTAAAACATTTCATACCTGTGAATATTCAATGAAAGTTTTTATTTTTCTTGAATCATATATGATATGCTAGAGTGTTGTTTAATAATAGTGGAAAAGCATCAAGCTAAGATTTTAATACACAGTTATAATTATCATCATAAATAAACTTGAGCTGATTGGCGATGTCTGAAGAGCAAGCTTGAAATACAAATGTAAATTTTAATCCATAGTAACACCTGAGAAGGATTAAACTCTTATTTAATCAGTAAATATGGATTTTTATATGCCCACTTAAAGACCAAATCTATGATGAGGCATTAAAGGCATGTTATTGGTGTAAATTTGCTGTTGAATGTTACAAACCAATGGATTTTTACTTTTATCTCAATGAGGATTAGTAAATTACAATTTGGTGACTTTGATTCAGCATGTTTTGGAGCCTGTGACAGCAAAGTCAATATCTCAAAACTTATTATAGAATATCTCATAAATTATAACATTAACTTATCATTATATAGTTTCCATTTTTAATTGTTTGTACACTTTTTGAAAGTTGATTTAGTCTTTTGTGATATATGCTATTATTATTATTTTGTCTGTCATGTGTGTAATATTTGGTGAACCATTGTTTTAAAATGTTTTTTTTTAACAAGATGACAGCTTTCTGAGTGAAGTGAAACTTGTTAATAAATAGCGTGGTTCTATAAAGAACTAAATTTAAACTAGCTGTATAATATAGATATTGACCTGGCTAAATAAATTTTCTAATGTGTTAACATTTTACGTGTTTATTATATTTTTTGTTTTCACTAACGTGTTTTGGAAGCCATTGTGTCTAAGTGAGAAGGGTGCTTGCCGGATAACCTAGGATCGAGTTGATACTTTTCAATTTTTCAACCTCTGACTTGGAAAATGCATTTGGTCATGGATTGGACAATAAACCGAGGAATGTGTGCATATGAAATATCTTTCAATAATTGCAAATGGGGAAACGCCGGCGGCTACAAAGCCATAATCGTTGCTAAACTCATGGCTATCATCTTTAAGGGCAAGTCAAATTAACACTTGTTTGATATTATAAATCCTGTCGGGGACACGATAATCATGTCGCAGAAGCACGGGCACACGCGAGATTTTTCTCAAGACTCTAATCGGCGACAAAAACTCCGACAAAGACCGTTCGTGTGCCCGCATCATTATGATACTACCAAGATTCTGGGTTTGTCTTGGCGAAGTGAAAAATGAATTGATAAATGGGAGACAAATCTTGATTCCAAACTTTGTGTACAACAATTTTGAAATTTATGTCTCCTAGTTAAGTGTTAGTATGATTGCTTGCTTTGTTATTCGTCATCGTTGAAATGTATATACAATTCCTAATATAATATAAGACAAGGATTCATTCCAACAAAGGGTGTCGCTCAGTTTGCATGAAGTTCCTTATATGATAGACAGAAAGAACTATCAGATTTGTGGGGAAAAAAACGAGACATGAATGATTCTTGTTTTTTCTGATAAGAGTATAGGTAGGTGGACTACAGAAAAATGTCCCCCATTATTCTGGCTTGGGGAAAAAATTTTACAGCCTCCTGGAATTTTGTCTCACTCGCCCGCTTGTGACGGAAAATCATAAAGTCAAATGGGCTTAAACCTAGAAATTTCTCTTAACAAACCTGCTTTTCCAGGATAGGCAGACTAATATACTAAAAGTCCTCAAAAATTTTCTACGATCGTTTCCGCTATCCAAAAGGGCGTCCAAAAATGGCCGTTATTTCCTTGATATATTATAGCTTTCCACTAGGTAGCCTAAATACAACATTTAAATATCTAAATATATTTTTTTCGGCATAAGGAACTCAATAAAATACTTCTTGATAAATTTCGAAAGATCCAAATAGCTATAACCCCATTTGAGCCCTTCAAAATGGCCACAATTACCAATTCCATTTCATTGTATCATTGTTAATATATTCAAATGATTATAGATTACAATAGCATCATTTAAATATATTTTAGTACAAAACCTTTTCATCAAACACATTAAAGTACGCACACGCACCCTCACACAAATATGAAGCAAAATATCTCAGCCCACCCTGCTAACCCTATATCTCACACGTGTAATTATTCCTTTTCTTAATTGTCATGGACACCTGTTTGTTTAAGCGTAAAACATTTCTAGTCATATCATTGTTAACAACGAGGCATTGATCACTTTATATACTGCAAAGTGCCAGGTCATTCGGTCAACAGTGATCAATGCCTCGTTGTTTTAAGATGTAGGCACATTCAAGTTTAAAAGTTTTCAATATGAAAACAAGAAATGGTACTATGGCTTGCTTCATGTCTGTATATATTAAAAGCGTAATCCTTGGATATCATCCAACGAAGATGCATCTATCTTTATTGTCTCTTGACCTAGTACTTTGCTGTATGCATATGTGTGACTATGCGTTTAACCATGTGAACTATTCCAGTCCATCACAGATGGGAACACAACTGGGAAGTTACATGAATTTTTCTTGTCAATGTACTGTTTGTGATTTCACGATCATGAGTCATTCCTTCAGATATTTTCTGCTGCCTCCTCAGTAACTGTTGAATGGTCTCATCGGAGAAGTTTCCATCCCACACGATGGATTCATTTATTTTTCACAACGTGCCCTATAGTTTCTATGGCATTACCAAAGTTTCCAAATATTTTTAGAGTCATAAATAGGTAAACAATAATAGTTCCAATGGTTAAATTCGCGTTCTCCGTTCTAAAAAGTCTACGGTTAAAATTAGGTTCTAGAAGACTCAAATTGAAAAAAGTAAATAAGATGGGAGAAAAAACAAGTAAAAATACTTTAATTTTATAAGATTAGTCATTTCTACTTAAGAAATGACCACGCGATTTTAAGAATTTATACAATCAGATCTGGATCCTATTTTGAACCAAATACAGCGCCATACGCAAACGGACAGAAAATGGCGCAAGTCGCCCGCACACTGAGAGAAAATGGCCAGCGCCAATTACGCTCGAGTATTAGCACTTCGTGTGCTGGTAATTTTTAGTGTGCATTTGGCCACTCGTGGTCTTGTGGAAAATATCTATCGTGTTTGATATTTTTGACCACTCGTGGCCGATGGCACACCGTGTTCGGGTAACCGTGCGCGACTTTCTCAGACGACGAACACAACGGGCATGCGTTATTGGTATTTAAAGATGGCTGCGCCCAGTGAAGAGGTGACAAAAGCAATCCTTGACGTTAAATTTGTTGAATTATGGCAAGATTACCCCTGCCTTTATAATATCCGATCGCCTGAATTCAAAGACAAGGACAAGCGTGACTATCGCTGTAGTAGGCCTAGTCCACCATTTTGAATGATCATGTGATATGCTGACGGCAGATATAGTTGAGCGAAAGGCGCGTCGTGTACGGGGAGTAGTGTTGTGAGAAAGTAGCGCTCGCCATTGGCGCTCGCCAAATTCTCTCCGTGTGCGCATTGCATATTAGCTTGACATTGTGAAGATTGTCATGTCAGGATATCTCTTATAAGTATTCGTGATTAAGACACAAATTGTAGCGGAAAATGTTGACATGTGTCAACGAATTATCTTTTTGTTTTATGTTGGCGTTCATTTAAAATCTATTATAATTGACCTTTGGGGGGACAGTTATGTAATAAGTTATCATAATGTTAAAGTATGGAGGTCACATCGTTCTGGTTTAATACATGCAAAGTTATTACTTCTGCAACTCCATGGTATTCCTGATCCTATAAAACTCTAGCGACGTCATCCAATGGATATTACATATTTTATTAAAAACCCAGGGATACATATCAATTCTCGGGGAAGTTCTTTACAATATTTGTGACCCTTGAAGGCCTTTTCATATAGGTTGCCGGCTGCATTGACCAAGTATGTAGCAACAAGTTGCACAGCTTTGCCGGAAAACGCCTCTGCCCATGGACTGTTTTGGACATTATATTCTCCGCTGGATAGTTCCAGATGATAGATGCCGATGCATCTTTCAGATCACTTTGATCACATACGGATTATGAGCTATAATCTTTCCAGATGTCTGTCCCAATTAACGGAGCAGCTCGGTGCGAGAGGGGTAGCCGAGACAATTCAGGTTTAACTAAAGAAAGCCAAAATTTAAACCTGTTATTAAATATTTAGTCTAGCTAACTGGTCGCCGCTCGATGAACTGACCAGGTTTTTAAGGCACGAGTCGCATCCCTTATTTCACGCTTTTATTACATTCAACACATTACGAAGGAAATGAAATGTATGGAGTTTTACGTCCTACTTTTCTGCACCATGTGGGCTAATGAAGACGGCCAACGCCATGCAGGGTGCAATGAGGGAAATTTTGCCACGACAGCGGCATTAGCCTGCTCTTTTTCGATTTCCAACTGTCGAGGGATCTTTAACGTGCACAGCCTGTAGCACACGGGGCCTCGGTTTATTGTCCCATCCGAACGAGGCTTTTTCCATGTCAACCCCTCGTACCTGCATCACTGACAGGGGGAAACCGGGTTGAAAAATCTGAAGGTGTTATCTCGACTTATGCCGGGATTGAACCCTGGACCTTCAGGTTAGCGAGCAAGAGTCTAACTCACTGAGCCACCGCGGCTCCCACACATTACAAGGGAAACAGATATTAGAAAGTTGGTAGCTGATATCTGATGGGACAGAAACATATATACATGTACCTATATATAACTTTAAAAAGTTAAAATTGGTTGTCATTGACAGAGCATAAAATTAAATTTACACAATTTTCTATCTTCACATAGCAATACCCACTAAGAGAAAAATACAACCACCCACCCCACACCTCCGCACCTTTGGAAATATTTTGACAGTTGACGTTAGAAACGCAATGTTTCAAGGGCACTTGTAGAGTCAAAGTACCTAGAATGATGGCCGTGAACGTTTAGTTCAAGCCCCAGTGGGAAGGTTCATCTAAAAGGTTCACCCAAAACCCACGTTCTTGCAAAACAAATCTAGCTTGTTAAGATATTTTGTAATTTGTTTAGTTTAGTCTATATCGTACTTTAATAATATAGGTCTAGGCCTATAAAAATGTCACTGAATATAGTTATACCACACTTCGTAACAAAATTCGCGTTCATTCACATCACAGACTCGATTATTTTATAAACCTGAATGAATTGTGTTGAATTGGAAAAAAATCATAATAAAAGATAAAGTATAACTCAATAATTGGTTTGGATTTTCCATAGTTTCTGAATATTTTTAATTGTTATTGTTTAATTAATAAAAGAGAATTAGAATTGGGCGTGTATTGTGATTTGAGTTCACCGATTTGTGATTCATAAGTGATTAAAGGATAAAACAAAACTGGAAGTTTATCTGGCTCGATTTAAGGAAATATAGTTTCAAGTTACCTCTGTTTGTTTCATGTCATAGAACTATGATTCAATACTCTTAGAAAGTCATTTCAAGTGAAAGAATCGACAAGACGAAATGGGTTCAACATTGAATATTTTAGTTATTTTAGGATGTATATTAGTGCCTTTTAGTTTTAGTAATTTTTTAGAATGGGGTCCGGATTTGGAGGGACCATGGTGTGCCACCAGACCTATAGAACAATGCTGTCCTGGAAGAGATGATGAATGTACGGTTCCAATATTAGGTACTAAATGTTACTGTGATATATTTTGCAATGAAACTGCTGAAGATTGTTGTCCAGATTTTTGGAATCTGTGTTTAGGGGTGACTAGACCGACGCCTTGGCCACTTACAACTACCACCAGCAGAGTTCCAATCAATATATTATGTAAGTATAAAATCATGTTCAATTTGTTCTGGAAATAGCATCCTTTACAATATAATCATCTTTCAACGTAACATTCAAATAGATGTTTTTAATTTCTCAGAATATCCAAAATTGTGCTTATTAAACAAAATGCTTTTAGATCATATTTAGTAAGAAAGCTCGATTCCTTGAAAACAAGAATTTAGACATTTTCATCAATATTGTTTGTGCTGAATCAGCTAATAAGATCCTGCAAAAAGATAACCCTTAAATATATGGGTATTTTCCTAATAAAGTTAATGAATAGCGTAGTCGACTTGTGTAGATTTGGCGAAATAGCAAGGATCCACTGTAAAAACAAATGGGAAATTCTCTATTAGGCCTACAATGGTGCTGATTCAGCAATTCAGAAAATATGCTGAATTGTCATAAGTGCGTTTTATGATCTTCTGTACTCATTCATACAACATAATACTTCTTGCTTATATAAGGGTCTGATATAATTTTTTGATTTTGAACTTTAGTTTAAGTGAGTTATAGATAAATTTGATGGCCATTTTAAAAAAAAAACAAATTGTATCACGATATTATTTATTTTTATCTTGAACCAGTCTATAAGTTACTGCGGCAGTTATATGTTTTTCTATTGTGTCGTTATAGACTTCCAGGTTTGCGTTTTGGTTGCGATTTGAATACGTGCATTTTCATACCGAATTTTTGTTGAAACCTAAATCTTATTTTTTTACGTTTGAAAGGGCTCTCACCTACATGTGTTGAATCCAGTGTGTTTGAAATTGTTATTTAAACTATCATGTAGAAAACTGGCTTGTTTACAATCTGTATAAGCAAACACTCGTCTGGAGAATCCAAACAATGTATGTGCAGCTCTAGTATATTTAGTAACTTTTAATAATAGCACCTTTTTACTTATCATGTTTATTAAATTAAACTTTTAAGGTCTGAATATTTCAATAGATGTTTTAGTGTCTACTGGTTCAAATGCACGAAGTTGCACTTTTCCTCACATGTTTAACATACATGGGATTGCAGCTAGCAATTCGCCTAACTTTATTACTCGCCTCAAAGAAATTCCTCTTATTAGTTAGTCGTTTGGCAGTATGCAGTGACTTGTCTCGGAGTCATTCGCCCCAATATGCAGTGACTTGTCTCGGAGTCATTCGCCCCAATATGCAATGACTTGTCTCGGAGTCATTCGCCCCAATATGCAGTGACTTGTCTCGGAATCATTCGCCCCAATATGCAGTGACTTGTCTCGGAGTCATTCGCCCCAATATGTAGTGACTTGACTCGGAGTCATTCACCCCAATATGTCGTGACTTGTCTCGGAGTCATTCGCCCCAATATGCAGTGACTTGTCTCGGAGTCATTTGCCCCAATATGTAGTGACTTGTCTCGGAGTCATTCGCCCCAATATGTCGTGACTTGTCTCGGAGTCATTCGCCCCAATATGTAGTGACTTGTCTCGGAGTCATTCGCTCCACAATATGTAGTGACTTAGCTCAAAGACTCATATTATGCAGTGGGTTAGTTCAGAATCATTTGCCCAACAATATACCCCCCGCCCCCCCCCCAAGAAAAATGGCTTGAACTCCCAGCTACCTATACTTCCCTTTTGTCAATTTCAAATTTTTTGTCGATATTTAAACGTTTTTTACCCAAAATGTGTCAGAATGCACCAAATCAATTCAAATTCAATTTTCGAAAATTTTCTTGGGACACTCCATGAGAGGCTTGACATATTGAATTCAGCCTCGACAACTAACCCCTCGTACTTAAAAGGTTTACATGGGGATTTCATCCCATTATAATACTGTCCGCCTGACTAATTTCTATAGACTGTTACAGACTATTAGCAAACCACATTCCATCGTCTGGTTACTGTTCTTTCCTTCAAATCATTCACCAAGGAAGTTATTTACTCAACGTTTGCACTTAAACATGCTGATTGGTAAAAGCATAGCCTGTAGAAAGATGGTCTCAACATGATAATGTACAGAATAAATTCAACACTTTGTACTCGAAGTTATAAAGATTAATGCATTTTTATTGTATTTTGTTTTCTCTGCAGATTTCTCCGTAATTCTACTCCTGGCCCAATTTTGTCTGCTCCGAATTGAGTTCATTTTCTTACCATTTTGTTATCATTACCGACTTGTTTCAAGTACAAATTCAACAATGTTATCACGGCTGCAATTCCTCTAAAACACCTGCATATAAATAGACTACTCAGTATCGTGTTGTATATCATTTATGACCCTTCGCCCGTTTTCTGGAAATTCAAGGACCCAAAATTTATATTTGTCTACATCAATCCTGCAGCATAAGACCGAGGCCTATGGCTTGATTCATGAAATCAATGCGTACATGTACTTGCTTCACTGGGAAACGGCCTCTCTGACACCGGTATTGGGTTAAAGGCCATGATTCGTCATTTTCGGAGGTTGATTTGGGTCTTGAATACATGTAAATTATCTTCAAAACTACACGAAAACCGCTTAATCACTTCACATGTACCTCAGACTGGAAATTTACCTTTCTATTTCTATGTCTTTTCTATATATAGTCAAGTCTCAAGGAAGACGAGTCGTCATTTTAACATTCAAACGCGGGTAATTCAGGACACAAGGGATTTGAAGACTCAAATTTCAACGGTGAGCTGTGAAAATTTCCATTTCTGATACTAAGATACGATTGGTAAAACGGATTGTGAATCTGTCCCTGATACTCAGAGCCATCGTGCAATATTGTGGATGACAATTTACGTCTACGGTTTTACGTCACATCATGGCTTACAGCTAATACTTCTAAAAAGATAGCTTGCCAGGCAAGGTAATATACGCCCACTGGCAGCTTTGATTTTGAACATAAATATTTAGCAGTACAGTAACAATCACCAGTATGAAATATTCAACCTTCAGTCATACACTTCTTTTGAACTCTTTAGGGCGATAATGAATAATATTGAGTTATGGCCCTAGTTCTTGAAAACGTGTTTAGCTCGTGAAAACTCTAGAAGAAAAATATTCAATCTTCAGCGCGGTAATGAATAATAAAACCAAGTTTTGTCAAAATTCGGCAAGAATCATGCCTTCTAGAGTTTTTATGAGCTACAAATTGAACGAGTTTTCAAGATCAAGGGCAATAACTCATACTAAATATTTTTTCGATTTTTCTGTTTTTCAATACAGTTTATCCATGGGTGATAACCAACACTCATGCCAAGTTTCGTCAAAATCCGTCAAGAATTGTGCCTTCTAGAGTGTTTACGAACTAAAAATTGAACGCGTTTTCAAGAACAAGAGCAATAACTCATACTAAATATTTTTCGATTCTTCTGATTTTCGATAGGGTTTATCCTTGGGTGATTACAAACACTCATGCCAAGTTTCGTCAAAATCCATCAAGAATTGTGCCTTGGGGGGCGCAAAGATGCAAAATTACATGAAAGGTCTTTCCCCTTACTGCCCCTAAAATGGAATCGAAACAAATTTTAGCGGCAGCTTCTCCCTTCAGAGTTCTTCAGTCGCCACTCATGTATAATGTCAAGTTTTTTCCAAAATTCTATCTTTGTTCATTTTATCTGGCCAACAATGTTGAGTGTTTCTATTAGAATCTGATAGTATCCCACTACATTTTACAGTTCTTCGTCTATCTTCCTGCTCTCTCAAACTTGCCAATAATGAAGTGTTTTTGAAGGGTTATCAAAGCTATGTCTAACATATTGTAATACCAACATACCAATCGTGGTTGAAGTGTAATATCGATGCCAGTGTAAAGGTCCTTAGTAATCTGTTCACAGCGTGTCCAGACCTTACAGCTGTTCGTTGCCTACAAATCGTAACTGTTTAATTAATCTAGAGCAGAATATCTTGGTTATGTTTAAATTTCTACCCATGGGGCAATTTATTTTGAAGTGTAATTGCATGACTTGTTGAAATATGTCTGTTTTTATTATTGAAAGTTTTAAACATATTTCCCCGAGACACTTGACTGAATAATCTTGTGAAATCAACACTTATTATTTATTATTCACACATTTTTAGAATATTTCATAAAAGCATAGGTCAGTATTGTTATATGCAATTCACAGGCACTAGAAACAATTATCTAATTTGCCATTCCAATACACCCTGACCGAAACTGAAATAGTGCAAATTGGACCTCTAAATCTTTAGAGGACACATTATAGTCTGCGTATTTGCTTTGACAGTTGGTAAATCTCCATTTCAGCTGTTTATGTAATTTTTCTTAATGATATTTTACACTTAAGTGCAATGAAGATCGATAAGTCGGTACTGTTGCTGAATATTCAGGACACATATAAGTAAAGCACCTCTCTGCAAAGTCGATAGCACAATAGGAGGGGGATACTACGATGGCTTACATACGACATATTTCACTTTTAACCTAGATAACAATTAGGTGATTAGGAATTATCACCTAATTGTTATCTAGATGAAAACGATTTTCACCAAGTAAAAAAAAAGTTTTTAATTCAAAATAAAAAATACGGTATTATATAGATACATGAAGTTTCAACAATATCCACTTTCAATGTAAATTGTTGAAACGTTGCTTACATTATATTTCTGTGGTTTATATGAAGTTGAGTTGTGTTTGTTGTTTAATGAAACTTTAAAATTAGAAACTATTTTCATCAAAAAGTCTCGGTATATGGATGGCAATTTGTATGTAAACATCGAACATTCCAGCCGTGTATTTTACTAGGGCAATAAAATAAATCAAATATGACATCTCATTGAAAAGGGCATTCTTCAGATGTTTGACCAGTGGCATTGTCGTCTTTATCAAGGTGTGGTCAATATTAACATTTTTGATACAGACCTATGTAATAACTGAACCTTGTACCAAGAATTACCTATTATTCTAAACCTTTACCAACTGATATTAAGTGTAAGTCTAAGGGAGATTTTTTAAACAATGAATTGGACATTTTTTAATGTTCAGTGACCAGTAAAACGTATCTTGATTAAATAAGAAGATAAATAACGATGAGACTATTATTGGGGATGTTTTTGAGACTATTTTATTACGTGGATTAAATGGTATATTATCAAGTCGGTCGGATATCATATTATTGTCTGATATATCAGTTTACTGGTTTACTAACATTACTATCATGTTAACAAAACTGAATTCCTTACACAAATTCCGAGATAATTTTATTGTTCCTACAATACTTCATACTCCGAAAAATTATAATAAGATTGACGGCAGTAGGTCATTTTAAAGAGGCAGTCTGAATTTTTCGGGGTACTAATTGTAAAGTAAGCAGTTAAAACTAGTAATGGTGTTGTGCCTTTATAAGAGATTGACATTTTGAGTTAAAACCTTCAGAATAAGTGGGAGAAATATTTCCCTAAAATTTGACGTTTATTTTGCTTAAACCCGTACATTAGTTTTCTAACACCAATAAAAAAACACAAGGACTGTAAAAGTTTACCTAAATCTTTTAAATAATTTTTGGCGTTCTAAAAATTAATGGCAGGAATTTTTCAGAATTCTCAGATAAGGTAAGGAATACACATAGACTCTATTATATTCGTTTGAGCAAATTAGTTTTTCCAACCAATAAAATCCAACTATAAGGTAACGTCCTATATCATCGCCCTGGCAGTCTAAGCTTCCACTTTGATAAAACTATAGCACTTTGATAGAGCTATAGCGCTTTGATAGAACTATAGCACTGTGATAAAACAATATCCCTTTAAGAGAACTATAGCACTTTAATAGAACTATAGCACTTTAATAGAACTATAGCACTTTAATAAAACTATATCACTTTGATAAAACTATATGCCTTATATAAAACTATAGCCCTTTGATAAAGCTATAGACCTTTGATAAAACTATAGCACTTTGATAAAGCTATAGCACTTTTATAAAGCCATAGCACTTTGATAAAACTATAGCCCTTTGATAAAACTATAGCACTTTGTTAAAGCTATATCACTTTGATAAAGCCATAGCACTTTGAAAAAGCTATACCCCCTTTATAAATCTATAACCCTTTGATAAAGCTATAACACTTTAATAAAACTATAACACCTTGATAAAGCTATAGCACTTTGATAAAGCTATAGCACTTTAATAAATCTATAGCCCTTTGATAAAGCTATAGCACTTTAATAAAACTATAGCACCTTGATAAAGCTATAGCACTTTGATAAAGCTATATCACTTTGTTAAAGCTATATCACTTTGTTAAAGCTATAGCACTTTAATAAATCTATAGCCCTTTGATAAAGCTATAGCACTTTAATAAAACTATAGCACTTTGATAAAGCTATAGCACTTTGATAAAGCTATATCCCTTTGTTAAAGCTATATCACTTTGTTAAAGCCATAGCACTTTGAAAAAGCTATAGCACTTTGATAAAGCTATATCACTTTGTTAAAGCCATAGCACTTTGAAAAAGCTATAGCACTTTGATAAAGCTATATCACTTTGTTAAAGCTATAGCACTTTGAAAAAGCTATAGCACTTTGATAAAGCTATATCACTTTGAAAAAACTATAGCACTTTGATAAAGCTATAGCACTTTGATAAAGCTATATCACTTTGTTAAAGCTATATCACTTTGATAAAGCTATAGCACTTTGATAAAACTATAGCTCTTTGATAAAGCTATATCACTTTGAAAAAGCTATAGCACTTTGATATAGCTATAGCACTTTGATAAGACTTAAGCACTTCGATAAAGCTATGGCACTTTCATTGGCTACATTAACGTCGTGCTCATGAAACGCATTCAGTTTGCTAAACGTTAGCAACTCTTTGTTGTTTTCTGCTGAACGATGTTGTCGTGTAGGCAAAATCTAAATGTTTTTGTCAAAAGTACATATTTAAGCTGGTTTTTTTTAGCCTACCCACAAGGTGCAGAACAATTTATTTTATTTATGAAATTTCCAGACAAGAGATACCCATTACTATAAAATAGCATTTGAAGTAATAACTTTTCTTAAACTTAAAATAATGTGATTATACATTGTAAACATAAATGTGTTAAAAAGTAATAAAGCAATTTGCAGAAAAGCTCTTGAAAGTTTTGTCTACGAATGTTAAAATGTTCAAATATTCCAATGTTCATGTTTTCTGTTTTTCAGCTAGTTGTATTAAAGATGGTATAGCATATAAACCTGGTTCTGTAGTCTATGATAATTGTAATGAATGGTAAGTATGAACAGGGAACAAATAAAAAAATTTAAAGTGTACCAACAGATTCATTTATTTGGTGTATTTCCTATTGGTGCTTAGTTTGCCTTTCTATGATTCATCCCGTTTTTAACATTGTGTTTGATGGATACGAAAATTTACTAAATAAAACTATGATGAACTAATTTATTGTACATGAAAGTAATTATTTTATGCTAGGAAACTTTCTGCTATATCGCTTAAGCATGTAAGATAATGAAAACAATATTTGTAAGATGGCTGTTATAATACACAGATAATTCATGTGATTAACCATCTTCTAATTGGCTGAAAGGCCCACTTTCTTGTTTCACGGCGATTGATTTGGTTGGGTTGTGCGCCAGCGAATACAGTCAATCGATTTCGCGAGTAATCAGTCTTTCTGTTGAGTGCTCAAATTGGCTGCCAATCAAACCTCTATGAAGCACGAAAGTGGGCCATTGCAGTCACGGTATAAAGTGAAGACGTGTGAAGATTGTCATTATCATGCTTCAATAGATTAGAATATCAGAAATAAAAAAAAAGATGGTAGAGGATATTTTTGTCTGAGACAAAATCAGTCGGGTTCATGAAATGCAGACCTGGATGTATTACTTCCAGACCATTGATCTGACGAAATTGCCATGCAAAAAAAGCTCTGTGGGTCATAAAATAATCAGTCAATCTAAAGCCAGACCTGGTATAGGCCTATGCATTGGTTATCCCAGTTTTCACTGTGTTTTGATTCGTTAGCATAAGTTACTGACTTGGCATGATTTAAGGGGAACTATTCCCAGATAATGGAAGACGAGTGAAGAACCGAGAGAGAAACTAGAAAAAAAAAAATTTTATTTTGGCATGTTTAGGTTCATGAATAATTTAGATATTAGTGGTATTCTGTATTTTGATTTATAAAAAGCCGCTTGGTGTCATGAAAATTTACTTTAAACTAACAAACTTCCGCTCCAACGTGCCAATATTCTCTCTTGGAATGACCAAAAATTGAAAATTTAAACTTGGCAAAATATGAGCCTTTGGTGTCATAACTATAACTAATCCATAATAATCCATTAAGGAATTATTGCCAAGAAGCGTTTTTCAATGATTATTTAGTTTAATGGGTGTATTATCACCTTTTATAGAGATTCTATTTTTTTAATCATGACACCATAATTCTCTTATTGACCAAGTTTGATAATTTAAATTTATATCCATTCTAAGAGGTAGCATTCCTTTAACTAAGTGAAGAGAATCAAATATTACAAGACAATATCCCTTAGTATCAAAATGAACAGCAGTGTTAAGATAATTTGTGTACTTTCAGTCAATGTGTTTTTGGTGAGTATATTAGTACATATAAGTGGGAGTGTTCTAATGATGATTGTTTACTTGAAGCAGATCATATAACACAGATAAATAATGGTCCATATAGGTACGTAATGATATAAAATTATGTTGAAATATCTATATATTTGTCTACAAGAGGCGCAAGAATGCTATGTTCAGAACAATTTGAAAATCGGACTTTATTATCTTTTTCACATCACATCATAAAACAAGAATTGAACAATTCATTTCACAAGATTTTATGTAAATCGATAAATTTTTAACAATTGGATGGCAGAACTTGGTCATAATTAATTAATCGACGTAGGCTTACTAAAATAAAGTCAGTGGCAGAGTGGCATACGTTTCGCAATCCAAGAACTCGTGATATCTCAATCGTGATTGTGCTTAAATCTTGAAAAAAAAATATACAAAAATGTTCTTCTTTCTTAATATTTTAGTTGGGTTGCCAGTAATTATTCCGATTTCTGGGGTTTAACTCTTGAAGATGGTGTAAAATATCGCTTGGGAACGTTTCCACTCGGTAGCAATGTGGTTCAGATGACCCCATTACGTGTGAAACTGACCGATGTGCTTCCAGAATCATTCGATGCCAGAACTAAATGGCCCAGTTACATCAAACCTATTAGAGATCAGGGAAATTGTGGTGCATCTTGGGCCTTCTCAACCACAGGTAGGCGAAGACTGGATTAATTCCGTCCGCTCATTAAAATTGAATTGAGTTTAGCTAGATAATTGAAAACTATTAGAAGTAACAACCATGGCTTTACTTGAAAATTGTGCTATTTCACCATTTATATTGGATGTTGTATTTTTAGGTGAGATGATGCTTTCGGATTCCGACTAGGTTTTCTCCTTATGCCGATACATTTGTTCTCACTGGAAACTGCATTGCGTTGTCCATTTCCAGAAGCAAGTCCTGCAACAGAAAAGCTGACATTTTGTTTGGTTTAAATTTCATTTTTAATTTTACAGCTGTAGCATCAGACAGATTAGCAATAGAATCATTGGGTGAAATAAAAGACGAACTATCAGCACAACACATGTTATCATGTAATGTTCGAAAACAGAAAGGTTGTGAAGGTGGGAATTTAGATAGAGCTTGGTGGTTTCTTAGAAAAACTGGGTATGTATAAACATCCATTGCAGCACATGATAAACAGCATTCTTTTCATGGATAATCGTCTTTTTTACTTTTACATAAAAGTCTTAGCAACTACAATTGGATTGACCGTATCAGCGGACGAAAGTCAAATGTAACGCATATTGTTCATTCACATACCGAATGAAGAAGGCTATAAATGTTCTCCCTGTCTTACGCCTAATTTAATAACGGAATTTAGGTACTGATTGTAAATTTTGTAACTTGAAAGTAGGTAGGAGTAATAGGTATATTGTAAAGAATATGCATGTTTTCGCTTTTTAGTGTGGTTACAGAAGAATGTTATCCTTATGAAAGTGGTGATACTACTGACAAAGGTGATTGTTTGGTATCCAGAAGAAAAAGTAATACAACCTGCCCTAGTAGAATACTGTATAAAGAAAAACGACGATATAAAGCAACACCACCGTACCGTATAGCACCAAAGGTAAGTTTACAATGATAGCCTATTCCCTCTTGAAAAAAGACAGATGGGTAAGCGTTGTGTATTGAATTGCTCAAAGTAAGGACAATAAAAGATTTATTTACTGACTATTTAGGCCATAAAATCGACACGAGCAGCTTTCATGCATCATTGGCACTTAGCTGCAGTCGACTCATGGAATGTCTCGAAATGTTAACAGTTCGAGATCATTGAGGCTATGTGAACACAGAATATTTTGTGAGCGAAATTGTTTTTCAGTATATTAAGAATAAAAAAAAAACGGTCAGCAAAGTAAATCAGTTGTACAAAAAATATTGAGACTCTTTCTGTTTCATAATTAATGCTCTCATGTTTAAATTCCTTTCGATGATTTTGATTTGATATCTTGATCAACCTAATTAATCTAGGTCAATTGTATATCGACCAAAATTTTAACCAAAGTAAGATACTTCAAACTTAAATGAAATGGGATGCTATTCTATCTATTGTATTCTTGTTTAAAAGATAATGTTCTTTAGTTGAACACATGAAGAAATCCTTGAGACTTCAACTCCGTTAACCTTTTCTACTTGAATATAGTGAAACTGAGATAGCTTCAATTAAATGTTGTGCATTGAATGCAGAATTCTCACACGTTATTTTGAGATGGTAGCCTATATTTGTCAGTGTTACTATATATGGCTTAATTATCAATACGTGCTTTTACTACGGATAATCCTAACACAAAATGTTTACGCAGCATCCCCTGTCCTTGTTCATACACTAAATGTAATGTACCAAGCTGTGACTTATCTGTAAGCTTCGATTAAAATTTGAGACTAAGTGTCTCTCTTTGCATCGTTATATTTACTTGAGTTATTAAAAATAAACTCAGACCCTTTATTCACAAGGGTTAAAAACGTATTATATAAAGAGTAATGACATCTCAAATAATCTGCACAAATCTGATTATATCTGGTTAAACTAGCCTAAATCTGTACATGGTAGTAATGATTGAGTATATAATCGAACAGTTTCGAAGATGGTCATGTAATATCCAAGATAGCTTGCAGATATACTTGTAGTTTGAGTATTGATAATTTCAGATCTTTTTAAATTCGAGTATAATATTGATGGAGCTTTTAAACTTTTCTTTATACTTTGTAACTAATTCTTGTAATTGTTTAAGATGCTTGTAGGTGCTTTTATACTTCGCAACCAGTTCGATTAATGTTCAAGATGCTTGTCGATATCTTTATACTACGTAACCAACTGAAGTGATGTTCAGGATGCATGTCGATGTCTTTATACTTCGTAACCAGTTCGAGTAATGTACAAGATGTTTATCGGTGTCTTTATACTGCGTAATCAGTTCCAATATTGTTCAAGATGCTCATCGATGTCGTTATACTGCGTAACCAGTTCGTGTAATGTGCATTATGCTTGTCGATGTCTTTATACTTCAAGAAAGCAATCCGTGTAGATCTTCACTGCCTCAGGGGAAATACCAGTTGTTAAAAGTTAAAACAATAAAAGTCATTATTATATTCAAACATATGGAATAAATTTCATATGGAGATAAGGTCTATGATTATATAATGATAATGATCGACAATTCCTGTGCCAAAGGGGAGTATCAGATTTTCGTTCAAACTCGGTGTTATGGATACATTATTTCAATATTAAATCTATAACGGCGCCTACTTTTTATAATAATGTACTGCCTGCCCATCGCTGGATATTGAATAATAATATAAGGTACACTCTTTAAACCGCACACAATGAGATAGACGACCTTTAATTCCATTAAATTTCAGGTAATGTCACGACTTGTTTTTTGCTTTTAAACCTTTTCTAAGGTGAAAATTTCACTTTGAATGACATATCTGCTGAATTGCCGTATTGGGCATTTAAGGTGGTACACAACAATTGTTCAGATTTTTAATGTAAAGTCTCGTGGGCTGTAAGGTATATGCGAAGCTCACAATATTATGGAAGTTTGTTTAGGTGTGGTTGTAGGTAAACAATTAAACGTGGTTTGTTATTGGTTTATATCATATCTTGGACAATACACGTAACATATTGTAACATTTCCCGAATTGTTACAGAACTCTAATCTTCATCCGTTACCCACGTGGTAAATGTTAACCGAGTGTTTACGATAGGAACCGGTCTCGTGTTAATAGCTTAAAGGGCGTTATACTGTCAGTGTTAAATTCAATTTAAAGGAACAGTTCAACTTTCTTGACCAACTTCAACATGATCTAAGTAATGCAAAAAATTAATCGTGAATGTTTTAGGCATTATCAGCTCTGAGGAACCATTGTACTGTTATGTACTAAAAAAGTTTTCTTTGCAGCATGGAGGTCCCGCATTGGTCTTATCGACGGGGGCCCGAAACTAGAGGTCAATTGGCAAAATGCAAGAGAGAATAGCAAGGATATCTTAGATAAGAGATCGTATAAGGGTATCTGTGGTACATGTCTTCCTGATCGTGAACGCCTGGTGGCATAACGTCTAGATAGGAATCTGCTAAAAGGAAAGAGTAATGAATATAAATCAATCCGTCCTTTAATCAATAACAATTACTTAAACTTGTTCCTTTGTAACATAAGACACGGTATATTTGTCCTTAGAACTGGTTTAATTTCACAACTCTTCATTTTGACCAGTATGTGTTATGTTAATATAAGTCATCTTTCTACTTATAAACATGACCATTTGTGTTTAATTTTGGTCTTCAATGTTAGTAAACTAACACAGACTCAAATCAAATAGGTGTGCTCCACGTCAGATATTTTATAATAATCATTACGTATACGACATAGTCATGGGAAAGGGACATAGTTCTCTAGATATATGTCTAACAATCCGAGAGAACATGTTATAGAAGAAAAGTAATAAATAAGTGATCAACATTTGACAAAAGCATAGAGCAGAGGTCACTATCTTTTTGTGGGGGCTACTTTACACAAATTTTTTTGTCTGATTTTTAAATATCAAAATTGTTTCCATTTTTATATACATCGAATGCTAACAACAAAGTTCATATTCAACTTATTCCGATCTGTGCATTATATAAGTTAAAACACATCTATAACAAGTTCTAATGTTCACGATACGCATGATTATTATACATTCGGGTAATGTTCCAGATACACACCCATCACTTTATAACAAGTTCGGGTAATTTTCCAGATACACACCCATCACTTTATACCAAGTTCGAGTAATGTTCCAGATACACACCCATCACTTTATACCATGTCCGAGTAATGTTCCAGATATACTCCCGTCACTTTATAACAAGTTCGAGTAATGTTCCAGATACACACCCGTCACTTTATACCATGTCCGAGTAATGTTCCAGATACACACTCGTCACTTTATAACAAGTTCGAGTAATGTTACGGATACGCACCCATCACTTTATAGCAAGTTCGAGTAATGTTACAGATACACACCCATCACTTTATAACAAGTTCGAGTAATGTTCCAGATACTCACCCGTCACTTTATAACAAGTTCGAGTAATGTTCCAGATAAACACCCTTTATAACACGTTCCAGTACTTTTCAAGATCCATTCTGTCCTTTAACAGAGTAATGTTCACGACACACGCTCAGTTTTCTCTTTATGAAAGTCAAGTTATCTCGTATAACAGGTCAAGTAATCATCAATATACATACTTAGGCCTGACTCAGAACAAGTTTGGGGCAAGACACCAACCCACCTGTTAATCTCGGGTTCGAGATGCTCGTAGTAACTAAAGCCACTCACCCATCTCTGTATGAGGCCTCTTTCTTTTATGTGTCTTTTACAAATCTGTTGACGTTGGAATATTCGAACGTTATGTTTGAAATATGGATTAAATAGTTTTTGTTTTTGTTCTTAATTTTTAGGAAAGAGAAATAATGAAAGAGATTATGGATAATGGACCTGTACAAGGTAAATCACAATATGATGTTATAATCGGTCAATCAAATGATTATATGGTCCTCTAAAGGTGCAGGTCCAAGTAGAAAGGAGGTCAATTTACAAATTTCGCTGAAAACAGTTAATTAGAATGAGCTTAAATACCTATATGTATATCACTCAGGGAATAACCTGTACAACTTCTCAAGTGAAAATTAAATCAAAATCTCTATCTTTCATGAGTTTTGATAAACTATATAACATAATTTAAATTATAATAAATGGGAAATAGGCTCAGGTAAATAGACACTTGAAATATAGAAACTGGTATTAATACAGATTTGTACAATTTCTTGTGTTTCTTTCATAGCAACTTTCATGGTAAAATCAGATTTCTTTATGTATAAAAATGGTGTGTACAGATATTCTAATATAAGTTTCGATGAAGAGCCCGCAGTTTACCATTCTGTTAGAATCATTGGGTAAGTTTGCTATAATTTGTTTAAGATGACACATTTGTAATATATTGCAGTAAATGAACTATTAAATACATCTGCACATATATTGTTTCAATGTACATGTACATTATTATTGTACATTATAGAATGGGAAATATTATGACTAACTGCAATTGCTAAATTCCAGATAAGAGGCAATTTCTCAAGCAATTCTCATCAATTATTTGATATGTTTCAGATGGGGTGTCGAGAGAACAATATATGGTGACATTCTCAAATACTGGGTATGTAGCAATTATCATTTTTTGTCATTTCCGCCGATATGTTTTAAAACGAATATAGATAAACTACATGCCCCATTTTTAATATGTCAAGTTATAATATAGAGCTGAGACGGAGCTCTACTCCCTTCCCTCGTAAAGTAACTGAGACGGAGCTCCACTCCCTGGTAAATCAACTTATGCAGAGCTCCATTCCCTACAACAGAGATGGAGCCCCAATACCTTGTAAAGCAACCGAGTCGGAGCTCCATCCCCTCGTTAATCAATTGAAACGTAGCTACACTGGTAAATCAACTGAATCAGAGTACCATTCCCTGGTAAAGCAACCGAGACAGAGCTTCACCCTCTGGTAAAGCAACTGAGACGGAGCTCCACTTTCTGGTAAATCAAATTTTTAGGCTACTAAATCCGTCAAAATGTAGAATGACCTTTCTACTGACAATCACACGTTGGATATCATTGTAAAAGGCGAGTAATATTTTTCAGATTTGTGCCAATTCATGGGGAACGCAATGGGGAGAAAATGGCTACTTTAGGATTATCAGAGGAAGAGATGAATGTGAAATCGAATCCTACATAGTTGGTGTTTGGGGTCAGATATCTGGCGATGCCTCACTAAGAACACTTCTTACCAGGGGCAGACGCCGTCGTCTCTTTGCAGAAAGATCTTTGAGAAATTTAAGAGTAAACTCTATGGCTAAAGGACGTAAATCAAGGTCTCGGCAAGTCGGCCGTAAGAAAGTCAAAAGAGGAAGGAAAAGTAGGGAGGAGCGAAGGAGATTGAGGCAAGAGCATAGAAATAAAAGGAAACTTAGACGACAATCCAGAAAACAGGACAGCGATAGCCAAAACACAGTTTAGATTTACAGAAATAGTTTTCATCAGTATGATAATCCTATATTTAAGTGCAATCTGTATAAATGTTCATGTACGTGTAGTTCAATACAAATTTTAATGTTCAAATTTTTGTTCTATACTCCATGTCAAATTTGAAAGTTTTCTCTAGTCGGTTTACACAATTTATAAAGCGATTTTACTAGAGAATCACGATGTGGATGTATGTATAATTGACGAATCATGGCTCAAACTTATACACTTACTTACACATCAAACTTTATAGAGCCTCAAATAAACAGTCCAGGATCTTGTTAAAATACTCAGGCAAACCAAGACTGAATAAAAAATTAATCAAATCTGTAGTTAATATGCCATATACAATTCATTTGATTAATATAGCTATAACAAATGCTGTGATTCACATAATGTAAGGTATACACACTAGATAAATAAAACATACAATGAAGAATAAGTATATATATTATTAAATCAATAACAGACGTAAAATATAAACAACATCACTCAATAATATATACTTCTTGAAAGGTACACCTTAATGCTTTAAAAACAATCCCTGGGTTTTTCAAAACTATCACAGAAAATAAGCAGTTTTAGGGCAGCCCCTACTTCAACAAGTATTATTTAATTATCACAGAAAATGCTTAAAAATTGAAAGATAACAATCAGGTAGGTACATGTTATTTAAATGAAGATAACAGCAGTTTATACTTTGAGGTCATGTGCACCAATCTTAAAATTGTCACCAATAGGAAAATCATATATATATTTTGTTGCTTTAACTAGGAAGAATAATTCTAATAGGATACATCTGATTTAACAAACTTTCTGAGGGGTAAGGATTAGCACAGACAATAAATAACTTAAAATTTTCCACAAAGAAATGTTTGGTGTGACTATATTCTTCTCCATCATCAGGTTTTACTAATGAAAGATATCTGAAAAATATAAAAAAAGAACGTTTATACATGCTACATTTGGTTGACTTAAATGTTTCCTTACTGAAGAGTACATTTACATCCATGGAAGGTTGCAAATTAGGGGTTTTTCTCTTTTTTTTTTATAAAATGAATGTTAATTATCAGGCTCTCCTTATCTAAAGACAAAGGGGAAATAACTCTTAGACAGTTAAAACCTAAATATTTTCAACACTACATGACAGATCTCAATTGCAGCTATCCTAATCACCACATCTTCATCTATAATACATATATGTCATGTAAGAATGTTAACAAAGGCCTTGAAACTGGCACTGGACGATTTGATATCATACTGGAAAGTGATACTGATGGCAAAATTTTAATATCAGATATGAGAACAGAAAACAAAAGCTTACTTTTCATCTTTTAAAAGGCTGGAGTCTAAAATAGAGTCCATTAACCCTTTGTGTACCTCGTCAAATCTATCTCTACATACTTCATACATATCAACTTGCATCATATCTATAACTAGTGGTTTACCATACCTTTAAATATACATGTACAACAAACTGTACTCACAGCAATACAACATGTGGTTGTAGAGTATAGCTTATATTATGATGTGAATACATATTTTACATCATGTTTCTTTAGTAATGATAGTATATTATCAATATAGATGTGGATAATATACTAACTGTTCCAAAGGTACAGGTGTTCCATATGGTTAATGAAGATTTATTTGCCAATTTCTTACAAACTGCGGATCATATGCACAAACTATAACATTTAGGTTCCTGTCTTAACATCCAGGGCTTATTTCATTACAAGATCAGGTTAGAAAATCTCAAGTTCATTACATAGCACCTGATGTTACTCTACTACTGAGTTTGTCAACTCTGCATCCATTTAATGTACTGAACTATTTAAGTACTGAAACTGGTGTCTCTAGCAAGTCAGGGTATGCTCACCTGATTGAACTCTGTGACTTGTCAACAGAACTAATATTGTTAAATTAGTATTCTCATCATTGTAAAAACCTGACTAATTCACTTTATCATACAATCAGTGGTGTAAATTAGTTGAAATTGTTGAAGAGGCAGTTATTCAGGTAATTCAATCTGACAGTCAACACCTGAATCACTATATTGAATCAACTAGTGAAACCAGCAAGCCCCATCAAGATTATGAAGAGAAAATTAGTGTAAATCAAACTAGGTTATAAAACACTAACCTGATAGCACCTAATAGTGCCAGTCTGATTCTGTTTGGTTCCATGTCTTGTTGTCTTAAAGCATTTATCACATTGGTATCTCTATACCTTAAAAAGGTGGAAGCCTGACCACTTGTATCAATTATCAATGGCCACCTAGAGAAATACAAAAAATAACACCATGGAGGATAAAAATTGTTATGTGATGCAAATAAAAAACACAATTTCATTTTGGCAACAGGTGTTCTTAAAAAGCAAAGTCAAATAAGAAAACTATCAACTTTTTTATAAATGGTTTGTATTATAAATTATGATTCATCATTGAATGATATACTTTCCTCAATGTTTGAAAAATACATTTTTATTGTGGCGACAGGTGTTCTTAAAGTAATCATGCTCTGTCTCAAAATCAAACTTGAAGACAGAGATTTATATGTTATTTTGGGTATTAATGGGAAAATTATTCACTGGTTTTTATATCATGAATTATGAATTAACTTTGAATGCTGACATACTTTCCTGAGTCTCTTATCTTATTGCCAACATCTCTTAATAATACTTCTTCTAATTCTCTTATAGCTACTTTAACTCCTGGTAAATTATCACTTACATCACTTTCATCTACAGAATAATGAGATAATTATATTGTAAAATATAATATATAAAAAAAAAAAAACACTTGACCATGACATCCCCACAAGGTCGTTAACCTTAAAGTGCATACTATCATATGATATCATATACACAGAATCTGTCATCTGACTGATGGGCCCTAAACATGTTATTAATGAACTCCATTGATAAATACAATTATCAAACATCAAATACTTAACATTACAAAACATTATGCACACTCAAAAACAAATGTTATCTACAGAAATCTTCAAAAAATAAAAATTCAGCAACAATTACCATCTCCAGCTTGTTTTTCTCTCAGTCTTAACCTGGCTTGAGCTAACTTATCTCTAGCTTTCTCTGTATGTATTTTAACAGTTTCTAACTCTAACTCTGCATCATGTATTGTCTGAAACCAAAGGCAATAAGTAAAATCAATTTATCTAAACACAGGCTGAAAATAGGTCAGTTGCCTGAAGATCGCATAGTGTGAAACTCTGAGTAACAATATGATTCAAGTTCTATCTTAATATTTCTCTATCGCTCTACAATTGATTGACTGAGTACTATTTATTGACAGTGAAAATATTTTATCAATGGACAAATAGCTCTGCTGGTATATGATGAGGCATAGCAAGGTATCAATGTAAAAAGTCTACATTTCTCAATGAATTTGTTCTATTCAAGTATCCAAAAATTTTAACCCAGTTGTGTTTGTTGGGAACAAACAAAGAATTTGTATGGATTTTCATACTTTAAACTAAGGTTTATCAATATGTCCACATTAGTCTTGTTGACATCATAACCAACTATAATTGTTGTTTTGTTAGTACAGTCTTATGAACCTTGATATAAAGAAGTGGTTATTGGCAGATTGACTGTTGTGAGAAATATGACATCCATAGCTGATGATAAAACCTAAAACTGACCTGAACTAATAATTCAGGTCTATCAAAACCAGCCAATACTGCTTTATCATGTTCTACTATTCTCTTATTTAATTCACAATGAGCTGTCTGTAATTGCTTCTGTTTATTCTGATAATCTTTTAAAGCTTCCTCTACAACACCCTCCAATCTATAATCAGAATTTCATAATTTAGGATAATGTTTAACTCTGGGGTAAGTTTTAAGTATTGAATGGCATTAATCAAAATTAAAAGAAATTGTCATGATTTCTTGTCCTCTGACATCAAATTTAGCTAATATAAAAATTATGCTGCATTCTTTGATCCCATTTGTCACAAGAACAAAAAATGCTAATCTTGATGAAGCATTGTTATGGATCTTCTATAAACATATGAACAAGTAGATGAAAGCAGAAAAAAAATGGAAATAGTTCAAATCATATTGAAATAGATTTATATGTTATTACTTGCTCTGTTCAGCTTCTCTTTGTTTTTTATGCTCTTCTAATCTCTTTTCTTTAGAAGACTCAATTCTTTTCAATAAAGATTCTGTTTTGGAAATATCCCAACTTTGTAACATTTCTTGAATGGCTGGTACTGAGGCTACCTTAGGAATAAAATTCAATTAGAAAAAATATGATGAAACAATATAGTCACTGGAAAGAGAAAGAAATTGAAAATGATAAATTGAGAAAACTATGAGTTCACAGCCATGTTGGATAATTCTGAGCCTTAAAGAATTGTAGAGTCAGGTACTTGTGTGAATTACTTACTTTAAGGTAAATAGTCCTATTCTGACAGAAGGTTTTTGGGTCTTTAAAAACTACCTCCAAAACATGTACAAGGATCTTTTCTGTTATAATTTGTCAAAAAATACATAAGCAACTTCTAATAAATACTAGAATAACAAACCTGTTCAGCTGTTTGTCCATCTGATGCATACATCCTAGGATCACCACCATTTTGAATTAAAACCTACAGGGTAATGGGAAAAAATCAAAATAAAAACTAATATGATATAATTTACATCATAGCTTGCCTTGGGGTACAAAATGAATATCACCAAAACAAATTGGATATTTGAATATTATTCTTTGGTGAGATTTATGAAACGACCTACCTGGCATGCTTCTAAATGACCAGCAAAGGCCGCTCTGTATAAAGGTGTTCTCTGGAACTGGCCCTTGGAATTTGGGTCTGCTTCATAATCTAATAATAACTGAATAGTAGGAACATGTCCACCACCTAGAAGTAAAATCAAATAAAACTTAAACCATGTTACATAATAAAAATAAACAGTTATCAAGTGAGCACAAAAAAACATCAAAAAGTTGGATAACAAAGACTCACATTAAGAGCTCCATGAAAAAAAGACAGGTTAGCATGAGCTGTGGCTTGTTTCCCAAGCCATGCTTTAATGGTAGCAGTAATAATATATTTTTAAACCAATAGAGCTATTTTGGTTCTGATGAAATAATATTAAGAGCTTCTTTCAACAGATCAATAACTGATTTCCATTTTGGATTAAGGTGAAAAGACCTCCAACTCACTGGCTGCTTCTGAAAGAGGAGTATTTTCATTTGCATCTTCACATTCTATCATAGCTAATATATGTTTATTTCTTACTGCTTTTCCAATAACATCATCTTTACTTATATTATTCTTATCATCTATTTCTCTTACCTGAGGGAAACAAATAAAACATCCAAATTTACAAAATGAACACAATCTGCTATGTGGACTCTGAAGGGGTTGCAAAGCTGATGATCAATGTCACAATTGTCTTAACATGTAATTATGTAATCTTTGCAATGTGGAAAACGGAGCTACAGCTAATGTGTGAACACCTACTATTTTGTGTTATGTTTCACAGGATGTCAACTATTGTACTATATAACTTTGCCATGTAAATCTTCTTAAAAGGGACTATGTAGACACTAGACAGAAGGTAATGGTGAAAATATTTGAAAATCAAGCTGTTAACAGCAAGGGTAGCTTTTAGAAAAATCTAAATGCTATTCCATGCTATGCCAAAATGACTAAATGAAACAGTGTCTAAATTATGTTAGATAGGCAACAGCTTTCTACCACAATTCTGATCTTAAGTATAAACAAAATAAAGTGAATACAGAATAATCGTGTCCAATGCCATAGAGACCAAATTAGAATTAGAAATAAGGGACTTACTTCTTGTAAAATATCTAAAATAGAGTCATTATCTCCATCATAGGCAGCTTCTAACATTCTTTTCTTTCTCTTAACTTCTTCTCTTTTTCTCTTTCTTTCTTCTTCATCTTTTTTCATCTGTCTTTCAACTTCTTCCTGTTGCATTTTAACCATATGAACAAACGCCTGAAACATACAGTACATGTCAATTTAATACACATTGTCAATTTATATAACCTCTTATCACATATCATAAACCCATATACCTATATATTAAATTTCAGATCATATTAACACTTCTCAGAATTAATATTTGGCATCTGGTAGTACAACAATTCAACTAATTACAAATAGTGGAATCTTACAATATAAAAAATTATGCTTAATCACTTTATGACCATTCTCTTAATATGACAAATGATATCATAATATCTGCATTTGAATATTTGTATATGAATAATTATGAATACAGATTGATTTCTCAATGCAAATATTTAAAGTCTAGCAAATTTCAGTCAGTTACAACTTGACAGGTAAAGATAAGAGAGAAAGAATATAAGGGAGAAAAGAATGGGGCCTCATATTTTCTCTCTGTATTAAAGGGAAATAAATCTTGTTAATTTATACCTCCTTCTCTAAGTTCTGCATTTTTTCTTCATATTTCTCTTTTTCTATTCTTTTTCTTTCTAATTTTTTTCTGGCCAGAAACACTCTGACGTGTTTTTGTATTTTACAAGAAGCTTCATCTTCCTTCGTCCAAACTTTTTCTTTAGGTTTACTATCTGCCGTTGATTTCTTTTTATCTTCAATGAAAAGGAATATTACTTTCCTGCTCCAAATTGGAATAAACACTATGCAGTGTACCGGTATAATGATGAAAATGAGAAAGAACAGCTGTATGAGTTTAGTATTCATCAACTGTAGAGGGATATCTAAAACACATTTTGATGAAAGTCTCTAACAAACAGGCTGAAATATTGTGATATTCTAAAAATATTACCTTGTGGATTTGTAGTTTTATTACCAGTAGTTTTACTAGTAGCAGCCTTTGAACCAGTTTTTCCAGCAGGGGGAGTTTTTCCTTTGGCAGGTACCTTTGCCCTTGAAGGAGTCACTGTTTTTTTTGGTGGCATCTTTAAGTTTGCCTGAATTGGAAGAACTTTCTACTTTTCTACACCTGATTGGGCTAATGATAATCATATACAAGTGAGTAGGCATCATTCTAACTGTCAAAGCCACAATACCATTGTCTTGAAAAGTGAGCAAGACTAAGCTACATGGTCAAGATTAAGTGAAACGTTAAGAAGATCTATATTCCACCAGCACCAATAACTAAACAAAGTTTCATATCCATAAAATTTATAGGTAAAACTAAAACCTGACATCTTCCGAATAGAATTAGACCAAAAACTGTCTGACAATATGACACCTCTCCTGAATCCACGAAAAAATAAGGTGCCTACCTAGTCTGGAGTCAGTGTGCATAAAGCATTAAAGGCATCTATGGCCTACAATACCTGAATTCTATTACTTTCTCTATTTTCCAAATCTTAAGGCCGCCATCTTCAAACAAACCAGGCCCGAGCTTAGAGATAGTCGATCAATTTGCAATTTCATTGGTTGAAAAATAAATGTACGATTTGACTTCACTAGACGTGAGAGGTGTGATTTGACGCTCCTTTGGACCGACTTGACTATTGTACGATTTGACAAGTCAAGTCACTTTACCACAGTCACAAGAGAATGTGTGAGTCAGGTTTTCAGAAAAATACTGAGTTTATAGTAAAAACATTTCGAAAAAAATATTCCTTTAAATCGTGGTTAATGTAAAGTCATGATGCACCTTTTGATATTATTTTTATTTGAAACGTTAACGGCGTTTACAACAAAAGAAATCTGAATATTTGTACGTTGTGTTGGGAACGAAGCTGAAGCCATTTTGTTGGATAACTTTAAGAACTTTGTGTATTTTCGGAAAACACCCAAATTAAAAAGTTATAGTTGAAATTCAGTCATAATTTCTACAGTTGAATAAACGAAGTAATTGCTATCCTTTGTCTGTTCTAAGTGTGAACTGTTCAGATGCCTGTTATTGCCTAAAAAGTCAGTATATTGCCACTGTTTTGATCTTGTTGACTTGTTCCAATTCCAAGTTGAGCTCTTCAGGCTTTTACTAAATCTCAAAACTGCTCCATTTGTCCATATCTTTAGGTCTATTGTTCAATTCCTTATTAGCAGTGCTTGCCATTTTCACTTTTCCATTTGTTATTTTTTATTGTCAAATACAAAGCACAGGATGTTGTCTGTCTCCTTCAAGACCGTAACAGGGTTCTTATGTCAAGTTCCGACAGATTTTGGCATTTTGCAAGCCTTTCTTTCATTTTCATGTCTTTGAATGAGTATGAGCCCTAAGCTGTTACAGTAATGAAGATGAGTAATCAAGGCAGAATGAACTTTCAATCTTGCCCAACTTATAAATGACAACCTTTGTAGAACTAGACCTACTCTGGTACTGTTTAGATTAAAAGCTTATTTTTACTACCTGTGGGCTGGAACCTTTTGTTACTTTTATGTATAGGCCTAACTAAAAAAAAAATCAGGACTTAAATTAATTTTCACAATTGTAGGTTTGGAAGTTAAGGTGACTTGACAACTGAATTATGGATTAAAGAGATGTTAGTCATCTCATAATAAACATTGATTGTCAGAGTAATATGGGAATTCTTCATGGTGTTTGACACCACATAAGAAAATTAAAATGGTTATGTCGGATTCAGATTTCCGACAAAGAATAGCCCAGTTAGAAGAAAAGCTGCAGGATCATAATTCAGAATTGAATTGTGATGGACTTTTGGTAAGTTTTATTAAGTAGTTATAATATTGATACAAATACATCAAGCAAGGCCAGAGATATTTTCTCATTTTCCTTGTAGAAATGCATTTCCACACAAAGGAGTGAAATTATACCTCTAGCTCCTGATCATTTATTTAAATCTGGAGTTTTAATTTAATATTTAAAATTTAATTTTTGTTTTAGGATGGTTTATACTGCATTGTAGCAGATTTAGATAATCCTACTATAAGAAGAAATAAGAATGTTGAGAATTTTCTCAATAAGTGTAAGTAAAGTTTAAATATAAGGTACAAGCATAGTAATTTGTTGAAATAAGTATATCTGATCTAGTTTAATTCTTGAAATTTATTATTAATACCTGTTAATAGTAGCCAAGGATATCCAGAAAGACAAAATTTAAACCTGCTGTTATACTGAACTGAAAATATGATAAAATAATTTTTAAGTAAAAACTAATGAGATGAATGTTGCAGAAAACTTTAACTTGTGGTTGTTGTTCTGTAAAGCTATGTCTATACATCCTACTCCTACACATCCATGTAACAACTTACTTTATTCAATTTATTTCATCATCAGATTCAAAGGCTGTGGAGTTTCTTAAAGAAAAGAGAGTTCGAGCTGAGGATTTTCAGAAAATTAAAGTAATAGGAAGGGGAGCATTTGGAGAAGTACAATTGGTAAGTTAGATTTCTGTATTACCTTGTAATTGATAGAAGTATAGGTTGTAAGGCACCAGAATTTCTAATTGGAGGGTGCAATCATGTGACTCATTGCACGATGAATACAGAACTTAATATTATAATTTTTAAACAATAAACTGCAAAACATTTCTGAAATTAGAAATAGCGTTGGTCATTATTGACGAGGATTAAACATTAAACTTATATCATTGTAGGTTCGGCATATCTCAACTCGGAAAGTTTATGCTATGAAGTTATTGAATAAGTATGAAATGGTAAGTATATACTGTTCTTTTTTGTGCTTTTGATTCTATTTCATGTTAGCTCATCAGCTATATGTTTGAAAGAAATTTTTCCCTGTGCCCTAATAACCAAATTATACCATCACAAAGACCTTAAATATCAATAGCAGTGTTTTGGGATAGAGACGCCATGTACAGTTAAGCTTATTTATGTTGTATAAAAAAACTATGAGCATTAGACAAAATATTGAAATGGTGCAAAAAGAAGCCATAAATGGCCCAAAAAGGCATAAATAGGTTCTATTTAAGGCTCAATCATAAATTTATTTCCTGTATCATATATTTTCCAGATTAAGAGATCTGATTCAGCTTTTTTCTGGGAAGAAAGAGAGATTATGTCTAATGCTAATAGTGAATGGATTGTGCAGTTACATTTTGCATTTCAAAATATGCGCCATCTTTATATGGTCATGGACTATATGCCTGGTGGTGATTTAGTCAATTTGATGAGTAACTATGATGTACCTGAAAAATGGGCTAAATTCTACTGTGCTGAAGTCGTCTTGGCATTAGATGCCATTCATACCATGGGATTTATACATAGGTTTGTATTCATGTTTAGTTATTTGGAAAGGATCAGTATTTACGAAAATAAGGATTTGCCTTGCTGAAAGAAAGATAGAAAACACATCTTGCTCCAACAAATAACCTAAATGGAACCCTTGAACTATGTCTAATACCGGAGCATTAATCACTTTTCTTGTTTGTCTGTGAGCTCTTGTGCCTCATCTTTGTTAGAGTTGGAATATATAGCGAATTAAATACCTGTATAGAAAACATAAGTAAAGAAATGACATTTATTTTGTCAAGTCTATGATGACAGATGAGAATGAATAGCTACAAATTACAATTTTCATTATTAATCATGTAAACTGTATTTTGTAGAGATGTCAAACCAGACAATATGTTACTAGATGCCAATGGTCATTTAAAGTTAGCTGATTTTGGTACCTGTATGAGAATGGATTCTGTATGTTATTGTCTTTTTTTTTTTTTAATTTTATATTTTTCACAAGACCTTATATCTCTTATCAAAAGTTTAGTTGAATTTGTATTGAAAGACCTCCATTGTAACTTCATAGGACATAATATATTATGTGGGTTAGCATGTAGTTGTAAACATAAAACCACAATGGTATCAATCGTTTAAAATGCTATGCATTGCTATTTGTAGGATGGTCTAGTACGCTCTGATACAGCTGTTGGTACACCAGATTATATTTCACCAGAAGTATTAAAATCACAGGGCGGTGAAGGTGTTTACGGCAGAGAATGTGATTGGTGGTCGGTTGGTGTGTTTTTATATGAAATGCTTGTGGGTAAGTATAGTTTGACAACAATGGCACTTTTTAGTAACCCACTATTATCAACATCATTATTCAAACATTTTTAATTTGCTGGAAACATGTTAAGAAACTTTGCTTGTTTGAGTAATAAAATTACAACTGTAGAATTCTAATTTTAGGTGACACGCCATTCTATGCTGATTCTCTGGTAGGAACGTATGGTAAAATTATGGATCATAAACATTCTCTACAATTTCCTACTGATATAGAAGTATCTGAAGAAGCTAAAAGTCTCATATGTGCCTTCCTTACTGAAAGGTAAGCCATAGAGAGGCTGTGAAATGTGATAGATATATGAAACAAAGATCTTCACCTTGGAATTTATGCTCATTTGTATCCGTATCATTTAGTAGACCATACTTTTAACTCTGACTTTTTACCATGTTAGTTCTTAAATAAGACGCTTTGTATGTTGAAGATCTCCATAGAGTTCAAATTGAAACAGTGGGGCTATCCACACTATATCACGTTGCCAGTCAGGTTCAGCAGAGTAGGACATGATACTCTGTGTCGTCTCATATTCTTAATCAGTGTTAATCTTTTTCATGCAATTTGAACCTGTATATGTAACTCTGAATTATTTATATTACAGAACAGAGAGATTGGGTAGAAATGGTGTTCATGAGATTAAAAGACATAATTTCTTTAATACAGATCAATGGACGTGGTCTGACATTAGAAAGAGTAAGTTAAGAATTCTGCTATATTACAGGTTTCTTAGTGAACTTATTTTAGATAATCCTGTAACTTGTTTTTTACCTGTCATTGACTAGAATTGGTTAGATATTTTACTCCATTTACTCCGATGAGCTGACATGTGTTGTGAAATGTGTAATAGACAGGGATGCTGATCTGTTTATATTTGCCAGCTTGGAAATAGTTTTTTGATAAAATGAACCTGTTTTATTACAATTGTTTTGTATATATTGTAGGTGTAACACCAGTCGTGCCTGGTTTAAGCTTGGAAGTGTCAATCTGTGATATTAGCCTTTCAGACATTAATTTTTTATTAAAATGTACCAGTTTTATTAGATTTTTGTTACTATAATTTTGTATATATTGTAGGTGTACCACCAGTCGTGCCTGAATTAAGTAGTGATATAGATACTAGTAATTTTGATGATATTGAAAAAGACGACAATGTTAATGAAACATTTCAACCTCCCAAAGCTTTTGCTGGAAATCATCTCCCTTTTGTTGGTTTTACTTATAACAAAGAGTATCAGTAAGTCATAATATAAAATTGATAGCTTTAATATACAGGATTATAATGACAATATAATTTTGACATGAAAAATAATCTTGTCTGTATACCAAATCAAAAATAAATCAAACTTACTTCTTGCTCTTTATAGAATAGAGTTTTGAAAATGTTGAGAGATAATGTATCTTTATGAATTCAATTTATTTTCAGATTATTATCTGGTCCCAGAAATAATTCAAAGGTAAAGAATATATAATTATATCTTCTGGTATCTATTTTTCTGTGGATGGTTTCTGTGGAAGATTCCTTAAGATTTCAACAATAAAGTTCATACATTATTTATTAATATGATTCCTCTATCAAGGCTCCTCTTACTTCCTGTCCCTCAAGCACAAGGGCAAGCAACTATCTCTGATTAGATAGGAAGAAACTCTTGTTAAGAAGGCATTAAATCATAGAATACTACGATATGACTACAAACAGTATACATGTCTGAATCATGCAGAGTCAAATGTCCTACTTTTTAAAACAAAAATGACTCATATTTTTTACATTTGTGTAATATGTAACTAAAATAAATCTGCCCAAAAATATTTAATGAAAAATCTTATTTTTAGGCTGATGTTGGTAGTAAAAACTCCAGGGATGATTTTGAAGGAAAATATTTGTAAGTAAAATCAGAAATATTTTTATAAATGTAAAGTGAAGGCATCGAATTGCTATTCTCGTTAAATTTTATGTGTTATTCAAGGTATAATTATTAGTTCTGATTTTCAGTGTTATATGATGTTACAATACATGCCTTCTCTGCTTCTTTTTGTTGAAAATTTATGTAGATTGAAAATTAGAGAAGCCTTATTGTCCTTCCAAGGCATGAAAACAGGAGCAAGCTACTCAAACTAATCTAAAGGGAGGTAACTTTTGTTGAACTTTTTAGACCACAACATAACATTTACTGTTAATTTACATGTCAAATAATCTGATATCCATTATTTTCTTTTATGTTTGTAGGAAAGCCAAACAAGATTTAGATCTATTAACCAAACAAGAAGTAGAATTAAAACAAATGTGTACTCAATTAGAAAAGAATGTAGCTATGATTAAACATAATCTAAAAGAGGTATGGATACTAATAGCTCCTATTACTGTTATTTGAAAGCTGTCTCTTGAACCCCTGGCACCTATTTGCCATGCAGACATTTATCAAACTTGCTACTGATTGAGCTCTTCCACTGTCTATACCTGTATGATAAATATATTGAGGAAAAATGACTTGAGTTTTATTTGCTCATATCTATATATGTTGACATTTTTTAAAAATTATTTTAGGCTCAAAGAAAATTAGATGCTGAAGTGACTAGTAAGAAGAAATTAGAGCAGTCATTAAAAGAAACAGAGAGATTATTAGAAAGTGAAAAAAATGTTCGATTACAAATCTCTTCCAACAATCAACATAATGATATGAAAGCTTCAAATCTAGAGAAAACAGTGAGTGTTATGTTCAGTGTCTTGGCTTTGACTTTTCTTCTGCATTCAATGTACAAATATTGCAAATTTATACATCCCTATTTCCATATGTAATTCTATCTCTGAAACATGTTGAGCTGCATCTTCAGCTCATTTTTTTCTAAAACTTTTTCTATTAAGACTTCAACAATACCAGTAGATCTGTATTGGTATCAACATAGATGTCTGAATGTGGCATTTACACACAAAAAATGTGCATGCATTCGTGATTGTGACATAACTTTAAGTGTAATCAATGCAACACCTGATTAAGATCATACGCTACGGGTGAATTTCCATAACTATTTAGCATTCATATATTAAATTTTTTTTTTTTAGGTTAATGATATTAATCAGAAGTTAGCAGTAGAAACTGAAAATGCTAATAGATATAAAAAATCTTGTACAGATCTTCAACAGGTATGAATTTTCAGGGATATTCTGAAAACATGATATGAGTATCATTGTAAAAAAAAAAAAAAAAATTAGAAGGGAAAAGTAATAAACATTTTGTATGACATTGCTCAACTAAGTTTGAGACTGTATCAAACTCTATATCGGAATGGCTTTTTATTTTCAGAGATTAGCTATAGCCGATAATCACATAGCAGAATTAAACGCTAAATATAGTGATATGTTATCAACTAAACAGAATTTAGATATAGATATAGTACATTTACAAAATACACTAGAAATAGAACGTAATAATCTGAATGAAGAACATCGTGTTTCCACAGAATTACAAGGTTAGTAGAAGTATATAACTTTATTTAGTTTTGACTATTTTACTGTCTGATGTTTAGTCCTCCCATTGCTTGTTATTCATCTTTCCAGCTGACTAATTGATCATAAGTGTTATCCAGTAAAACAAAATTCTTTTCAGCTGACTAGTAAAACACAAGTTTTTTCAACTGACTAGTAAAACACAAGTCCTTTTAGTTTACTAGTAAAACACAAGTCTTTTCAACTGATTAATAAAACACAAGTATTTTCAACTGACTAGTAAAACACAAGTCTTTTCAACTGACTAGTAAAACACAAGTTTTTTCAACTGATTAGTTAAACACAAGTCTTTTCTTCTGGCTAAATGAACAAATGCATATGTATTCAATCTTCATCTGAACATAGGTCCCCCCTGTTGAACTTGATTGATATTTTGTAGCCTATTATTAAGTGTGCTGGGTCAGATGCCCATTGTACTTCAGTAATGTAAATGTAAACCTATTATAACCTAATCAATATATATTATAGAGAAAATACGACAATTACAAGATGAAAAACAACAGTTATTAGAGAAAGAGAAGAAATATTTAAATGATATTCAAACATTTCAACAAAATATAATAAAGTTAGAAAAGGTTTGTATAAAGTATTCTTACTTCAGTGTCATGTTAGATCTTAGTATTTGTTAGAAATATAGAAACTTTCATTTTGCCGTTTAAATTTTCTGGAAGTCTATTTTCTAGAATAGCGTTTGAGAAATAAAATAAATTTCCAATTTCCAATTAAGCTTTGTGAACTCTCAGAAAGAGATGTCAAATTGACAAATCAAAGCGTGTTTATGAAGTCATTAGCAACACCCACCAGTGCTTATTATGGTAATTCAATTCAAAGTCTTTAATATAAGAATTTGTCTTGGGTGTAGAATTTTACACTGATAAATACCTTACTTGTGACAAAATTGATCATAGATTTTTTGTGGAATGGGCAAAGATCTTTCTCTAAATTATTTTGAACAATTTAGTGTGTAATAACTATACCAAATATACATTTTAAGCTATGTGGATTTTAGATAAAATAACCAATTGTAATATATAATTTAATTGTTGATAACTAATATTTTGTAGAGTCGTGTGAGTACAGAGTTAGAAAGAGATAATTATAAGAAAAGATTAGAAAGTGAAATACAGGTACATACTGATATAAAAGAACGTTACCAAGCTGATCAGAGAAGAATGGTAACATCAAACGAAACTGCTAATGTAGAATCTATCAAAGGTAAACTAACAATATATTATTAGCATGAAGAATTTTTGTGGAAACAAGATTATGATAAAGTGACTAGCTCCTTGGTTCTACAGTCTTTTCATGTAAAAGATCTTTTGGACAAGTGGAAGTTTAAAAAAAAAGCAAGACTAGTGCTGCTGTGTTTGTAAAATTGCCAAAAATGCATATTGTGGGCTAGTCGTTATTGGAGTAGCATTTTTATACGCCCACATGAAATGGGGGGGTGTATATTGCCATCACCTCATTCCGTCCGTCTGTCCACAATTGCTCGTAAACACTCTACAAGGCACAATTCTTGACTGATTTCGATGAAACTTGGTATGGTTGTTTGTTATCACCCAAGGATGAACCCTATTGAAAATCAGAAGAATCTAAAAATATTGAGTATGAGTTATTGCCCTTATTCTTGAAAACGCGTTCAAGTTTTAGCTTGTAAACTTTCTAGAATGTACAATTCTTGACGGATTTAAGGAAATTTGGCTTGAGTGTTTGTTAACACCCAAGGATAAAGCCTAAAATCAGAAAAATCGAAAAAATATTTAGTATGAGTTATTGCCCTTGATCTTGAAAACTCGTTCAATTTGTAGCTCAAAAAAACTTGGTTTTATTATTCATTACCGCGCTGAAGATTGAATATTTGTCTTCTAGAGTTTTCACGAGCTAAAGATTGAACACATTTTCAAGATCTAGGGCAATAACTCATACTCAATATTATTCAATATCGCCCTAAAGAGTTCAAAAGAATTGTATGGTGAATATTTCAAACTGGTGATTGTTACCGTACTGCTAAATATTTATGTTCAAAATCAAAGCTGCCAGTGGGCGTATATTACCTTGCCTGGCAAGCTATCATAAATTAATGTTCATGTAATTGGTATTGTGGTTTTTTTTTTCATTTTAGAAATCTCAACTAAATTAGAAAAAGAGAAGACATCTAGATTAAAAGTGGAAAGTAAATTATTAGAAACAGAAAAACAAATGAGTGCAATAAAATTAGATCTAGGTCAATCTCAGTCTCAATTACAAAGTGTTCAGTCACAATTACATTCAGAAACAGAGAAGGTAAGTTATCTTGTTGTTCTACAGAATATGATGTATTTATTTTATTAGTCATGTTACTTGAATAAAGAATTCAATATATTTCTGGGCTCATTTCATACCTACCCCAACAACTTTGGGTATTTTTTAGACTTAAGATTTGCTAATTTAAATCATCACCAAGATTTTTTGAAACTGATATAGTTTTGCTTTTATAATACTGTTATCTTTGAAATAAGGTTGAAATTAGTAAATTATTATTTTTCAGTGTAAAAATCTAGCTTTACAAGTAGAACAGGAAGTACAAAGACGTAATTTAATGCAAGGTGATTTAAAGAATCAGTATGTGGATATCAATAAAGCTAAGGCCAAAGAGAAATCACTAGATAAAGAACTACATGATTTAAAACATGAAAAGAAGTTATTAGAAGAGGAATTAAAGAAAGTGAAAGAGTAAGTCTTATTCTATTCTACTGAAAAGTTAAGTTGTATTCATGTTTTAAGTTCATTAATATCCTTCCTTAATGTTTAATTAAAAGATAATTTATGTTGTACAATATCAACAAAATATAGGTTTGATATGTAGTTTTTATTGACAAATGTCTAAGATATATAAGAAGTCGACATCCTATCTGAAATTATAATATACTTCTTGAAAAAAACATTATTTATTGACATACATATTTATTATTTTATAGGGAATATTCATCAGTTGATTTTCAATTACGAGATGCTCAAGAACAGTTGGAAGCTGAATCATACTTTTCTGTAAGTAAAACTATTATTTGATTTCATCCAGAATCCACAAATTTATATCCCCACAACATGCTTTCTGTAGACAAATTCAGTAAATTTGGCCTGCTGAAGTGAGAATGAGATGAAAATAGCTACAATGAGAGCACAAACTGTAGTTTCGATGAGGCCTATTTGATTAATGTTTGTTTTGTTATATTTCAGTCTTTATACAAGACTCAAGTTAAAGAATTGAAAGATGAAGTAGAGCTCAGTGATAAAAAGATTACAGATCTGACCTCAGATAAAACTCATATTACTGAGGAGAAGTAAGATAATCATATGCTTTGACAGAATCAGATCTTTTCTTACCTTAAGGAGAATTCTAAAACATGGCACTTATTTTTGCAGCAGACAACAATCCAGCTTATTATTTGAGGCGAATTCAAACCTATTGCCCTTGATTGCCTAGCAGCCGTTGATCCACCTAAACTTTTCTTGCAATTGATGTATATGTTTTTTTCCACAGAGAATCATTATGTGCTCAGTTACAACTAGCATTAGCTAAAGCTGATTCTGAACAACTAGCTAGACAGATAGCTGAAGATCAGTTATTAGATGTAGAAAAAGAAAAAACTATCTTAGAACTAGAAGTTAAAGACCTGATGAATCAGCATAGAAGTGACATGAATAAAACAGAAAATCTCAAATCATCAGTAAGTTTTACCTTTCCTTCATCTAGAATATAGAGTGAAAACAGGCCTACTGCAATTTATGTTAATACAATAAGCCCTTCATTGATCAGTGATCAGTGAAATGGGGGGCGTATATTGCCGTCACTTCTTTCCGTCGGTCGGTCCGTCCGTCCACAATTGCTCGTAAACACTCTACAAGGCACCATTCTTGACTGATTTCGACGAAACTTGGTATGGTTGTTTGTAATCACCCAAGGATGAACCCTATTGAAAATCAGACGAATCAAAAAATATTTACTATGAGTTATTGCCCTTGTTCTTGAAACGCTCGTAAACACTTTAGAAGATGCAATTCATGACAGATTTTGATGGTATGAGTGTTCGTTATCGCCCAAGGATAAACCCCATCGAAAATCAGAAAAATTGAAAAATATTTGGTATTAGTTATTGCCCTTGTTCTTGAAAACGCGTTCAATTTTTAGCTCGTAAACACTCTAGAAGGGACATTTCTTGATGGATTTTAAGGAAACTTGGCATGAGTGTTTGTTTATCACCAAAGGATGAACCCTATTGAAAATCAGAAGAATCAAAAAATATTTAGTATGTGTTATTGCCCTTGTTCTTGAAAACACGTTCAATTTTTAGCTCGTAAATACTCTAGAAGGGACAATTCTTGATGGATTTTAACGAAACTTTCCATGAGTGTCTGTAATCACCCAAGGATGAACTCTCTTGAAAATCAGAAGAATCAAAAAATATTTAGTATGTGTTATTGACCTTGTTCTTGAAAACGCGTTCGATTTTTAGCTCGTAAACACTCTAGAAGGCACAATTCTTGACAGATTTTGACAAAACTTGGCATGAGTGTTTGTTATCACCCAAGGATGAACCCTATTGAAAATCAGAAAAATCCAAAAATATTTAGTATGAATTATTGCCCTTGCTCTGGAAAACAAGTTCAATTTTTAGCTTGTAATCACTCTAGAAGGCACAATTCTTGACTAATTTTGATGAAACTTGGTGTGAATGTTTGTAATCACCCAAGGATGAACCCTATTGAAAATCAGAAGAATTGAAAAATATTTAGTATGAGTTACTGCCCTTGTTCTTGAAAGCGCTTTCAAATTTAGCTCTTTAACACTAAAAGGCATGATTGTTGCTGGAATTTGACAAAACTTGCTTTTATTATTCAGTCCCGCGCTGAAGATTGAATATTTGCCTTCTAAAGTTTTCATGAGCTAAAAATTGAACACGTTTTCAAGAACAAGGGCAATAACTCATACTCAATATTATTCATTATCGCCCTAAAGAGTTCAAAAGAAGTGTATGACTGAAGGTTGAATATTTCATACTGGTGATTGTTACTGTACTGCTAAATATTTATGTTCAAAATCAAAGCTGCCAGTGGGCGTATATTACCTTACCTGGCAAGCTATCTTTACTTATAGCTGAGGAATTTGATACGCAAATGAAGCAGATCAGAATTGTTGGGAATTGTTGACCTGATTTATTGTGGACATTAGTGTGGCATTAGTTGACATTGATCATGGACTGTTCAGGAATAGAAAACAGAAATTTGTTTATCTGAATTTAACCATACGTGTTTCTTTCTAGTTGGATGATTCTAAGAGAAATATGAATGATACCATAGATCATCTAACAACAGTTAATGAAGATTTAAGTGATAGAATTAAAGAATTATCAGAGGGTAATATTAAAATAACTTTTGATTTCATAATCCCCTTTTATTAACTTAATTTGCTATAGGGTGTATTTTCTCCTTAAAATGTGTTTTTATAGTTTATTCTATTAGTCTGTACTAGACAATAACAGGGCTAACAGCATACTGCTAACTGTTTGAGGGTTGACTATAATATGTTTTGAAATTATTTTTTAGCCCAGAATAGCTCTCTAGCTGGGGAGGTAGACAAATTAAAGAAAGATTTAGAAACAGAGAGAATTAAGAAAACACAGGTACTGTCAATTTATATTGTTTTATATATTCTTTTTATGTTAGTAGTGATTATACAAGGCATCTTTTGTGGAAATAAAGATTTTTGTCATCTAGAGTGTTAACCTCTGTTATTCCTTTACTTACTTGATTTATACAAACCTTAATTACATCTTACATTATCTCATATCTTTCATTATTACTTACTGTTACTTTAACATTTTTTAAATTCCTGTAATCTGATCATGTGTCTGCCAGTTTTGTTTGGACGCCATTGAAGTGTAATAAATGAATAGATGAGACATTAGAGTAAATATATTTATTGAGTTAAACATAGAGTATCCAAGTCTATGATAGAGGCAAAACCCAGAACAAAATTGAGAAGGAAGGAATGACTTTATTGTCTTCAAATTTTGTGCTGTGATATCACTGCCTTCAGGGGATCTATCTTGCCAATGTGCAATAGGTTCAAATATCCCCTCAGACTAGGTAATTTCTAAATCTATGATTGCAGGCTGTAAATAAACTAGCAGAAATTATGAATAAAAAAGAATTTCGTAGTAGTGGTAAAAAGAAAGGGGGTAATGATGCTGATTTAAAGAAAAAAGAAAAAGAAAATAGAAGATTACAGCAAGAATTAACAATGGTAAGAATTTTGATATGATATAGAGTCTACAGTAAAAATGGACAAACTTTCAACAATGGGCAAGGGTTATTTTCTATCTGTTTTAAACTCCATACATGATCTGTTTTCAGGAAAAAGAAAAATACAAGAAAATGAGTGAAAAATTACAAAGAGAAATATTGGAAGGTCAACAGACAGTATATGAAGAAACTCTAAGTCGTCAGAAATTACAGATGGAGATTGATGCTAAAGATGCTGAATTAGAACAACTTCGTCAAAAATTAGCTTTTAATAATTCTGATACAGCTTCTGTTAATAGTGGTAGTAATCTAGATGAAACAATTGTGGAAAATACAGGTAATTGTTGAACATTTCCTTAATTGAAACAGAATAATCTAAATATAGGGCTAATTCCCCTATACTTAGATTATGATTGTAAACTTACTAATTTTCATATAATTTGTATAGTATAGGGAGTTGGAAGTTCATATAAGATTGGTGTTATTTTTTGCAAGCTCTCAACTCTCTCACCTCTATCAAAATGTAGGGAGCCAGGGGGGCTCATGGAGCTCACTAACCAAGAGACGTTTTTGTCCTGATATAGGCATATTTTCCAACAATGTGTCCTTCTGTCAGTGATGCTAATCGGAGAGGCTGACTTGGACGAACACATACTTGAGACTGTAAGGTCCAGTTTGCTACTGACTGTTTGACAGCTGTCCTGATAATTAAGGATATAAAATTTCATTAAAAAATGAAAGACATGACTTATTAGTTCATCCATTAGAAATTCCATAGTACCTGCTATATGTTATTATACTATTATAGATCATATGGAAGGATGGTTAGGTGTACCTACTCGACATGTTAAACAGAAATATGGATGGCAGAAACAATATGTTGTTGTTAGTAGTCGTAAAGTATTATTTTATAATAATGAAACAGATAAAGTACAATCCAGTCCAGTTTTAGTATTAGACATTGAGTAAGTATCAATACATGTAGTTTTTTTCTAATGAGTGAAAAGATTTGCTGGTTAACCTAGGTATAGGTTTCAATCATGCACACAAAACTTATATTTAAATCGTAACTTGTAATATGTAAGAACTTCAAGTAATAATTGAAAAACATTTAAAAAAATATTACAATATTTACATAGTTTAATGGATTTGTCTGACTTTTAAGAACCTGTGTATTTGTATTTGTAGTAAACTATTTCATGTGAGATCAGTTACACAAGGAGATGTTTATAGAGCTGAAGCCAAAGATATTCCACGTATATTCCAGGTATATTATATATTCATATCTCTACAGATCAATATTAACTATATTCCCTTTCTCAATAACATAAGGGGCTTTGATGGTTCACCATAATTTTACTCTTGCTGGCTAGATTAGTTGCAATTAAAAATCTATAGAGAGAGCTATTGATGCTGTCTAAAAAAAAATTGACTGAACTAGTCATTCCTGAATAAGAAACAACAGAAAGTTCCATTTTTTTTATTTATGAATTACAATTAAGATAAAGATGAAAGAATAAGGAGGTCAACTAAAGATAAAGATTTTTACATATACCTCTATTTGTGTAAATTTGTGTTATAGATTCTATACGCAACAGAAGGTGAAAATAGAAAAAGAGATGATAGTATGATGGAACAAACTACTCCTGTAAGCTAAATTTTTAATTTTACTATTTCTACTAATTATATATACAGTATGTGGCTTCTCACTACAATAACCCTATGATAATTGAAGCATTAACCATTTAAACTTCCTTTAAAATAATCTGTTTTTATCATCAGAATGTTGGAAAAAATCAAAATATCAAACAAATTTTTAGTTGCTTTCCTCATGTATCCAAAAAACATACAGAAATATAATTAGCCTTTGTTTATGACTTTTATGCTTTCGGTAACATTGTTATAGGAGGATTTGAGCCGATGTCACATCCGGAAGTCTCTAAAAATAGTCTGGTCATCAAGTGTCAATGAACAGCCATTGTTGACTAGTGTATGTTATTGTAACCGAAAAACAAATCTGTAGTAACATCGTATTCAAGTATCATATGATATATTATGAATTTAATACTAAATCTTATGAGATCAAAAAATTCGGCCAAATTTTGTAAATCGTTTTACCGATAGAAAAATATCGCATGCGCGAAAAAGGGAATTCCCATATCCTCCTATAAGTGTTAAGTCTATCTCTATATTCTGTGTTGAAACAAGCTGTCCTTAAGACATTTCATAAACATGTTTTGACCAAAAAAGGTAATGTTTTGCATTATTTTCCAGGATAAATCTGGAACTGTGATGTTTAAAGGACATGAATTTGTTTTATTACACTTTCGTACACCAACTAATTGTGATTCTTGTCAGAGAGCTTTATGGCATGTTATACATCCACCACCAGCACTGGAATGTAAACGTAAGTTACTTCTATTTATATAATCATTCATTGTCATATTAGAGGCACAAGTTATAGATCAATAAGACTAATTCCTTATATTCCTGTAATAGAAAGTAATAGATGTTATTCAAGAAGTATCTTTGCATAAAATTGTTATAAATATATTTTATGTTAATTTAGTATACACTGTCAACATGTTAAATAGATGGTTAAATGAAAGTTATCCTAAGTTATGATGGAAATGATTAATTTAGCAATGGTAACACTTAAAAACAAAAATAAGAAAAAAATTTGATATGAATTGAAAGGGTCATAAAGTTCTTTTTTGTCCATTTATTACTATAGGGATATTTTATTTTAAAAAGATACTAGAAAGTAATACTGTTTTGTTACTGGTATTGATAAGCTTACAGCTGATGTCAAGACTTATGTTTTATTGTCTTAAAGACTGAGGACTGTTGATGCCTGGAGATTAATCTCTATGATAATGTTCATGATTTCAGGATGTCATATAAAGGTACATCAAGACCATTATGATAAGAAAGAAGATTTTATAGCTTACTGTAAAGGTAAATAGATTTTAGAAGTACTTTCACTCCCCAATTTTGGTGCTAAGACTCATATTCTCAGATTTTTCCATCTTGTTGAAAATGCAGGTCAAAGAGACTGATTTGGAAGAATGGTGGTGAGATAAATTATATTCTAATAAAAAAAAATTTTTTTTAAATTTTTAAAGTAATTAATTGTCTTGTCTTACAAAGAAAGATGAAGTTAGGGGATGAAGACAATAATGAATTTAATTTTCTGTATATTTTCTAGTGAACTATGATTCAAGTATACAAGCTAAAGAAATGTTATTATTAGCTGAGTCGTCTGCTATACAGAAAAACTGGGTATCACATCTTAGTAAGAAAGTTCGACAACAGGGTATAGTCAGCTCTGGAAACCTTGGGTACGTATTTGTTTAATACATTCTTCCTAAATTTGATGAAAGTCAAGTAGGGAATACTATTAGATTAGCTGAGTAAAATATTAATAAAGTTTTAGTCATCCTTATTTTTCCAGAGTACATGAGTTTATTTAGATAGTCTATATTTCTCTCTGTTGCTGGATCGATGGAACTGACATGAAAAAGCGCTCAGATTTCATATGGAATGTAAAACTTGGACCTGGTGTACTTCAGCCGTTATTTACTCTTTAATTTGAAATTCAACAATCAGACTATCGAATTATTGTTACATGATGTTCAACAAACAAGGATTGATCTTATTTTCTTTTCTAGAACTTTAAGAGGTACGAAACAGTACTCATCTTATGGTCCACAACAGAGAAGCCAAATGTCAAATAAAAGTGCAACCCTGCCTCCTAATTCCAGGCCATGAAATACAGTTGTGGAATAGTATAATGGTGTAGGAACTGTTGATTAATTAACTTAGGGTATTGACTATCCTTAATATAAAGGGTACCCTTCTACCCAAAAGGGTCTACCCAAAAAACTACTAACATTCTTAAGCTTCTTTAAGTTGTTTTTATTATTAATATTGGTGCTTTGATTCATAATAGTGCTATTTATAGAATAGTGGAGATCTGGACCACATCTCAGGTTTTTTGTCTGTAGAAATTGAAGAACCTATCTACTATTCTTTGCCTTAATTTTATTAAGTTTGTTTGTTGATAGATTGTCAAGCCAACCACAATTTAGTGTTTAAGACAACCGTTTCACTTTTTTGTCATATTTTTATCAAGATTCACAGGGTAGGTAAAAGAGATAAGATGTTGAACGACATATAGAAGCGAGGAGCACATATAACAAAACACAAGACAATATTATGGAATATAACACACTTCTTTAATAAGGTAGGGCACATAAAGAGAGAATAAAATTAGGTTAGAGATAACCCTTGACACATAAATGTAGTCCCAATCATCAAGTATTACAATTTAGGGTGACGCTCAATTGGAAAGTTTTGAACAAGTTCCATCTGTTCCAATTCTGGTATCAATGGAACTTAACAGAAGTGGATATGTCACTTATAAATGTCCAGTTGATTCCATGAATCCGAAAAACACCAATCGAGCGACCCCCCCTACCCCCCTCGAAGACTTCTATTTGTAGGGTAAAATATTAAGTACTCTTGCATATATTTCTATTATGAGTTAACATTTGTTAATAAAAACCCTGCTTTAAGACTGTTCAAATTTCTTGTAAAGAAATTGATGTCTCTATATAATCTGAATTTTTTTGTGTGCAGTGAAATAAATCCTTTGACAAATTCCCTACTGATATAGGTAGCTGTAACCTATCCTTGTTATTATCTGGAGTGATAAAGTTTCAAGATCCCAGACAATATAAAGGTCAATAAGAAATTTTGTTGATGTTAAGAAATATATATTGTATTTAATTTACCAAATATACTCATTCCAACCTATTTTACTTTCCCTTCCTTGAAAGATGGGTTCCTTCCTATTTACCAATTAAGTAGTGTTGACAGTTTGTCACTTTCAGTTCTGTTTATTATTGAAAAGGATTGTAAATTGTGGGAACCCATCTTTATGTCTCCTATTGTTCATTGATTCCTGATTATTATAGTGCATTATTTTCTGTGTTCATTTTACTCAAACCCTGAAAATGTCCTTGTTTTGTTCATTTTGTCTGTTTTGTGTCATTCATTTTGTCTAAAGTGTTAGTACAGTACCAAGAAATGGTTTCTCTTCCATTTTGACATGCAAGAATTTTTTAAAATGCTTTAAAGTTTATGGCTGGACAATCTGATAGCATTTCACAGGATTTGATTGGTTGTCATCTCTCCAGATGTTGAAAGATGTAACTTGATTGGCTGAATTGTAAATCATGAACTTTGGATCAAATAGCTGAGAGATCCCTAAGTTAACATGAGGAGAATTTCTGCTTGTGAAAACTCCCATCTTTTATAAACATTTTGATAAGCAAGATCTTATGTTTTATTACACTTATTAATCTGTGAAAATATTAGGTTACTTCTTGACCAATTTCAATGTTCATTGAGCACAAATATAATATAAATAATTTATAAAGAATTTAAACATTTAAAGAAATTTCAGTGTATGAAATAAAACTATCCAGAATGTATAATGTTTCAGATAGATTAGAAAGCATGTCTCAATATTCACTACCTCCAACTTTAGATAAGCTCATCAACCTTTGGTCACTATCTCAACTGTATAACAACTGGGTTAGATTTAACAATTGTGATGAATTATGATTATACTCTATGGCAGGGGTTCCAAACATTTTGAGCTCTGGGTACCCTTTATTAAAGGAGACTCTCTTAGAACCCTATTTTCTAGTATATAATCTAACTGAAGGGGTGAATACCTTAATTAAAGTCTTGACATAGATCTCTGAACCCTGAAGATATAAAACACCATTAGATCAGGCCCTGTGGAGTTGATTAGTACTCCATGTTGCATACTAGGGTTCTATTGATTACTTGCCCCTATACGATCAATTATTCAGACCTTAACATTTGTTCACATTTTTCCTTACATCCTAACCTTTTATTAATTTGCATAGTTCCAGCTCAATGCCTCTGAATGTTGAATATGTTTCATTTTGCATTGAGAAAATTTAAAAATTAGATGTAAATTGTAACACCTTATATACCCACAGTTTATAATAGGGTATATTTTTTCAAGTGCCTTATAATTTGATATCTTATATTCAAATTATGTCACTATGTCTACTGTTTGTGATGCTGTTTTCTCAGGCTTATTCTTTGGTTGTGTTTTTACTATCCTTTTTCATTCTTAATGTCATTGTTTAATGTTTTCACTTTCTTAATTAAGATGTTTGGCCTATATAGAAATATTATTTTGGGTCAAACTGGTAAGAATTGTACTAATATTTTTAAACATATCAGTGCTGTATACTGTTGTTTTTTGATCTGTAAAAAACCTTTGGTCCAGAGGAATGATCTCCAAAACTTAATTTGTAATGTCATTAAGCTTACAAAACATTGATTTGGGAATTTTGGGGATTTCATGTGCTGAGTTCTAAAAATATATGGAGGAAAACATTTCTACAAAGCCAGATAATAAAGATGTAAAATTATTGTAGCTCTTCATGGTAAAGGCAAAATATATATTTCATCATTTCAACATTTAAATGGCTTTCTTTCTGCTTTGGGTGAGAATATTTTCTGTTTTCTTTCAAACACAAACCTATGCTGCCATATTGCTTTCATGTTTTAGTTTCAAAGCTTTTTGTTTGTTTTTTGAATAGTTTGTAATTATTTTTGTTATTTTTTTTGAATATATTTGTCAATATTATATTATATAGATTATAATAGTAGTCGATCATCATTAACATCTATCTTTATCATGTTCAAATTATATATTAATATCTTGATATTACCTTACTTATCTTCAAATTCTTAATAACTTGGTTAGAATTAGGCCAAGTTACAGATATCTATACTCTTCTTAATTCTTGCCAATTCCAGCTAACTGTACATTTTACAATCATGTAGTTATAGGTGTGTCAAAATTCTCTTAAATGTGAAAGTTTTTTAAGATAATCAGAGATATAAATTTGAATCACTGTGATTTCATTATATACACAATATTTTATGATTAAGATTTGCTGTTTGAAATATGTTGAAATCAAGATATTAAAGCTATAATTTGACTTAATAAAGATATTATTAATTTACACCATAATCATGATATTATAGCTGAGCAAATATATAGGTGAAAATCCATGGATGGTTCAAAACATGGAAACAGCTACTCCAACTTTACCAGTTAGATTTACAGTGTGTTTATTATCTATATATAAATATATAAGGTGGACTGCTTGTGTTTATGTTTAGAATGGTTATTGGATGTTCACAAATATCTATGCTGACTATAACTATAAATTAGATATATAACATTGTAATTTATGTATATAAACAACATTTTGTAGATTATGTATATTAGATTAGAAAAAACATCCTCTAAATTATATTATTCATATGATGTATCCCATATAATGGAAATATAAGTATAATAGCTATTCATCCAAACTAGGTTGAAGAACACAGTTTCATCGTTCACCTTCAGTAGGTCTTTTATAGGTTCATTTTTGAAAAATTGCACATTTTTTATTGACTTACATCAAAGTGAGTGAGATGACGGGTGTCATGGTTCGAAATCAAGTCAAACTCACTTCAAGCTGCAAAGGTGTAAGTCTATTGGGATCCATGTGTTCCACCTAGGTCTGTTAGTGCTTCCTATGTGTTTGATTATTATTATTGCATTTATATTGATGATTGTAGTCAAGCTGAGATAGCTGTAGGACAAAACATAAACATGTACAATCCATTTTAATTTCTAGGTAGAATAAACAGTAATTGTAACTATTCAAGAAAAATGTCTACTTTGTTGATTACTACTCACACAACAATAAGTGGACTGTTCGTGTTTGAATTCCATTTTGGCACAATTATCTTAGCTTATTTATATTTCTAAATAGAAGTGGTAATGTATTTTACAGACTTCAGAAAAAAAACATCTTTCATTTCATAATGCTGGTTATTTAACACCTAATTTGGTTTATTAGTTGACCAATTTGCAAAATCATTCCACAGTGCTTATTTTACCTGTAATCTGTTATTGGAAAGTTTTATTCAACTAAACATAGTTAATCATAGATTTAAAGTTGAAGGGAATGAATAGTCAAAATTCTTTTGGGTCTACATTAATCTGACATCATAACAATGTTTGGTATTAAATTCTGGTATATTTCCTTTAAGCTCCTGAAAGATGCTCAAAAATTCTAGAACAATTTGCCCAATTCTTGATAAAAAGGTTTTTTCTCACCACAGTATTCTCTTTAGTGCAAAATATTCATGGCATTTATTGTATCTAGAAACTAAATTAACATTGGATCTGTAATTTAATCAAGTTATAATTTATATTACATCATTTCTTACACAAATGTCATACAGATGACAGATTTGGTTAATTGATCCTCTAATTAATTTAAGCAAAATAATTCATTATAACTGTTAAATTAAGGTGTAAGAGTATATTATTCACCTGGTATAATAACTACACCAGAAACCTTGTATAGTTATTCATAGTTTGATGTATATATCATACAAAACATAGAAAATATCACACTCATTCTAAGAAGTGGAATACCTCTTAGTTTGAACTGCGGATTGTTATGTCCTGTGATAGTTATTGGTCGAAACATTTGTATTTGGTAGTTACTAGTATTTATTTGTACTCAGTTGTTTATTTTTCTGACCATGAACACACTGACCCTGTGTTAAATATCTTAACATGCTTATTGGAAGCAAATACACAAACAGGTATGAGGAATGTGTTGTCTTGAACAAAGAGTTGAATTAGTTTCGAAACATTTCTCTTTTACAATTTTTTGCTTACTTTCAGTGCTTAATATATCCTATCTCTTCTATCCTTGATCAATCATTTCCCGTTGGTAGCGCTAAATACATCTGCCCCTCATTTGTGCTCAAAGCTTTCATGTCAAACATTGAGATAAAAGGAAGATATTTCAATTTTCCAATATTTGCTGTTCAGTTAGTTATGTATAAGGTTAAGAAATTTAGCAACTTTGTAATTGTGCTGTGAAAGATTTTTATAGTTGTTCAGTTAAAAATTGTGTGCAAAATTGTTATCCCATTTGTTGGAGGCCCCACATTTGCAGAAGAGATTAAAATGCTCTCTGGCACTAGCACATCTCGGAAAAAATACCCTTATTTATGCCCTGATTGGTCATTGACTACAATAGTATTGACCAATCAACAGTTACATTATAATATCAGTTATGATGTTCCAGGCATCAAACTCTATGGTTGTTATATCTATGAAAATTGTTTTAAAATATAAGTGAAGATGCTGTGAGAAGGATTGTTTTTTAATTATTTAAGTTGATCTGATGTGAATTATTATATTAAAGATAGATTTTGTATATATTAGATTCTCTTCAACTTTTGGCTTTATATAATATTATAATTGTATATTGTATATAAATGCTTAATAATACTGTATAGTATAAACAAACTGTATGATTTACTCCCAATGTAAGTCAGAACAAACTATATTATTGCATGTATAAATCCTAATAAATATACTTCAGAAATAGCTTTTCTACTTTAACGGTACTCTATGAGCATTGTTTGGTTGTTCGACAAGATTTTAGCAATCCCTCACAATACCAGCTCTTAATGAGCCAGAGTCAATGTCATGGGCCAACATTTTAATTGGGCCTGGGATCAGGGAATCCACCAATCCATCCTGTCAATGGGACCCGAAATATTTACGTATTTTCTCAAAATCTTAACGATAGCTGCTCCAATACTCGCCTCGCATCCTTTGAAATTATACACAGAAAAAACTGGAGGTGTTAAATCAGTAAAATGCACTATTACAGCCAAACATATCTTTGGTTTTTTTACCAAGCCTTATAGTTATGTAACGTAAGGTAATCATCGAAAATAACTACTGACTAGCACGTTAACAATTACTACTATTATGACCTAATTAATATTCTATTAGGAGAGTCTATTGCCTCTTTATAACACCTGTCTCGGGTGGTGCAATAAAAACGCAAACAAACAAGTACTGCCCAACGTTCACATTGCACAAATGATACCATCACCAGAACTTAACCCAATATTATAATAATATAATAATATGCAAGGCATCCGCCTACTACACTCTCATAAGATAAAGAGCATCACATAGTGACGGGTACTGCACTCGCATAACAATATAAAAACCACAAAGTGACACGGACTACACACAACATAACACATAGAGCTTCACACAATGTAAAATACTACACTAACATAACACATAGGGCTTCACACAATGTAAAATACTACACAACATAACACATAGAGCTTCACACAATGTAAAATACTACACTAACATAACACATAGGGCTTCACACAATGACAAATATTACACTTCACATAACACATAGAGCTTCACACAATGACAAATATTACACTCACAAAACATATAGAGCTTCACACAATGACAAATACTACACTCACATATCACATAGAGCTTCACACAATGACAAATACTACACTCACATCACATAGAGCTTCACACAATGACAAATACTACACTAACATAACATAGAGCTTCACAAAATGACAAATACTACACTCACACAACACATAGAGCTTCACACAATGACAAATACTACACTCACATAACACATAGAGCTTCACACAATGTAAAATACTACACCCACATCACATAGAGCTTCACACAGTGACAAATACTACACTCACATAACACATAGAGCTTCACACAATGTAAAATACTACACCCACATCACATAGAGCTTCACACAGTGACAAATACTACACTCACATATCACATAGAGCTTCACACAATGACAAATACTACACTCACATCACATAGAGCTTCACACAATGACAAATACTACACTCACACAACACATAGAGCTTCACACAATGACAAATACTACACTCACATAACACATAGAGCTTCACACAATGACAAATACTACACTCACATAACACATAGAGCTTCACACAATGACAAATACTACACTCACATAACACATAGAGCTTCACACAGTCTAAGCTACTGCACTTGCATAACATATAGAGCATCACACAATGTCAAGTACTACAAACACATAACACATAGAGCACCAGGCTACAAAGTGACAAGGACTGCACTAACATAACACATAAAGCTTCACACAGTGACAATTACATACATAACACATAAAGCATCACAACTTTACCAATATTGCACATACAGTATCACACAGTAACTCTCATTACACATAAAATATTACAAATACTAAATACACACTCACATTACACTATTATAACAGGTTAATTCACACAAGTGACAGGTAGAGCACTAAAATAATATGCAAGGCATCACACAGTTTAAGCTACTGCACTCTCATAACATAAAGAGCATCACACAATGACAAGTACTACAAACACATAGAGCACCAAACCTGAATAGTAAAGACAGAGTACTATACTCGCATAACATATAGAGCATCACATTTCATATACAGCTTTCCACAGTGACAAGTACTGCTCTCACATAACACATAGAATATCTTCACACAGTGACAAACACTTTATTCGCCGATCATAAAGAGAGCATCACAAAGTGTAACATGAAATATGGAACCACAATCACAAACTCACAAGACATTACACAGTGATGGACACTACACTCTCACGAAACAAAAACATCCCAATGCCAGTACTGCACGAAATAGATCATAAATACAGAACAATATTTACTAATAGAGACTCACACGATGGCAGACGCTACCTTAACAAAGAAGGTGGGACTAAAAAATACTCTATGTATTATTATATACATTGCCATAACAATTCATCTCTAGGTTGTATTTATTTCACCGTACTATTTTTTCAACCACCCAATATGGAAATAAGCGCGCTATATATAGTAAATACTTTGTGTATTGGCCTGGCCTATACAGGTAAATCTAAAGCTGTGAAGATTTAAATGGTGTTTTTTCAACGTTTCGACTGTTTAATACAGGAAAATTTTGTACATTTGATTATCTACGAGTATAGTACATCATGAGGATTCTGTATTTATTTGTATTTAGTAAGTATAACCATTTCATTCTTGTTTGAAGCTTACAGAGCTGCTTTGTGTACACTTTGACTTGAATGTGATCTAAATCGATATATCGAAAATGACCTACATACTAGGGAATCTAAAGGCCTATTTGATTATTAGCCTTAAAGTACATGTATAGAATAGATCAATGTCCATTAAATCGTAAGCTGAAGGGATATTTTATTTTGACTTTGAAAATATGGGTCGATGTCAAAAGTGACACTGATAAAAAATTATTCACCCTATATGAATGTTGAAGTAAACATAATGTCATTGTGTATGGTTTTATTTGCTTGACATGCGTAGGTCTAATCTATTTTATTATCAAATCTGCACAACTGCAAAATAATATAATAGTCTGAACGCGTCAACAATTTTCTTGACTATTATAGTATTATTTAGTTGGCGAGTGTAAACGTACAGGTTAGGGCGGTTAAGAGGAACAAGTTTGTATTTAAAAGGGCTAAGCCAGTGTTCACCAATGTATTCTTGAAATGGATATTAAGTTTACTTCTAACATAGACCTAGAGCATAAAGATTGTGATGAATGTAGAGTCATTTAGATTAGAAGGTGAAAGGTTGACCTTGATTAAATACAAAAGATAAATAGAAAGTCATGACTCTACATGTCAGTAGGTCCTTTATGGGCGTAAATATAAAGGGGGTGGGTTGGCAACAGGCATGACGGATGTAATGCTATTATATCTGCATAGGCTATAGTGCGCGTTTGTGGGGGGGGGGGGGGAGGATAAAAAGAACATCATGGTTGAACATATCGTATCTTTGCTCTGCACCACGCCTTCATTCAAAAATATTGCTCCCCTATAAAGCATAAATGCAATGTCTACAAAACAGACGTGATCTATAGTCAAGCATGACAAGTTTGTTGATATTTTTTTGAAGTTAGAGTTAAAATTTAAATGTTTTTCTATTTGTAGTTTGTATGATTGTATATATTAATTGTGAAAAGTGTACATATACACAATATTGTAAAATTAAATTTCAATCACAAGCTTCAAATTTGGGACATGAAAAAGAAGAATTTTGCAAGTAAGTGTTGAATGAAGATATATTTGTCCATTTCAAAATACTTTTCCAACTTAATAGTGTAATCAATCTACAAAGTGTAAAATATCATCGTTGATAGGATGCTCACGTGGACCATACTTTCGTTCACATGAAATGGGAGGTCAAAGTGTTAGGCCTATACTTCAAAATTTGCAAGCTATGAAATTATGAAAGCTCAATTCGTAATGAGTGTCTTTACAAATTTGCTTATTTTATAATTCGCTTTGTAAATAGTCCATCAATTTCCAGGTTGATCATACATCTCGATCGTTGTATTGAAGTAGAACGTCCAAAATGTGCACAAGGTCTCACGGATGAAGTAGACAGATTTCTGCAGGGATTATATGATAACGATCCAGAATGTAGTAAGTTATGGTTCCATTAAACTCGTCAGATTCCCCCTTGGTACTTATTTCATTATCAGTAAACTCTATATGTACTTCGAGAAATACAGATATTATACTAATTTGATAATAAAAGCAGTAGAGTGACCACAAATTGATTTATATTTCGGTTTCTGTAGAAGTTGTCGCTCCTCTTCAGGTCTTCAGTCATCATCTGATGTGGATGCAATAGAGTTTTTATTCCGACTTAGCTCAGGTGCCACTTGCTGTTGATACATAGGCTATGTATGATGCTTTGAGTCTAAAAACCGCACCTTTTTTATATTAGTACTCGAGCTGGTTTCGACCGACATTTGAGTCAGCTTGGTAGCCAATAGGATAGCTATATATTACAAATTCTGAAGTGATATTTGTCTGTTGATTCTTAAAGATAAAAGGTGCTCTTACACCATTGCGATCGCCAATTTAAGGTCAGGTGCCCCAAGACAATGGCTATGATGTAGACACTACTGAAGATTAAATCTTTTCTTTTCCAGGTGGAGTTCCTAGTTTAGAATTTTCAGTTGTTATACTTATTTCATCATTAGTATTAATATTCAACATTTAGCCCAGATTGGTGTAAGCCTGTTCTTTTCCTGTTGATTTATATAATGGTGGTAATCTAAAACTAAAACCCACAGAACAGCCTTAACCAGTTTAAATTACACCATACAAAACTCTGCCTTGTTAATTGTAAATATAGAGACATGTATTTATAAAACCCGTAGGCTTAAATTTGCCTTATGGGCTGATAAAATATTGTACCTAACATTCAGAATTTAAAACCTGTTTCGAGGTAGTTGCTTCATTCCCGCTCATTATATATAATTATTATCTGAATGCGGAGCGCTGCTCATTTTGGTCTGGAAGTAACGACTTCTAAGGTTGTATGCGAATTAGATCTCGGACTATTTTTGAAAAGCTGAAGTTGAGCTCTCTCAGCTGGTGAAGTATTTAGCCCACTCTTTTCCTCTAAATTACGAGCCTGTTATGATTAGATATTGGTATCGACTATCTTACAAGAACAATGTTAATTTTCAAGGACGGTGTTAATCTTATAGTTGTGTGCTGAAGAGCGACGTTATTGAGTCGTACGTGTACATGACTGTTCAACACTGTCTCGTTTAAACCAGGATAAGCTCATTATTAAAGTTTGAATATTTTAATTAACAAGCTTTCTATTTTTATATTTAAGTGAATCAAATATTTTGGTTGTTATCGATAGGCCTAATTTGAAATATATGGGTGATAAGGACTAGGCCTAAAGTGAACATAGCCAATCAAAGGCCTCGATAGATAGTCACCTTCATCATTATTTCTGTCGAGGGTTCTGATTGGCTGTATACAAGGACTAGGCCTATATACCTTCAAAATATACTAATATATAAAAAAATATACTTATAGCCTAATTACCGAGTGACATGCGCTTAGAATCTAATACATCTTCACTTTGTCAAGATTTTACGAACTTCATCTTATGTCTTGACTTTATAGCAACCTTTCTTGTATAGGATATAAACGGAAGATTGCAAAGGCAACGATTTGATTGGATTGAACGCTAGTGAATACAGCCAATTAGAGGCCTAGATAGAAAGTCTGTAAACGCTAAGCCATAATATTATGTGTTCATCATTCTCTTTATTGAGGGTTCTGATTTGATGTATTAGTCTACATTCCAATTCAATCAAATCGTTGCATTTCGTGATACAAGAAAGGTGACTAACTTCAAGAAAGTCAATGTATACTCTAATACGTTCGTAATTGCTTGACGCTTTAACATTGTGTCAGTGCCTTCCGTTGGATAGTAACTTTTTACCTTCCAACCACCCTAAGAGAGATGGAGATGACTGTAATAGGCTAGTGATATTAATATAGTTACACTTCGCTTGTCACCTACACCTGTCACCTGACTTACCATAAAGCAGATTTTTGTTTTATATTAAGTTACAATGTAGTGTACAATAAAATAAACATGTATATAAATGACACCCACAGTATTATTTTTTCTCCTTGAAAGGTTGCTTATCAGTTTAAAACTTATTTTTCAAAATATCAGTCTATACAATACGTTAGCTATCTATAAAGCAGCAACATAGCTAACCCACAATGTCATTTTGTCATATTTATTTCTCCTTGAAAGGTTGTTTATCAGTTAAATATTTATTTGAAGTTTTTCTTCAAAACTCTCAGTCTTCCTGCTTATCTACCTAATATAAACTTACCTCAGAGTTTGAACTTTACTTATAAACTTCTAGTGATGCCATCTCAATCTATAGCAGGTTTTTTTTTATCTTGTATTAAATTCTCTTTCATATAATATTCAGACACTGACTCAACTAGATGAGCGGGGCCTGTTGACTTTAGTGAGTTGGGATCCCCCAAGGGAATTTTTATAAATAAGGAGTATTGCCCTTTGTAGGATCACAGTTTAAGTTATGTACCATTTTATATTGTGTGTTATTCTTTTAGATATTATATTTAGGATGGCCAGTTGCAATGGTGGTTCAATGTATATCACATGAAGTAAGTCCACCTCACTGGTATATGAACTGACGGAGTCTTGAAGACATGAGTTGCGCCCCTTATTTCATCATTATTCAAAGTGGGAGTGTTAACAGTTTTCTGTGGAAGTATGCTGATTTTGTGAGGTTTCCGAGTTTTTTTTTTTTTCATTCAGTACATCAATGAGGCCGCCCAAGATTAATTTGTCTTCAATTGGACTATTATAGGGTCTGCCTCAGCTCATGGATGGCAAGCTGTGTTCCTTCCATACATAACTAACATTTCATCATTACTAATTGTGGTCATCCATGACGCATATCAAGCAACCATTGTATCTTACTATGAATGCAGACCCTTAACTTCAAAGACCCCTAACACATGTTAAGACATCTGTATGGATTTCAATTTAAATTTCCAACTAGGGCAGTCCATTTGATAGTGTCAGTAGCAAAGACGACTAGTTTTCTATATATATACTCACCATTCCCACAAAAACTGGACTGCCCATGATTATCTTGTGAATGGGGCCCGAAGAGCAAAATTATCTAGATAAGAACAACATCAAGAAGTTTTAAGCAAGTAACCAAATTTATTTCAGATTAAAGTTACATTGTTTTTGAGGAGAAAAACTGCAATGAGATCAACAATAAGCAACTTGTAAAATAAACAGCAATACATGGAAGGCAACATAATAAGATGTCTTAGTAAATCTTGCAAAGACGACAACATTATCATTCACAACCTAGTAAATTAAAACAATGAAAGTTATGGCACATTTATAGCTTTGGTATTTTACGTGATGGCAGTACAATACAAGGTTGTGAGTTGCTAACAGTGACATTTTATGACATTTACTATTCAAAAGCCCAATTACACAAATAAATCAGTATCTTTTAGATAAAAATCTCATATTTAAAAATCTCAAAGGCAACAAAAAATAAAATAGGCAGTGTTTTTGATAGTTTGATTGCAATTCACGATAATATGGTGCTTGGTGCAAATTTTCTGAGACAGATTGTCACCCAAATCTTTTGAGAATACATTTGACACTAATGTTCAACCAGTTAGACAGGTATCGAAACTGTTTTTGTTCATTATCAACACCCTCATTAAATACAAATGGAAAGGTAACTCCATTATTCTTAGTTCAGTCACTTCATCTTGTCTGTCCAGTCATTAGAGTCTGTGGATTTGGTATAGTGATGATGGTAATTGCTTAGCAACTAGTAATTTATAAAATGAGTATAAACAAAATGAAAATGATATGAGTAGATATAACATATACTAGAGATTCTAAGTTCTATCAGTCACGCTGTCAGTCAATATAGTAATTACAACTACATAGCTAAATCATGTACAATATGAAAATGCATAGCTGGCATTAGGTGTTACAAACTGAAATAGTTACAGAAAGCCTTTGAATGAGACATCACCATTTCAATGCATTAAGAATGGTCAAGACCAATAGTGCCTTTGATGAACACGTCTCAAAAACCGGCTTCTCTGCTTTAACAGTGAGAAAATAAAAGGCAAGGAGTAATATCTATTATTTGATATTATAGAAGACAATATTTGCATATGAATAAGGTAGAATGCTGTTAAAAACAATGAATAAAGACAATCAAGGCAATATTTGTAAATATATAGCACTATCAAAGCTTTGACTATTAGCACTACAATATGAAATAGACAGAAAATAATGAATAATAATAATAATAATAATAGTAAGTAAATGTCATTAGACTTGTCAAGATAGTGTTGAATAGTAGAAAGATATTAAGTCAAATATTGTGTAAGTTAAGATGACTGTTGTCTTCATGTCTTTAAGCTTGACCTTCTGGAGCCACCTCCTGTTGAATATTGTTCTGTTTATTTCTTCTTACTTCTTCTATTCTCCTCTCCTGTAAAATACAGAAAATGTTTTGCCTATTTGTCCTATTTGTCTCACAGGGTAAAAACTTATATGCCTCTGAGTCAAATGTCTATTTGTCCCACTCAGTCAAATACCTATTTGTCTCACCATTATGTCATACTAGGTATAAATTTATTTGTATAAATTTTAATTGGCAAAATTCCTATTTCACTTGGTACAAAATATATATGTCTCACTGGGTGAGGTGCTTATTGGTCTCACTGAATTCTAAATTCAAGAAATGTCAAGAACTTATGTTTTAAAAAACCCATACATACATGTTCTTGCAGTCTTTCTTGTAGAGCTTTATAATGCTCCTCTCTGTTCTTCAAAGCGGTTTCCATCTTGGCAATCAACTTCTCCTCAGTAACTCTATTCATATTCTCACTGGTTTTACATACTTCTTGGATGTGATTAGCCTGCACAAACAAATTACAATGGTTTCTGATAAGCGATAAGTGAAAGGTTAACCTTCATTGAATATATTGCATTTAATTTCCAGGCAATTTGTAGGCAAAGACAACCACAGTAACAATTGCACAACACAAATTCAGTCACAGTTCTTTTACTAAGAGAGAGAGAGAGCAACAGAAAAAAATATTGAAATCAACAGAAGTTTGTGGTACACAAAGCAAATAAAGAAAGCAGACGACATCAATAATTGAAATGTGGTGTCTAATCTATTAAGTGAAATTGCTAGTCTTTTAATTAAGTAATGCCAGATGAACAATGTCTGTCCTGTCAATATAAACTTCTGTTATTGAATTAGGTCTATAGGTCACCTGGTCTTATTTCACTTACATGATCTCGTAGTCGCACCATCATTTGTTCCAGTTGTTTTTGCCTATTTTCTTCATATGTTGAGAGTTTTTGATTAATTTTTGCCTCTAAATCTTTAGACATAACAGCACCACGTTTATATACAGACTCAACTTTTTGTAACTAAACAACATAAAGCACAGAAGGAAGTAAATAAGCTAATAACTTAAAAAACAAAAATTACAACACTAAATATTTTAATATATCAACCAATTTATGACACTATTATAACAAATGAAATGGTTTTTTAAAAAGATTTTAAAGAGTTTTTTAAAAAAAAATTATGTGTATCGGGGACACTGTTAGCATCACTTTTCCATCCATCATCTGAAGTGTTTGATGATGTCACTTTTCGCCATTGGCCTTATGTGATACAGAAGGTTTTTGATAAATAGTTGAAGATAAGACATTATATTTTGATTTTAGAAGGCAATACTTGTAGATGAATTGAGCAAACATGAAGACAACTATATCAAATCAAAGGACATGTATATTGTACAGAAAGGAATACATTTTTCCACACTTACATGTTCTCTCAGTCTTTCTTGTAAAGCATTAATCTGAGTTTCACGATTCTCTTTATTAGCTTCCATGGCTTTCCTCAACTTCTTCTCAGTTTCTTCTGAAAACAGTTTACTTTCTTCTTGAGCTTTAGCAACAATTTCTTGTGCCTTTGCTCTATCTTTAGCAAGCTGTTCTAATCTCTGTTGCTCTAATGACTAAAATAATAAACTTGAAAAAATAAATTTGAAAATACAAAGCTAACAAAGGTATTGTTTGAATATCATTTCATGATGGGAATATTCAAAGAGATTTCAGTCTCATTTCTTCTGTGTTATCTTCAGACAAGTGGGAGTACATACCATAAATTTTCAAGTGGTATTTGCTCTCATATCTGTACTTTTGAGATAACATAAGATTGTAGTGAAATCAGATCCACACTGATCAGAAATTATACTGGGTAAATCATTTCAACTTAGATTTACTAACCTGTCTCCTCTCTTCAGCTTTCTTTAATTTATTGAGAATATCAGCTTCAGATATAGCCTTTTCTTTAGGTGGTGAAATTGGTTTGACAGGTACTTCAGTGGCAGTAGCTGGCTTCAATATCACTTCATAAGCCAAACCCCCAACCTTTTCTTTAGCTCCTTCTGTTTAAATAAAGTACAAAATATTTTTAATTGTTTTTTTCAAAATCGATACCTTTTATTTCTTATTATCAATTGTCAAACTTTAAGCATCAGGGTTTTTAAGGTTACATGTTTTTTTTTCATACTTTATCTATCCCCAGGAAGCATTTTCATTACATTAATAACTACTTCTTAGATTTTTAACAGTAGTACTGACATCACTTCCTGTTTTAACTACATTCCTTTTCATTTCCAGTGCCAGTAGGAAAAACTAATACAGTTTGTTATCAGACAACAGATAAACTGGATAAATTATTGACAATGAAATTGAAAGAGATGAAATTATAGTGAAGACTATAGTATAGAAAGAGAATTAATTGGTAATGGGGGTAGAGTGGTATTATCCATGCATAAAATGTTACAACTAATATACACCCAGAAATTGGTAAAAAAAGAAAAGAAAAGATATATTACTGTAAGGACAAAAATATCAGTGTTCAAACACAAATTTTACAATCAATAGCTGTCAAATGGATTGAATAGTCTTACAATTGTTGTTTCTTTTTCTTACAAAATTCTACTGGACTTTAAGGCAATAAAAAGAAGCAGTAGAACTGCAAGTATATTGACTACATGGCACTGCCAGAGTTTTAACTTTAATCAGTATTTTCATAAGTAAATCTAGTTCTATTACCAAGATTATCTAACCTCTTGAATGATATTTCCTAATTAATACTACATTATGGTAATCAATCTCAGCATTTATTAGCGCAAAAAATAGTTGTGAACTACAAAAATATCACTGCAAATGGTGAAGCAGTACAATTTCCAATCTTCAATAAATCTCTTAGTTGTTATCTTGTGATAACTAGACTAGAAATGTCATAATGACCAGTCTATTGTCACTTTGACACAGCAATGACCAACAGATACATTCCAACACATCAAGTAGGCAGTTTTAATTACATTTATTCTTAGGAAATTCTAATTTAGAAAAACTTAATAAGGAGGAACAAATGAAATCTGTTTATAGGTAACATTTCTATTATATAAACTCAAAAGGTGATCATATATCAGAAATTAAGGATGATATCAACATCAACAAAATAATCACACAAAACCACAACACTATAACAAATAGTCAAGTCTGCTGGGTGTTAAACTGCAAACTAGATTTTTACTTTTAAATATAGGCAAATCCTTTTTATATATGATTAGCAAAATTTTATGACATGACCTAAAAGGCTACATTAGTGTAATTTTAAAATGATTTCTATGTTTGCATTCAGAGTTAACACCCAGCCAAACCATTGTATGACATACTACCTTTTCCCTTCCATAATATAACAGCATCAAATGCACCCCTATTAGGATGTACTTGATGATAAATAGGCTTCTTTGTGGATTCCCGAAGGCATAAAAAAACACTTAACCAGTTACAAACTGATTAAGTACAAAAATGTATATTAAAAAAGTGATACTTTTGCTTACTTATCTAGGTAATTTCCTTCAAACACATTTTGTACTAAGTGGCTATATTAAAAATAGAAGCTTATAAAAATGGAACAGGTATAAGCTTTAAGTTGGCATATTTCTTAATCAACTATCAATCTATTTTTATCTATTCATTGTTTGAAGTTTGATGTCTGGTACGTCAATAATTAAACAGGAAATGACTGCAGGCTCTAGCCATTGACATTTCTCCCATGCGATAACTACCAATATAGTCATTAGGTTACATATCTGTATGGGAAATTAAAAAACACTGTTGAATGTGTAATGCATTAAAAGAGATATCAGATTTTCGTTGTGAAATATAATACCGATAGTTCAAATGGAACTTGTTCAGCTGATAGCTTGCTAAGACACTGAGGTTAGTTATGATTCGGAATTGTCTAATTCGGTATATTTTGCTCTTCAAGGAATGGTACCAATATAAGCTAATTCCCAGTCGACCTAGATATAGTACCAAATATTCATACTTGAAGGCAAAGATCAATAATCACTTCCAGCATATTGGACAAGACTAACATTTACAAGAATTATATTTTTAGAATAAGCTTACTGATGTTTTTGTATGAGTCATGGTTTATAACAAAATCAATAATGCACTCTAGTCTCTGATTATCATTTCATTACATACAGTTATATTATTTTACTAGAAAATTGCAGGAAATTTATTGAAACTAAGAGTAATTTAAAAAAAGACAATTTTTAAAAGACAAAGTTTCTGGGATGGTTACGCTAATTAATCATTAATTAAAACTAAAGGTTCCAAAAGGTCTGTTTATAGAGACTAGTATTGATTATATTACAATAGATCAAGTTTCAATCCAGCAAATTGTCCAAATCAATAATGCATCAATCATTTCAATCAAATATCAGAAAATTGATGTAAAAATTAATCAATTATATGTCAAAAAAGACACCAAAAAATGAAATTTTTTTTTTGTGACAATTAATATAATATAAAAGATAGCTTGCCAGGCAAGGTGTAACATAAGCCCACTACCACCTGTTGACAAATCCTCAAAATCAGTTACATCATTTGAATTATCATCAAATTAAACCATGAACAGGGTCTCATCGACGTTCACACAACAGCAATAACTCTGAAACCGTTCATGCGCTTATTACCTATTTCAAACTAAACTGAGATCGCATCAGTATCTACATGCACACAAAATTTAATCAAGATCGGATAAAAACTGTAGTCCATATCGTGCCTACAAGCCAAATTTGACAAGTTGTAACAAAGTCAAGGGCAATAACTCTGGAATCGCTCATATGTATACTTAGTTTCATCAAGATCAGATAAATGTAGCCTTTATCGAGCATACAAGCCAAATTTAACATGTTTTAACTAATTCAAGGGCAGTAAACCGTTTATCCAATTATTACCAATTTTGAACTCGACTGAGATCTCATCATTATATACATGCATACTAAGTTATATCATGATCGGATAAAAATGGTAGACCTTCTCGTGTATACAAGCCAAATTTAAAGTGTTTTTACACAGTCAAGGGCAATAACTCTGAAACCATTCATCCGATTATTACCAATTTCGAACTTGACTGAGACCTCATCAATTTAAACATGCATACCAAGTTTCATCGAGATCTGATAAAAGCTGTAGCCACTATCGTGCACACAAGAAATGTGGAAGGACAAATGGACAGGGGCGATAGCAATATAGTCCAAATTTCTAAATGTGGGCGTATAAAAAGTGACTTTAATAAATAGAGGCCTATATGTGAGCTTACATGATAAAATGAATTTAAGCTTTTTTTTTTTCAACTTGATTTATTAGGCTTTAAAAAATAAAGCAAAATTAATTGTTACTAAATACTCTAAACATCTGAAATTATTAATAATTTGGACCTTAAAATATTGGAATCAAATTATGAGAAATAGCCTAATAATACATACCTTGAGACATGGCAATGCTTTCTTTTGAACCAAACTTCCAGGCAATAACTGGTGAAGAATATCTGAAATTGAAATTAAAATTTACAATTTCTGAACAAAAAAACCAAGGAAGATAAAACAGTCTTTTGATTCATAGAACGTTCCATATTCCCAGAAAAAAAGATGATCCACCTATCAATATATACATCCAGACTTTACCTGAATTGCTAAATCTTCTTTTTCACCATTTGGAAACAGATGGATCCCAAAATTGCAGGTACCATCCGTAAAGTTAGACAATGAATTGTCGTCAGTAGACAGAGATAATGAGTCTGTTCAATAGAATGACTCAATCTACACTCATTATAATAATTCATTACAGACATCCTCAAACAATCGATTACCGGTACCACCGCTAGTTTGAATCTTCTCAGACTCAAAGATCAATATTCTTTCTAATTGCTATAATTACCTTGCATATATATAGAATGAACCTGTGCTCAGTTGAACCCTAAACAACTAATACTAATGAGAAACATGCCCCTTTTAGGAAATGGTAAATTCCTCCATATCCTATATGAGGGGGTGAAGGTTCTAGGAAATTTATGCTTGGGTTAGTCCACTGTTACATAAGTGGAAAGAAGTTGAGATGATAGAGAGACATAGAGCAGCAATTGTAGGAATATTGATTTTGTTATCCAATAGCTGCCTGTATTTTGGAATATTACCAAGATCGAGCACTCTGTTAGTAATACATCTAGACATGTCTGATATCTACATCTTGTAATCACCTATATGACACTCAACTATCAGCACCTAGGTCATTCAAATTTCATTTAATCAATACATTTTCTCTAGACTATTAGTTACAAATTACAAGTCAACATACTCTAGGTCTAAGAGTACAGAATCTGTGCTACCAGGCATAAGATCATATTATATCTAGTGAGACAGACAATGATCACTCTAAACTCCTGATCCCACACTGTGGACTGCAACTAAGCATTCCTTTCAAGAGTCAACAAAGTTAATATGTTATTTTGAATATATCTAAAACATAACATTTACTGGAAGAACAGGCACATTATCTTGTTTCTGGCTGTATACAATATACATTACTTTCATCATAAATTGCTAGTACAAATCTCATAAATAATTGCAAATAATGCATTCAATGAAAAGTGAAAAGCCAAAGAAGAAATTGCCAGAAAAGATCACAGCAAAGACAATTACTTGTTGGCTATACTATCATCTCAACACAAACCTCATGATAATGCAAAGGCAAAATGTCCTGCATTGCACACTGCTTCGGGTTGCATGTCTTCATAGTCCAATAAGGTGCAAAAATCGAAATACTTGTGGAAATTTGCAAAAAGTTGGAAATAATAACATTTTTTCAAACAACTTTAAATAGCAATAATAAGTCTCAGTTAATTTTTTGTAAATTTTGAAAATATTTCAAATAAGTCTTACCCAACTTCCATTTTGCAAATTTTAAGTAATAAATCTCCTTAGCAATATACTTTTCACTTTTACAAATTTCAGCAAGTAGAAATTACAAAGTTCTCTAAATTTCATCCTTATTTATAAGAAATCAAATCAAACTTTGTTAGCCTAAGGCATTGGAATAACAAGTTCAAAAATCTGAATTTGATTGGCCCATTCAAAATTGGGATTTAAATGTACGTTTACTCATAAGCTAAATGAAAGTAGCTTGATATATAAACAGGCTTGACATTTGTACTATAATTACTAGTATTTACAATTAGTCCAGCCTATACAGTTTTTATTTACTCTTTTTGATGTGTTAGAAATAGAAACATTCTTTCATTCAATCTCAGGTTTATAACGTCACTATCTGTATCTTCTTGGCATTTTTATTAGAAAGTGATTCATTTCTTTTAAATATGGCAGTTAAGGTTTAAATTTCATTGTTTTGTAATTTAAATTTATTGTATTGGAACAGATGAATTATGGGAAAGTAAGCCTAAAATATAAACCTGTGAAAAGTATTTATCAATATTTGATATATGCAATCCAATCAAAATCTTATCAAAGCTGTGCTAATCACATTATAGCTTGACACATTTCAGCTGGGACATGGACAATGACTAAAAAAGTGTTCATTTAAAAATAAACCAGATAAAAGCCATCAAAAGCGGCCAACAAAATTTTAATTTTGCTGTTCAATGATGTGGAGACCAATCCTGGTCCACCTAAGACTAGACAGACCACCCTTGATGGAGAAGTTAGCATGCTAGAAGTTCTGAAAGAAATCAAAGACATGAGGTCAGAAGTAAACCAAAACCTGGATAAGCTAAACCATAAGATTGAAAACGTAGAGCGGGAGATGCGTTTAATAATGGAAGAAAATGTCGAACTGAAAAACTGTGTTAAGAGGTTGGAGTCCAAAGTAGAAATGTTAGACAGAGCAGCAAGACGCAACAATATTATTTTACATAATGTGGTGTATTCTTCGGATGATACAGAAAACACAGTAAGAGACATATTTAGATCAAACCTAAATATAGACGAAGGTATTGACATTCAGCATGTTCACAGGATGCCATCAGCAAAGACGACCATCCTGGTAACCCTTGGTAAACCAACACAACGTATAAGAATTCTACAATCAGCAAAACATTTGAAAGGCAGTAACATATCTATTTCTGAAGATTTCACTGAACAGACGAGAGCCGTAAGGAAAAAGCCCGTTCCACATCTAAAGAGAGCAAAAGGAGATGGAAAGTTTAGTGTAATGAAATTTGACAAACTGCAGATAGAAACTGAAATCTTCCGTCTAGATGAAGCGGCCGATAAACTGGTTAAAGTCAGAACACTTAAACCGCGTACTGGAACCAACCAGAAAGAAAATACAAACCAATAGCTACCAGGCCAGGGCCCATTAGAAATTCCTCAAAAACGGCTTTCGATTTTGGTATGGAACGTTGATGGGCTCAATAGACAGTGTAATAGGTATGGGTTTAAAGATCTGGTAAACGAACATGATATTATATTTTGTGTAGAAACTTGGATGTGTGATAACGATGATATTGTCTTCCCAGGATACATCCAACTCAGGAAAACCAGACAAAAGTTAAAGGGGGCATTCCGCAACTCTGGTGGTATTCTTGCTCTTGTCAGCACGGAGATCTCCAACCGTATTACAACGCACCAAAGTGTCTCTAGAAACATTCTATGGTTAATTTTACGCTTAGAAAACATTGTACTAACTCTTGGCGTTGTCTATTTTTCCCCACCTAACTCCTCTATTTACTCTGAAGAACCCATTTTCAGCATACTAGAAGATGAATGCTGCCAACTTCGATCGATATATCCAAATAACCACCTAATAATTCAAGGTGACCTGAATGCAAGAACTGGTAATGGCCACTCAAAAGATATAGAGAACGATGATCCTAAATACTTACCAATTGACGATGACTTTGAGTACGATGTTGACTGGGATATTCCCAGGGTATCACAAGATCCAATTATCAACAGCCGTGGTAAACAGCTACTGGATTTTTGCAAGGTAAATGGTTTTCGAATATGTAATGGAAGACTCCACTCAGATAAAGACAAAGGGAAAATCACTTGCCTTGCAAACAATGGACAAAGTGTTGTTGATTACGTACTCTGTGGCAGTGAAACTATTTAGCAATTTTGACATACTACCCGAAATAGAACATACACATATGCCGATTTCGTACCAACTCACACTAAAGGTAGATCGAAATATAAATGACTCTGAATTTAATGCCAACAAACCAAAACTAATTTGGAACGTAAACAAATGTGAAGAATATGTCCAAAATTGGGAATCCGTTAGAACAATATCAGACAGTATTCTGATGTTCAGGCTGCGTATACAGAATTCGTTAACATTTTACAAACAACCAGCAAATGTTTCAATTTAAGACTACCAAGTGCCAACAAACCGAAACTTGATTGGTTTGACTCGGACTGTCAAGAAGCAAGATCAGAAGTAAGGAAACATCTTCGCAGGTTTCATATCTCTAACTCAGTGGCGGACAGGGAACTGTACTCTTACTCGTGTACATATTATAAATCACTGTGTAAGGACAGGTCAGAGAAGGCATTTTATGCCTTTTGCAGCTCCCTGGAAGAAACATTAAGAGCACATGATGGGAAACGGTTCTGGAGAGCTATTAAACCAAAAACAATCGTAAACAAAAACTCAGTATCGGCAACAGATTGGACACACCATTTTATACAGCACTTCAGTGGCGTAGATATATCACCCGAATTTAAACAATTTCACGATGAAATAGAAAACTTTGTACTCTATTAACATTGATGAGAATCTCGAAACTTTCGAGGATGATTCACTAAATAATGAAATTAGCCTCGGGGAAATAAATAATGCAATATCCGAAATCCAAAATGGCAAGGCGCCAGGATACGACGGGGTACCTATTGAACTATTTAAAAATGCACCTCAAATCTGCATGGATATTCTCCACTTTCTTTTTAACTGTATACTGAAAACCGGTGTGTATCCCACAGAGTGGACTATGGGAGTGATCGTGCCAATTTTCAAAAAGGGCAACTTAAATGACCCTGCAAACTACCGCCCTGTAACCCTTTTAGAAGTGTCTGGGAAAATATTTGCAATAATTATCTGTGAACAACTAACAGACTGGTCTAAATCGGAAGAAACTTTAGTAAATGAACAAGCAGGATTCAGGTCTAGGTTCCAAACAATAGATAATATATTTATTTTAGATACAATTTTGAACAAAATAGTGAATTTATGCAGAGGTCGACTTTATTGTGGTCTTATTGATCTCAAAGCTGCTTTCGATTCAATTTGCAGAAAAAGTCTGCTTTATAAGTTGTGGGATGGGAACGTTAGGGGCAATATATTCAGATTAGTGAAGAATATGTATGAAAATGTTAAGGCTTGTGTAAGAGCTCACCAGGGCACTACTAACTTTTTCCAAGCAGAATTTGGTGTCCCGCAAGGTTGTCAGCTCTCGCCATTCCTGTTTTCTTTCTTTATAAACGATATAGTGTCCGAATTGAGCAAAGACAACCAGAGATGTATTACTATTAACGAATTACAATTGTTTATATTGCTCTTTGCTGATGATATCATACTCTTCGACAGTACTGTGAAAGGTTTGCAACAGAGACTCGACAAGTTAGTCATATACTGCAAAAAATGGAAACTAAAAGTCAATAGTAACAAAAGTAAGGTTATAGTATTTAGGAAAGGGGGCACCCTTAGAAGGTATGAGAAATTCGATCTTGATGAAACCGTCTTGGAAATAGTACCATCGTATAAATATCTGGGTATCCAAGTTTCATCCTCAACATCTTGGTACCAAGCTCAAAAAATGCTATCTCAGCAAGCTGAAAAAGCTATTCGGATCATAAGATCACAAATCTCAAACTTTCATAGATTGCCAATATGAACGCAAACTCATATTTTGATGCCAAAATTAGGCCAATACTGCAATATGGCAGCGAAGTATGGGGCTTTCACCCATCACCTGACATTCAAAGAGTACAAGATAAATTTTTTAAGGCAGTACTCAGGTTAGGGAAGACAGCTCCAAACATTGCCGTCAGGGGTGAACTTGGCCTTCATTCAATGAGTGTTAACCTATATTGTAAAATTATTAAATATTGGATTAGATTAATTAGCCAACAAGAAAACAGAATTCTTGTTGATGTGTATCAATATCAATATTATCTTGCTGAAAACAATATCGACTGCTGGGCATTGAAAGTAAAACAGCTTTTGAATAAGTATGGTTTTGGTGAGATATGGTTGAAGCAAGCAGCAGACAAGTCATTCTTACATATTTTCAAACAACGATGTATAGATGTTGATAGCCAACAATGGCACTCTATATTAGAAACAACCTCTAAATTAGATTTTTATCACAGTTTTAAACTATATCCAAATAATGAGATGTATGTTAGTATTAGTATTAATCAATTTCGCACTGCATTATGCAAATTGAGGTGTTCAAACCACAACTTACTGATAGAAGAGGGACGAAAACTCGGACTAACTAGAGGTGAAAGACTATGCCCTTTGTGCATCAGACCACATATTGAAACGGAGTACCATTTTGTTTTAATTTGTGCATTTTACCATGATCTAAGGGAAAAACTAATTCCCAAATATTATTATGAATACCCATCCCATCAAAAACTAACCATGCTTATGTCCTCCCAAAATACTGCCATCCTGAATAATTTAGCAAAATATACCTTTTTATCTTTCAAAAAGAGAAAGTTATTTTTTACTAACAAAGGCTAAATTAGTCCAGTTACTATATTATGTAAATGTTTTTGATTTGTATAATGGTCCTGTGGCCTCTTTATTATTGAATAAAACTATCACTATGTTAAAATCATTGCAAAAATTCCTAATTTCATGGGTTATTTTTGCATCATAGAAGCATATATCATTTTTTTGATTGGTTATTGTAGATTATTGTGGGTAATAAATGGCTGAAGGATATCTGTGCAGTGTCCAGGACAGAAAAAATTCAATTTTCAAGGGTGTATTTCCCGAGTTGTATAATACAGTCAAAATCAACTACCTAAGATTGTGGATAAGTGTCTTTGCTAATGAAATAATAGAAGACTATAATGCCAAAGCCAGGAAAAAGCAAAACACCTTACACAAAATAACACCAATAATTTTAAAGTTCATGGAGTAATAATGGGCTAGTGCAGTCAATGAGTTACTTTTCCTTGAAGTAGCCCTGTAAGTGTAATTCATGTCTTGCCTTATAACATAGATTATCTAAGCTAAACAGTAGCTACTGTAACTATTTATCAGTCTAGTAAAGTAAGAGAGAAGTAAGATTAGGACTGTTGCCCTTGGACTCTAGTCTAAGGTACAGAGTGGACTGTCTGTAGTTTTGCCTTAGTAACTTGTCCTGTTGGTTGGTTGAAGGTTCGTGTATAAGGAGTGATGGACTGGTGCCAGTGGTGAATCACAATCAATTCAAAGGGACAAAGCTACTGCCAGTCATTTTGTCAATAGCCATGCAGTCACTTGAATCTGGTTGGAGGAGTCGCTTTTCATTAAATTGGTTTTATCCAGTATCCCTTCATTCATATGTCTTGATTATTAGCTAGACAGTAGCTACTGTAACTGTTATGTTTAACAGTCTAGAAAGTGTAGGAATAAGAGGACCCGCTTGTGTTGAACTTGGTTAGGCTACAGCCAGTGTGTACCGAGCGTCTATTTCAGTTTGAAGTTTTGCCTTTGTAACTGAAGAAAGTTGATGAAAATTGGCGTTGGGCTTGGTTTAAAGTTCGTGAATTTCTCAAGAGTCCATATCTATCTTGATAATTTTTATAAATAAACATGAGGGAGGCGGCATTCCATGGGGATACTTACTACTATAGTTAGATTTTGCTTTCTTTTTTGAAACAAAAATATTAAGTTTCGCCAATTCTGTACTCCGCGCTCTTTGCTGGCAATTTGGAGAACAAGAGATTCGATTGGTTATCTTAACGGAAGTGAGGATATGGAATAATTCATTTTGTTATAGAAGGGTTGTTGGATATTATCTAGAATATAATTTCTCTTAAAGCACTGCACTACGTGAAGATTCAACCTTCCAAGTTCCATTTTGGTGAAAAATCAAATCTCTTTTTATCAATACTACACAAATCTCACTTTTTAATCCGAATTCAAACGACTTACAAAATCAATTACCCCCACCTCCCAATCTTACTTTAGGTTAATTAAGATGAAAATGTTTATTTCAATCGGCGAAGAAATCGTGAATTAAATTCCCTATTATTGTAAGTTATGGGGTAAGGTTTAGTGTCAACTCTTCTTGAAAAGTCAAATGACTTTAGGATAACATATTTAATGTTGTAGAAATAATGAAGGCATTCAAATGAATTCACTGAATTAAAGTAAGGGCAAAAGCCTAAACTCTTAATAATAATAAAGAATATGATGGGGTGGGGAAAATTGCCATAGCCAATCAAAGCCGAACAAAGTCAACAACAAGGGCTTGCATCAATTGTTTATTCATATAGGTTGGACTTTCGTGCTATACCTCGTTTATAATGATTACCCATGTACCTTAATGTCTGGGTCATTGTAGGTGAACAAGGTAGAGATGTCCAGATCAGTAGTAGATGTAGTAGAACTTGTAATATAAAGCCAAAGGATCATAGGGATTGTAATGAGGTTTTTTTTTTAACTTTTTATGTGTAAAGGGGACACTTATAGAATCGTTTTGAAGCAATCCAATTTTCTATCAGATTTTTGTGATCCTTGCGTAGTTTTTTATGACTTGCAAGAACCATAAATGTCTGAACGAATTTCACGAAAGTGCAAATCGATTCAATCAAGTGTTCCTGATACACATGAAAAGTTTCTAAAACCTCTCTACTTAAAAAACCTCTTAAAAAAGCCTAATAATAGAATGAGCTTATTACTTTTTACCTGAAAAGGCCACCCACAACACCCCCCCACCTCAGATTGGGTATCATTGGGTAGTCTAAAGCAAGACATTATTTTCTTTACAGAATTTCTCATCCCTTTATTTATAAAAGTCCTCATTGATAAAAATATCTGAGTAATTTGAGATTATATATTTCTAGGTGAAAAGTTTCTACAGATATCAAAATGCCTCTGTTAAAAGTTGGGGGGATCGACATTAACTTTCCGTTTACTCCCTACCCATGTCAGTTAGATTACATGAAAAAAATGGTGGAATGCTTACAAACGGTAGGTGTATTTCTTTCAGGGCAGGGTAGAGCCTAGGGTCTAGTTTTTGTATGAAACCATTTATTGCTTCACTACAGCTTTCTGTCAGATGTCTGTGGTTCCTATAGTGCCATCACTATTGCAAAGGCTGCTAATAATATCTGTTAGAGTCATATTTTGTCATGAAATGTTCAGTTTTAATTCACTTTCAAGAACCACAGATGTATGGCTGTATGACTGAAAACAAGAATTGTGCAAATCAAATTGTCCCTGATATGTATAAAAAGTTAGTAAGATAATTACGTTTTATTTAAACTTTGATTCTTGTTAAATCTACCTTATAAATATAAATATTGTAGGGAGTAAATGGTATATTAGAAAGTCCAACTGGTACTGGTAAAACATTATGTTTATTATGTTCATCATTAGCTTGGTTACAGAACCAAAAAGCTCATGTTCAGATGAATAAAGAACAGGGTTTAGTTCCATTGATAAATGATAAAGAAAATATAACTGATAATTTTATGAAGAAATTGGCAGATAGTCTTCAACAATCAGCTGGTTCTAGTTGGGGTAGTTCAGATTTTGGTAAATATGAGTTTTATTTTTAAGCTCATATAAATAGTCTTCATTACTGGACAACAGACCTATTTAGACAATTTAAATATTTCACATGTGCTAAACTTTTATTTGTATCAGAATGCTTTGTACAGATAGGGAATAGAAATGCAGACTTTCTTATTAGCTATATAAATTTTTATATGCCCACAGGAAATTTCTTGTAAACACTCTACAAGTCACAATTCTTTACCGATTTTGACGAAACATGCTGAAATTGTTTATTATCACCCAGGGATGAACCCTATTGAAAATCGATAATATCAAGAAATATTTAATATGAGTTATTGCCCTTGTTCTTCAAAACGTGTTCGATTTTTAGCCCATAAACTCTCTACAAGTCACAATTCTTTACTGATTTTGACAAAACTTGCTGAAATTGTTTATTACCACCGAGGGATGAACCCTATCGAAAATAGATAAAATCGAAAAATATTTAATATGAGTTATTGTCCTTGTTCTTCAAAACGCGTTCGATTTCTTAGCTCGTAAACACTCTACAAGTCACAATTCTTTACGGATTTTGACGAAACTTGCTGAAATTGTTTATTATCACCCAAGGATGAACCCTATCAAGAATTGTCCCTTCTAGAGTTTTCACGAGCTAAAAATTGAACATGTTTTCAAGAACAAGGGCAATAACTCATACTCAATATTATTCAGTATAGCCCTAAAGAGTTCAAAAGAAGTGTATGACTGAAGGTTGAATATTTCATACTGGTGATTGTTACTGTACTGCTAAATATTTATGTTCAAAATCAAAGCTGCCAGTGGGCGTATATTACCGTGCCTGGCAAGCTATCTTATTTTTTTGGAAACTGTTAATATTGAAATATTGAAAGGGATACTGCCATTTAAAAATGTACTTTCTTTACGTTACTTAAATTACAGATAGTCCTCTGAAAAGATGTTTTTATATATATACTTTCATTATGGTGACATAGTCAAATGGGTCTGGAAAATTAAGATTTTTTCCCAGCTTGTTATTCTGAATTCTATTATTTTATAATTCCATTTTTTTTATAGCTGTTCCTAAAATTATCTATGCATCAAGAACACATTCTCAGCTGTCACAAGCTGTACAAGAATTAAAGAGAACTAGCTATAATAAGTAAGTCATTTAGGGTAATTGTTATAGTCAAATCGGGTAATGGACAAGGTGTCATACAACCAAAAACATAAAAGCGGTAACAAACAATTGAGCTATTCCTTTGACGAAATGGCATAAGCTTACTTTATCCTGTGCTGTAAATAAGGCAGCACTTAGTATGCATTTGAAATTTACAGTTCTTGGTCTGATATACATAATTGTCATTATTAGGATTGCCTCATGAAATGAATTTTTTTTCAGTATGAAAGCAGCTGTTATAGGATCTAGAGAACAGTTATGTATCAATGAAACAGTGAAAAAAGAAGTTAATAATGCTGCCAAGGTGAGTTATCTCTTGAGCTTGGCTTTGATATTTTTATCAAGCAATCTTGTGTATATGAGAAATGAAATTGACTTTAACATTCTTCTTATCTGAACTTCATTGAACACACGAAGACTTAACAACCTGAAGTCTACAATAAGAAAAATTTTGCTAGTGGCATTACAGCTTTCTTTTCAAATTCCAACTTTTAAGGTGTCTATAATGGGCACTGGGTTCCAGTTTATTTTCAAATCCAACGACTAACTGCCTTGTCTTTTTCATCTCTGTCATCTTTGAAGATGTTTTTTGTTTCAAGGTACATATGTGTAGAGCTAAAGTCTCAGCAAGAAAATGTCATTATTATAATACATTAGAAGGTACAAATATTGTTTTCTTAAAATTGATACAAAGATCAGATACTGTCCTTAAAGTAGGATCAAGAATATGTGCTCTATGGGATAACAGTTGGGGTTGTTTGTTTTCAACCGAGTACTTAGCATTGTCATTGAACATAGTAATTATTTTTTTCTATTTCAACATAAAAAGAGAGATCTGATATATTTAGCTAACTGATGTCACATTAACGTTTCCAAAGAGAGCTTTCACCTTTCGATTTTGTCTATATTGTAGATTTAAAGAAGAATTCTGAAGTAAGAAGTATAGTAGGAGATGTAGTTGATATAGAAGATTTAGTAAGACGTGGTGAAAAATCAAAGTATGTGTTTACTTTGTTCATCAAAAGATTGTTCAAAAGAAAATTTTATTTATCAAGCTTTTTAGGTCGTGGAAAGCAAATTTGGTCTCCCCATTTTTTCTACCTGAAATTGTATGTAGGCTGTTGTAATCTACGTAATTTTTTTTCAGGGTATGTCCATACTATCTTGCCAGAGAATTAAAAACTGATGCTGATATAATATTCATGCCATATAATTACTTACTTGATCCAAAGGTACGTTATTTCTATTTTAACGCATCAAAGGTAGCAAGATTAAAAGGATCAAACTTCAGATGAGATGTTATATTTATCGTAAAAATTAGAAATTGACATAAACTTAAGTACAGCAATGTCAAGACACATTTACATTGGCAAACGTTGGTTCACACACATTTACTGTGATGCCCGGCTCAAGGCTCTGTTTGCTCCAAATTGCAGATTCCATGACACCATCACCACATTTTCTTACATTTGCACATAGCATGGTGTTGCTTATAATCATAGTCCCTCAGAGCATAAAGAAATATATTTTATTTTATGTTTATAGTCTAGAAGAGCAAATGGTGTAGAGTTACAAGGAAATATTATTATTTTTGATGAAGCTCATAATCTTGTAAGTTGAAATATTATCTTATGTTTTGAAGAATATTTATTCAAATACTGTATTCTCTAGGAAACATTTTTCAAACTGCTTGCTGCTCAATGGAAAGGAAATTTCTGGAAGTGGCTGAGCACCCAGAATTAAGATAGAATAATAGTGTTAATAATGAAGATAACATATGAATATTATTGACTATTTGACTTTGAATACATAATCTATGTGAAATGTCCATCAAAACAAGGAAGCAACTAAAACAAACATTTGACTAATGGAAATGGAAAATGTGTTACAGAGTAAGCCAAAAACCATTGACATAATATATGTTCAATGGAACTTCCAAGAAAGGATGATTTTTTACAGCTATCTTTCACATACATTAAATTCATAAAAAATTCTTGACCGCTTTCATTTTAGACTGTCGTTCAGTATATCACTGTTTTCTATTTATGTAGGAAAAGATTTGTGAAGACAGTGCTTCTTTTGATTTAAGTTCAGTAGATATAGCTACAGCTATGGAAGAAGTTACTAAATTAATGGAGAAGTTGGTAGATTTGGCGGCAATGGAAGATCAAACAATAGGTGGTGATGATGATGTTACATTAGGTAATGATTACAGTCTTGTCTCTGGTGTATACAGGGGCCACTGCAACTCCGTGAATTAGATTTTTGCCAACAAATTTGAAGATCCAGGGTTTGATCTTGGCATACATGGAATTTTGACCCAATGTTAGTAATGCAGAGACTGACATAGAAAAACTGTCTAATAAATTGCATGGAACAAAGGTGTCTTGACAGTTGGAAAGAAAAGTAGAATATAAAACTCCATTTCAATTAATTCCATTCCATTCCATTGTGTTTTGTCTAGAAAGACTATTTGCTTGTGTATAATATATATTAAACATATCTTCCTATTATAGCTCCTGAATTTACTCTTGAAGAGTTGCTCAAATTAAAAGGTAGATATATTATACTTAAGGAAAACCTGAACATTTTTCAGTTAATCAATGTATAAACAGAAAAAAAACCTGTTTGCACTTATTTACAGTCTACTGTATACTGCCTGAAAGTTGACGGGCCACATTGAAAGAAGAGTTCGAAATAAGTCCAGAATTCATGATATTGTTGGAATTTGGAGTGTGTACATTCGATGGTATTTGGAAAATACTGTTATCATTCAGTGTTGATTTTGGCTGACGCAGTGTAGTGGCCACGTCAATCAAACTCAGTGATAAAAGTAGTCCGTTAAGGGACGGAGCGTTTATTTACATTCTGTTTACACAGATATAAACATAATGCATGTGACTGCTGTTATCCAATCAAATTGTGTGATACCGTGTAAACGGAATCGTGATTTAATTATTCCCTTGTAACAAACAAAAATTGTACAGTATGGCTAGTTGCATTATATATATTTCTTATACTGCATTAATTTTGTATTACATAGAGTATTTGTCTTAGTGCTACTGCACCCATCTAATTAGCCATGGTTTTTTCAGGAACATTGAAAGATTTTGAAGAAAATTTAGATGCAGTAACAATACCTAAAGATGGTTTAACTAAACCAGGCTCGTATGTTCTTATTCTCAATTTTTTCTTTTAATTAAATTTTGTCTCTGTATTTGGCTTGTAAACATGATAAGGGCTATAATTTTTAGCCTTAATGAAAATTGGTATACATGTATTTATTGATGAGATCTCGATAGCTCGTTTGAGTGAACGGTTCTCGAGTTATAGAGACATAGTCAAAACGTATCAAATTTGCTTGTAAACACAATAGAGGCTACAGTTTAAATCCGGTTTTGATGAAACTTGGTATGCATGTAAATATAAGATCTTGATCAAGTTCGAATTTGGCTCATTTTGAACGAACTGTTTTTTAGTTATTGCCCTTGACTTAGTAGAAACACCAAATTCTTGTAAACATGATGAGAGACCTTGTTCATGTGAATTTGATGATTACTTATTATATATCTTTGAAAATTGTAAAAGTGTGATAATTCAATGTTTCTGGGTTATTGCTATTGATTTAAAAGATTTGTGGAAAAACTCTGCATAACTGACCCTAAATTGATTAGATATTCAAAGTTTTTGAACTACAAATGCATTATGAAGATTTTCAAGATGAAAAATTTTGTATTACTATGAAGATCTTTAATATATTTTTGGTCAATAAAGATTTAGTTATCATCTCTGACAGCTGCCAGTGGGCGTATGTTTCCTTGCCTGGCAAGCTATCTTTTTATATATTAGGTATATATTTGAACTATTGGCTGGTGTTGGTATAACGTATGATAGTAAAAATATCATTATAGATTTACTCGAGAAAATAGTAGCCTATCTTACTAGTGGTGGTAAGTTTTATTTTCAGTTATCTGCATGATAAATTTAATAGTGATAAAATATGTTCATTGTTAAAATAGTGCTCAATACAATTGTAGAGTGATATAGTAATATTGCAACAGAACTTGTTACTCAGAGTTTTCCATCTTCAGGCAGGCAGCTTTTTATGGATACAAAAGTTTTAAGGAGCTTTTTCATTGTCAGCAATCCAGGCTAGCTAGCAGACGAACATGTAAATGTCAAAAGGTTGATTATAGTATTGTAATATAAGGCAATTTACTTTGCTGAAAGTTTTTAGAACTGTATATGGAAAGTTTTCCGATTTTTTCAGATTCTAGTAGTGGTTTACATACGAAGGGAGCTGGAATCTCAAAATATACTGATTCTCTCAAGGTAAGGCATATATATAATCTTTCTTTGGTTTTTAAATTTGTAACCTTTATAATTATTTTTAGAGATATTTAATATTATTGTATAATGTTGTACCCTTTGTTTTATAATCGTCCCTACAGTTTGGATTGTAATTCAATACTGTATAATTCTAAACATCTGAATTTGCTTGTAGACAAGAAAAGGATGAAAACCATCTGTAACAAGCTTTCTACTATTGAGCATAGACTTTAGGAAAAATAATACATGAGTATTTTTTTGTAGAAAGTTTTCAGTCAAGAAATTGGTAGTAATATGTCTATATTACAACATCAAGAGGCTGTCACACAGTCATTTAAGGTAAATTTAATATCTTTATCTCTTTAACCTTCTCTATCAACTACATAATTACCTGATATAATTCATAAGCTTTGAGTCAGAGTACTTGAATTCATTGTATACATATGAAATTCTTAATAATGTTTATTCAGTATATTTACTATCTAGTATCTAAATTTCTGGGTTGTTTTTAGGTACACATACATCAAAAAGAAAAGGAAAATAATAAGAAGAAAATTGATTCTTGGGCAACAAATGGGAATGCTGATAAAAAAGGTAAGAAGATAACATCTGACATTATCACTATATATTACTAAATGAAATTATCAACTAAAACTCACTTTTATTATGTTGTCATTTAATTGGTTTAACATTTATATAACATTTATAAAATCTTTGATAAAAAAGACCCTACTGTCTTTGCAATTCATCAGCAAAATCAAGATTAAATTGAATTATACAAAGTGGACTTGAATATCAGCTTCATAACACTAGGCTACTTCTACATCAAATAGAAATGTACTTTTAACCAATACAAATTTCCAATATTAATGCATGTGCTCATAATGTTATTTTTATATAAACACAAAGTCAGTACTATTTTATTGAAAATAATGGGTCAGATTTTATTTGATAACAAATGTGTGAAGACAGTAGATCTTATATTATTTTAATTATATTGGAAACCATTAATTTGTAATTGTAGAAAGGATACTAAGTTTTTGGTGTTTTAGTTCTGGACAGACTATGAAAGAATTAAAAGCTCATGGTGTTAAATCTATTATATTAACTAGTGGTACATTATCACCCATATCTTCTTTTACCATGGAAATGCAAATGTAAGTGCCAAGTGAAAGTGAAACATATATTGCTATGAAGGATGATATCATTTTTAAACATTATCAAAGCAAGTAAAAGACATATTGTTCTTTGAGTGCCATGAAAAGTTAGAATTGAGTTCTGCAGGATGATTAAGCAAATAATTTAGATGACTGACTTTATCACTTTCAGATGAAGTTTTTTCTTGTTATTTTGTAGACCATTTCCAGTAACATTAGAAAACCCACATGTTATAGAAGAACATCAAGTGTGTGTTTGTACATTAAAAGTTGGTCCTGATAGCTATAGGTTAAATTCTAGTTATAATCATAGGTATTAATATATTCTTAACATTGTATTGTTGTTAGCTATCATTAATAGTTATGTTGACTCTCTAAATGTTGACAAACCCAAGCTATAGACTGGCTGAAAGAATTCACGTTATCTTCCAGAGGTTATTTGTTGAGGTTTCTTGTCTGTCTCAAGTTAAAATGCCACAACCAGTTGTTTGAGTTGTTTGGTGACTCGGTCCTATAATGAATCAGATTATTGAATTTTTTTATATACCTGTAAAGATTTATTAAATTATTACCTACTTTCTCGTTTTGTTTTAGATTTGAGCCAAGATATTTAACATCACTTGGTAATGCTATAGGTTAGTAAAAGTTATTGTTTTAAGACAAGCAGATTTGAGTTCATGCTTATATTGATATTATACTCTTATTTCAAAGTTTCATATTGAAAAATGTTTTGGACAATGCAAGCAAACTTAAATAGTTTTGTGAGGAATATGTTCCTATTAAGTAGTCTTTGTTGTGTTTTTAACCTTTTTCTATGTGTACTGTCTTTCTTGAAGGAAAGCGATAAATTTTTGTTCATAATCTGATTATTTAACATGACATCTATTTAAATGTAAATATAATTGCAGTGAATTTTTCAAGAATAGTTCCAAATGGTTTATTAATATTCTTCCCATCCTATACAGTTATGGACAAATCTGTTGAATTTTGGCAGGTAACTATTTTTCTTGACAATCATTTTAATATGTCTGCTTTTTGTCTACTGGTTATTTATTATGATATAAATATGTGTATGATATCCCAGTATATCAGTGTAATCCAGTGTATCTCATTATATCAGGCAGTACCAGACAGACCTTTATTGCTCAAGTGATATACCAATGTACCCCATTTTTTAACAATGATACTTTAATGTACAAAGAACTGTGCTGAGCACTAAAGCAGTTTTGTGGTCGAAATGTATATTTGATAACAAACAATCTTATAGAGACATCTATAGAGACCTCTGAATGAAACATTTTAATTTTAGTTTGGTAATTATATTTCAGGGTAATAATATATGGGATAGAATTACACAATATAAACCTATCTTTGTTGAACCTACCAATAAAAGAGGGTTTGTTGAGGTCAGTGTCAACATAATGTCAGTTACTTTTTAAATGAAATGCCGTATTACATTCAATGTTTTAGCTGCAATATAGTAAACAGTATAAGACAGTATAGTGGCTGGATTTAAGGAATCTTTACTGAGGCCTGCTTGTAACACACATTCAAGGCCTCAGATATTTTTTTTTCATGTCAGCCACTTTGATTTGTATCACTTACGTGGCCAAACGGGTTATTATTAAACTGTTTTCATTATAGACTATTGATGAATTTTATGAAAAGGTCAATGATCCCAGTAAAAATGGTGCAATATTTATGGCTGTGTGTAGAGGAAAGGTAATGTACAAATACAATTGTTTATGATTTCAGTTTGAAACTTGTCTATTACTCTACTACATTTGATCCTGGTAAAACATACTGAACTACATACATGGGTTATTAAACTTTTGATCAAGTATTCTAACATTCAAATAAATGTACCAGGCATATTAAAATAAGTAGAAAAGGTTTACAGGGAACCGATTTTGTTAATTTAAGTTTGAAAAGGCAACAAAAACTAATTGGTAGATGTATTTAAATTACTAATACAGTAGCCATGATTTGACTGTGATCATCCCATTACACTTAACAACCCATAAACACATGTTGAATTTTCAAACTGTACATGATCTAGATTTGGTACAGATGAAATTCCTTGGGTTAAAAGGTATACACTATACTGCATGATTATTTAGGTTAGCGAAGGGTTAGATTTTGCAGATACTAATGGTAGAGCAGTACTAATAACTGGTATACCCTATCCACCAATGAAAGATCCCAAAGTGATTTTAAAAAGACAGTTTCTAGATGAAATGGTGCGGAAAGGAAATAAAAATGTAGGTAACATAATTTCTCCTATTAGATTTGAAATATTAATTGATGTTTTACTTGTATGGCAATCAAAAGGTTAGAATGATAGATCATATTAAGCTATCTTGACCACTCTCAATATTCATTGTCATTATCATATTTTAGTTCTGCGAAAAAAAAACGAAATTGTGAAAGTGATTGTCCAATAATGACATATGAAACAAAGGTTTAGTTAAATGGTGAGAATGCTGGTAGGATCAAGGGTTAGGTCTTGGCTGAATCATACACACATACAAATAAAGATACTTTACTTGCTTGATCCCAACAGAACTCTCATAGCCAGGCTGATCTATGGCATAGTTTAGAGCTATAATTTAGTAAGTTTTTAAACTTAAAAAAAGGAAATAATAATATGTTATAAATTGATGATGTTATTGTAGATGTTAATTGGTCAGAAATGGTATACACAACAAGCAACAAGAGCTGTCAATCAAGCTATAGGACGTGTTATCAGACATAAACAAGATTATGGTGCTATAATACTCTGTGATGAAAGGTATGGAATATTATATTCAATCTGTTACCTTCTTTATTTTACGTGTGTAATTTGATGATTGAAAACAAAAAAAATGGATGAATAGTTCCTAATTGACTTTAATTTACCATTGAGCTCTACATTTAAACATATAAAGTCTGAACTTAACTTATTGTCTTCAGTTTGCTCAAATCAAACATGAACCTTATTTATCTTGCAGATTTGCTAGGAATGAATCAATACAACAGTTACCAGTCTGGGTACGACCCTATGTCAATAATTTTGATAACTATGGTAAAGCTCAGGGATATCTATTAAGATTTTTCAAAACAGCTGAAAGCAAGGTAAGGTTATAGCTATGATTGTATGATTTTTAACAGTAATTCTTTTAGATTTTATTAACATATTTAATGCCACATTTGTATCACTAGTGTACCCAAATTCAGACTTGTCAAAGATTCTGTTGAAATAAACCTACACACCAACTTTGATAAAGGTCTTATAGAAACTGTAGCCTTGATTGCGTTCTCAAGCAACATTAAAAAGCAATAACTCCTTATCATTTGTCGTATTGAACCTAAATTCCAACTTCAGTGTTTTTGAATTTTAGGGAGAGGTTATGCTGTTCTTGGGCTATGCTTGTCTCGATTAGTCGTGTTCATGTTATTTCATTTTGGTTGTTTTAGTTACCAGCACCACAATTGAGAAAAAAGATACAGTCTTCTATAAGTCATGTGGGCTGTGAAGGAGCATATTTTCAACCAACTGTAGTTAAAAATAGTGGCTCCTCATCTATACATAGAGGTCAAGTAGAACTTGCTAGAAGTGTTATATGCCATGGTCCTAGTTTAAAAGATAGAAAAGGTAAGTTCCCATAAAGTTTGAACTTAACCTATTGTCTTCAGTTCTCAGTTGTTAAATTAGATTAAGAGAAATAAGGATTTATTTTTAATTTTAGAAGAAATAAATCAATTAAAGAGCCAATATAAACCAACATCTTTAAATAGACTGTCTACAACATCATCTACTGGTTTAATACAAGCTCTCGAATCTAATGAGGTATAGATGTTTAGTTAGATTTTTATTGTTATGCATAGTGCTTGATAAAGGAGAAAGGCTGTAATTAGTTTTCTTACTTTGCTTACCGGGTATATACCTAAATTTCAACATTGGAAGGTAATCTGCTTTTCCAAATCTATCTGTCCTGATGGTTTTTGTATCCAAAATACAGGTTTGATCACAGTTTGATATGAGCTCTAATCAGTTGAGTGTTTATAAAAATGACACATATCTAGATATATTCTTATGTGAGTAATAGGTTCCAGTACTGTTTTTTTTTTATAAGATTGGTCTCCTTTTTCTTTGCAGATACTCTGTGAAATCAATTCCATTCCCATTCATTACACATGTAATAATTAAATAATTGTATGTTTTGTTCTTTGTAGACTGCTGGTGATATGGATTCTAGTTTTACCATTAATCAGGTAAAACATTATAAAAATATGTTTTTGAAATGTTTCTTAGCTTTCAGTCCTAATCAAATTTGTTATCATTGATATCTGCCAATATACGTTCTAGTGGTACTTTACTTCTGAACATGTAATCTCTCTCGGCATGTGAAATTCGGATGATCCTGACTTGTCTTCACTCATAACTCCAATTAACCCAGCTGTAAATGGGTACAGATAATCAATGCCAAGAGGTTTAGCTGAGGAAATGTGAATTTTTGTGTGCCTGAAACTTCATTAGATTTTTTCATTGCATTGTAGACGTCTGTTTTTGGACCACAGAAAGGAACTTTGAAGAAAAGAAAGATCATATTAAAGGTATGTTGTTACTCAGAGACTGTTAGTAAAATACTAACCGACATGTAGACCTACATAGCATTCAAAAAAATTAGTTATACAGCCATGGAAATAAATGACAAATTCTGTTGTCCATGGCAAATTTGGGTGCTTTTTGCCGAATGGAATTTGTATATGATAAAATGACTTGTTAAAAAGGTCTTGTGTGATTTAACGAGGCAGAATATCTGATAGTTTTGTTTTTTTTTATGTGTGTAGAATTCAGAAGATATAAGTAACAGTAAAAATCAAATAACACAGAAACATTTAACACATGCTGAGAATTACCTAGATGAGGTGAGATTATAGTCATTTAATTCCAGCAATTTATTATGGATTATTTTGTATCAACATAGAGGGCTGGCACAGGGCTGCTGATTTGATCGTATTTTCAGTGTATGACAGGCAAACCAGCTCAAATGTAAACTGATGATTTTGACTTGATGGTCTGAATTCACAGCCACAGACTGTTAAAAATGTCTGGTTTGCAAAATAAACAGTTAAGTTACCTTTGAAATATAGGAAATCTTGTGGAGTTTCTTCTCAAAGTGTAGGATTGGGTATTTTATTGATTTTGCACTTGCACCAAGTGGTACTGTTCAAAGGAAATATTGGAACCTATGGATCAATTTATGTCAGAAGTTTTGTATTAACTTAAATATCATTAGCTCATTTGCATTACCTAATTTAGATCTATTATGAAAATTCAATATGTTTATAAATTATGCTGGAGGAGAAATGAAGAATATTTGTGTGTTTTAGATCAAGAAAGCTTTATCTAAAGATGGATATAAAACATTTTCTAAATCATTACATGAATATAAAGTGAGTGGTGATTATATCAAAGTGACGGCAGTATTAGCTGATTTATTCACCTCTACTTCAGACCATTTTCATCTCTTTAGAAGTAAGTAACGTTAATAGAATTTCATCTCCTTTTCTCTTTTACTTTTTAATACTAATTAAACAGGGTTACATTGAAGGTGAATAATATTTGAAAAAGCTTAAAATACAAAAATGAGGTAAAACATCTCAAGGTCTCTGTTGGAGTAATATTACAGTTTGATTGTTATTTTTGATTTTACAGAATTTTATAGATTTGTTCGAGCCAAACATAAACAACAGTTTGATGAATTATGTAAAGATATAACTGGAGAAGGTGTGGGTTATAAACCAGAACATAGTGTATCTAATAAACGTTTACAACCTCAAATATCCAGTGGTATGTCATTACTCTTATAGTGCTAAACTCTTACTTTTTTACTTTGAATAATGGGCTTGTGTGATGTGGCTTATGGCTCTTCTACAGAGCTGCCTCATTATAAATTCAGTCTCGACAGTCCCCATAAAGTCAGTCTGACTG